GTTATTATAACTTTATTAATTTAGATATTTGTAATTCAGCCGCAAGGCTGCAATTAATATTTTAATAAACTACTTACTTACTTACTTACTTACTAACTAGTTTGGGTTGTATTTACGCTTTTTGCGTTTTCAGCCGAGTGGTAAAGATTTTAATTCCTTGAAAATGCAAAAAAAAATACTTCTAGAGACTTCAAAAGAAAGAGACAAAGGAAGTTCAAGTGATATTCTGATGCTTATATCATTAACCACATTACACCATCTCATAGAACTTGTATGAGATCGTGGCCAAGTATAGTAGAGATCGTAGATAAGTATATTCATAGACTCAAACTTGTAGACACAAAAATACAAAATATCATTAACTGATGAAAATACTGCTATATTCTGTGAATGTTATAATATGTAAACATTTCATTCGAATCAATATACGTATCGTTATAACACGAAAAATCGCCAAGCCGCTAAGGTTTACTGGGAAATTAAAAAATTGAAACTATTTATGTTGTGATTAATATTTCAAAAATTTCCCAGTACAGACGCAATTTTTAAGCAATTTCGCTTTCGACTTACGTGGTACAAATTTTGATACCCCCCGGAAAAATTGGCCTATAGCATGTGCCCCTCACTTGCAAAATCCTGGCGACGCCACTGGTTAAAAAAAGTTTAAAAAACCAATCTTTAAAGAATTTTATTGAGACTATCATCTTTGAAACTTTATATGAACTCAGGAAGCAGATGTTAGTGATAAATATAGTAAGTTTTGCCCATTGAACTAAAATACATAGAGCACTACCTTAAGCAAATAACAGAAGCCAAATCTTACACCTAAACACGCGTGTGTAGTTGTTCGAGATTCTCTCGAAAATTGATTGACTACACACGCTTGTCTTGGTGTAAGTAATCTCGCTTGAAAAAATTATTAGACTTTTGTATTACAGGTAGCGTTCCATGTATTTTAGTTCAATGGTTTTGCTTTTTTTTAAGATTGCGGTTTGCCTCACACTAACTATAGAATTTTGCAGAGTAAGATATGTAGTAGATTGGGTTTTAGATTCTTTTCTTCAATGTCCAAATCCTGTTTAAGATATACCTTACCCAAAAAGTTTATGCTATAGAAATTAACCTGTTGTTTATAAACGGCTCATAACAAAGAAGATTTTCTGGTCAAGTAATTTTGCCTGTGAACAGCAGTTTATGAACAATAGCGCTTTATACGTTTGCTGGGACAATGTTTCATTAAATGTCTTCATGCATTACATCATTTGCTGATTTTTATCTTAAGAAATTCATAATCAATAACTTTGTTATAAACGTATTTTAATTTTCAAATTGGTGGTTATAATATTTTGCTCAATCCTGAAGCCAGTTTGGTTGTATGATGAAAACACATTCCAACATAAAAAGTCATTTAGAAAACTCAAAATTAGGGCTCTTAGTATTTATAGAAGAAAATAAAACAGATTCCGAATATAGACATCTCGTTTTCTTGATATTGAATATGATACAAGAGTTTAGACAGCAAATTGTGTATTATTTCGTCTCTATTCCAAGGACATCGTCAGACTAATAGTTTACAAGGTAGGCTGTGAAACTTTTATTTCATATTTACACGCGGAAGTGACAGTTACGTAATTGAGAGAGCAACAAGATTTACATTTGAAATAGAGATAATTTCATACAGGCTTTGAGACCACTATTAAGTTGTGGCATATTGCGTTTTATCAAGAGCGTTTCTAAGATGAGAAGTAGTTTAAGATTATTATTATTACAGCGATATAAGAATTTGGTGTTAATTGGAATCAGGTTATAATGATTAAACGGTACAAGTGTAAGATCAGGTTCGGAGTCAACGTCATGAAGTGAGAAAAGGTGTGAAATGGCGTCTTATAAACTCAAAACTCAAATCATAAACTCAAAACCAAACAAAAGACTGACGATGACCTACGTAAAATCTTCTTTAGAATACCATATCTAGGCAAACAGGGTGAACGTTTGGTTTTCAATCTTCTTCGTAAGACAATGTTGTATATGAATTTAAATGTCCAGGTTGTGGTCATACATACATAGGCAAAACAGAACGAAACCTACACACAAGACTAACCCAACATGCTACTAATTACAACAATTCTAGTGTTATCTTGCAACATTTACTCATTTTTCCTGAAACCAAACTACATCTCACACCTTTTCTCACTTCCTGACGTTGACTCCGGCCCTGATCTTATTTTTACACTCGTATTTTTTAGTCTAGTAGCTCTCTCAATTACGTAACTGTCACTTCCGCGTGTAAATAGATAGAATTTGTATGGGAATAGATAGAACTTGCTCTATATTTACGTAAAAGCACAATTGAAATAATAAATTGAATATATAAAACAAACATTTTTATTACAGACATGTTTCGGCAAACTTATGCCATCATCAGTGCAAATGAATGTGTTACAGAATGTGATACTTAAATATATAAATAGAGATAAACGACTTAAAGTTAACTGAGATGAGGACAGTATTACAAATATTTACAATTCATTAACATATGGAAGTTAGACGATACATTAAACGGAAGAAAAAAATAACATAATATTATTTACAAACTAAAAATGATATTTACGTGGTGAACTTGCTTATTGAGATCGGGTTTAAATTTGTAAGGTGTAAGGCTTCTTTAATTCTGAGGGTGGAAGAATAATTGTCAGTGTCGATAATTGTAAAGCAGTTGTTGGTGTATTGTGGTTTGCAGTTATGTGAGGAGAGAAGGTGTTTGAAGATGTGTGAGTTTTTATCACTGGAAATGTGCTCCTTCATCCTGGTAGAAATATGACGCATTGTTTCGCCATAATAGTAATTACAAAATTCGTGCAATGAAATAGTCGGACATAGTATTGTATTTGTAGAAGAGAGCCAATTAAAAAAAAATTCTCTTGGGGCATTTGTAAATATTATTTTAGAAATACAGATCGACTAATTATAAAGGCAGAAGGTGTAAGAGTGAATAAAAACCATTGTCCGTCAAATAAAAGGAAAGCTTGAATATGACATGCAATATACAGGCATTAAGTTATAGAGAAAAATGAAAAACATTTTTAACGTTGTCACGGATATTACGAGTGCCGTAACCAAGTGTTGATGAGTTTCATATGCATTTGTCAAAACAAGCTTAAGAAGACAAAGAGATGCCAAAAATATATGATTGAAAACTTGCTCAACGCATGTACAAGCACGAATTTCAGAGCTCGCTCTGTCACAAATGAATTGAGATCTGAGCATGCGTTGTCAACTCCACAAACTCTCCAAGCTCATGGTAACGACCAACTGGATGTACTAGTACCGATTTTGGAGTAATTAGCTCGCTCAGTCACAAGTTTTAAGACAAACCATCTGCTCATGCACAGTCTGAATGAGCATGCGCAGTCAACTTGACCAGCTACCCAAGTTCATGGTCATGGCAACGACCAACTGCATCTACTAGCACCAATTTTGAAGTAAATAGCATGCTTAGTAACAATTTAATAGAGAAATCGTCTGCGCATGCGCAATCAACTCGAGTAATTGTTCATAGTCATGACAACGACCAACTATATGTACTTGCACTACATTTGTATCAATTAACTCACTTAGTAGCAAATTATGAAAGAAATCATCTGGGCATGCGCATGGGCTTCACAGAAAAAAGGGATTATGTACTTTGTTATAATAACTTCTACAAAGATAACATTTAATAAGCTAAGAAATTTGAAAATAAATATATTTGAGTTATTATGGAAATAACAAGTCGAGAATTGATTGATCATACTCATTCCAATTTCATTTTGTACCGCGCTTTACTATCCTTACACTGAATGTTTTCTATATATCCAGGCAAAAACCCCTCTTAACCTAGAAATCGCTGACTTTATGTTACTAGCCATATTAACATATAAAGCGTGCACATGTCCTTCTCCTCCAGATGCTCCCCCAGCAATAGTTGCTAAAGCGTGCGTGACGTCACTGCAAAGGGTCTATACACCAAGAATAAGACTAACACCAAGATTGACACCACAAGACCAACATGGTAACATTAAGACTAAGTCTAACACCAAGAATAAGACTAACACCAAGATTGACACCTCAAGACTAACATGGTAACATTAAGACTAAGTCTAACACCAAGAATAAGACTAACACCAAGATTGACACCACAAGACTAACATGGTAACATTAAGACTAAGACTAACACCAAGATTGACACCACAAGACCAACATGGTAACATTAAGACTAAGGCTAATACCAAGAATAAGACTAACACCAAGATTGACACCACAAGACTAACATGGTAACATTAAGACTAAGACTAACGCTATAACACCTACACTAAAGCAAACAGTAAGATTAACATATGACAAAGAGATAGTATCTATACCCAACAACCAGATTTCTAACAATTTAATGTTAATCCTTATAATGTTATAGTTAACCCAACTTGTCAATTTAATCCTTATAATCTTATAGCTAACCACAACTACTCATTTTCATATAAAGTCCGCCCTATTTAAAATTCTCTAGCCGTTAAGCACTGTGTATTCGCAATTAAATTATGGTTTGGTATAAAAGGCAGCGACTCACAGTTTTTAATAAGCATTTAGTATTTCTTAAAAGTAGAAAAAATTTAAAGTTTTCGATACTACAGCTAGTCATTGTTGCTGTCTAAAATTCTCATTTAAAGCATCATGACTGACGAGTAACGAAACCATCATCTTCGTATATCGCACTTCCTTTAACACACGGCAAGTCTCGATTACATGCTGCCCAGTTGTAAACACGTCTTGCTCTCGCAGCGTTTTATAAGAATTACAGGAAAATAAATTAATATAAACAATCAATGATATCTTCATTCTTCCATTCGCGCTTGATGTCGAAGGGTAGAAGTCTTAGCTAACTTTCGTTAAAAACTCAAATTACCTACGATCTTGTTTGCACGTTGAAAGAAAAAATTACTGAAGGGAAACATTTTACCACAATATTTAACGACAAAAACAAAGGTCGATTTATGACACGATGAATAAAAGAAATAAAGTTAGTTGAAAAATTGATGAAATTTGCAAACACAATGTTCTTGTTTCTCACGAACAGTGTGTCTTTCAAAAAAGCTCAAACACGTGTTACATCTTTTGTTCATTTGCGTTGTCACATAGTCGATAAAAGTCATTCGCGTTTTTCGTTTTTACAACTATTTACATCGGGTAGTTAAACATGACGTCTTGTCTTGCTAATTCCAGCAACATAGGATCGTCGAAGAACTTGTTGATACTCACATCTTCACTTAAGCCCTGTCAGTAAAAACATTCGAAAATTCATAAGCAAGAAGTTTTATAAAATAAACACATTAAAACGCGCGCGGTGCTTGGTCAATTGCCGTGCTTGCTAAGCCTGTGCAAACCGTCTGAGCTCAACCAATGAAATCAATCAATCAAAGAAAATTTGCACATCAATTATGAATGCATTTTAAAGGAAAATTAAAACGTTTGAAATTTGTCTGTTTCCGGTTATTGTTATTTTATAAAAGAAATAAATGATGTTTTTCATGTTTGCACTGGCTTATGCAAACTTTGGGGACGTTTGTAAAAACTCTTGAGCATGTGTAACCCTCGACCTTGGTCTCGGGCTTGCACTGATCTGCTCTCGAGTTCTTTCAAAGGTCTCCTCAGTTTTCATAAGCCTGTACAAACACAGTAAAAATCTTTTTTTTTCTTAAATCAAGAGTCAAATCAACTTTGATTAGACCTAACAGATCTACAATTATAAATAGGTACTTTTCATGGAAAATACAATCTTCACAGCGTCAAAACAAAACAGAGGACAGATACCATTGACAATATATCAAATTTCATTCATAGTAATACCATACAAATACTGTGAAAATTCCTAGAAAGCAAAGAACCTTGAACCGTTGATTGTCATACATGACTTACGTCAACGCTACGAATCCAATAGCACACGTTTTTATTGTGTAAATTGTCTATGAGTGACAGCAAAATTGTAAACTTCACGTAATTGCACTGTGATCGCTATCATTGATATAACAAAATCGATAAAATTCCCAAATTAAACAGGAAAACAGTTTTTGTCTCCTTCAACGTTAGCTAAACGGATTTTTTTTCTTTTGCTCACTATCCTCAAAACCTCAGCCGCCTCATTAAGGCCATTTTCAAGGTCTTCATTCTCTGATCACGGATAAATTCGTTTTAAAATTTCTGTGACGTCATTCTGTGTTTCTGTCACGACCAATAAACTTGTTTGAATTCTTAATGTTATTATTTAATTTTTCATACCTTACGTCTGCGAGTTTTGATCATGAACTCTCGAGCTAAATGTGTCGCTGGTTGAGGTTCCAAAGGTCGTATGACAATGCTTTTATCTAATGGATCACCAGGAACAATCTAAAAGAATATGGTCTTGTTTTCACGAAACTTTTAGAAAAAAAAAGCTTTAAATTGAACGTTCACAAAACAAAACGTTTAATTCAGAAAAGCATTACAAAAACTTTATATAAAACTTTTAAAAAAGCAACGAAAAAACTAACAATAAACTTAAGCCAGGGTAAATGCCTCATGAAGAGTTAAGAACTTACTTGCCAATGATGAAAAACAGACAAACAGAAAGCTTGACCCTGAGTGTGTGTTCTCAAATCAGTTTCAAAGCCAAATGAATCAATGGCGGGGATGAATGCTTTGATTGTGTATAGCGGAGAGCCTGGTACGGGAGCATCCTGAGTCACGTGACCTCTAATTTCCAAAATATAAAAATTAATAAGAACGACGATTTGCACCGTATTAGGTTCAAAATGCAATCATTCATAATACAAGTACTGTCTGATTGTTGATTTCATCACCCTCATGCATTGCCAATTTAAGCATAGTTACTAAGAACAGGGAGCTAAATTATATTACATAGGTCTTTTATCATTTATCATAGTAACACAGTTATTTGTCACACAACATAGAATTTTTCTACATATAGACCATATAATCTTTGACCTAATGTTTTCTTCTAGTGTGCAGCTTAAAATGTAGCTTTTGTCTATGAAGAGATTTAGCAACAATATTCAATGGACAGCGATATCCAGGCTTTGTGCAACCAAGCCCAAAGAGTATCAGATTTAGGGTGATAAAAAGATTTCAATATTATGTTTGCTTTGTAAAACATGAAAGTTTCACCCTGATTTTTCAGCTACAATTTACTATAAGGATAAGAGAAGTCTGTTAAACAACCATAAGATACAAGAAATTAAGGTATTTCTATATGAACAAAATTTCTAATATTTTTGTGCTCTATTATACGGCTTCGATCATTTTAAAGCACTACCCATCATCAATGTGTTCATAAGTGAAAAGAAAAACGGTTTACAGTTACTGAAAAACACAGTCTTACCTTCGTCTGGCTAACACAGTGTAAACGGAAGAAACGCAATCCGCAGGGGCCTGCACTTCAACAAAATGATATGGTTCCATCAAACGAGGAGTAGCCTGACAAAGAATTATTGAACTGGTTTCACTAACATCGTTCTAAATGTAGTCTGTACCAAAACGACATCTGAGGACGTCAATGCAGTTTAATAATATGAATATTTGCACGAGAGAAGCTAAAGTGGACCTCACTTTCCTACATGGAGTTGTAAATAAATGATTGCAAGCATTATCTCACCATAAGAAAAGCTGAATAAGCGACTCGTCTTGACGTTGGAATGATCTGTCCTCCTCCTCGATGTATTGGCTCATTTGCAATAACAGCATCCAAGATCTTAAACTTCACATTGCGAATGGCTGAAAATATTCCAAAATTTCACATTAATTCATCATCACTGATGATGCGCTTTCAAATATTACGACAAAATCAGTACTTATTTTGATTTGATTTGTGTACACCTGGGTATTACGATGAGATGTACAGTAAATGGTTTGAACTCGGGAGTATAGTTTCATGTTTGCGGATTTGCATAGATCGTCTAGGTTAGTAGAGTCCTGAGAAGGACTGTTGTTGACGATCTACATTCACAAACATGTAATGAGATGTACAGTTAAAGATTGAAATTAAATGACATACGTTCATCACACAGCGGTCCTTCTCTTGTAGCCCATTGAAAACCTTGAACTATAGAATCTCTTGCTGTACTCAATAGACTTTTATCAACCTAAATTTACACAGTAAATTCATTAACACAATTCAACATTCAAGGAAACCAATCGTATAATTTAGAAATCGAATTTCATTCTAACTATTGAATCACGATTGCTGCTATAAAACCATTGATTGAAAAACGTCTTTCAAATACCTACGGTATTTCTACTTTTAGCATAAAAATATCAATTTAACTAAAAAATTCCATTCACCTCAGAAGGTAAGGTGTCATCCACAAGAATATTTGGTCCCGTATTTTCAGGTCCAAAAGCCCAAATCGATCGTGCTGCCAACAAATCCCAGTCATATTTTGTCTGAAAGAACTCACCAAGTCTTTTTCTGTGAAATTTTAGAAAGAAACTCAATATAGGCTTTGACATAAACAGCTCCAAAAAACAGTGCCACAAATTCTAAGAATGATACCATAAACATTTAAATCAAACTAACTTATTCCATGTAATAGACACTTTTTCATTTTCAATATCCTCGGCCAGACCACTTTCCAGGGGTTCGGCAATCATCGTCACTTTGTTCCTGTGAATGGTAAAAGATCCAGATTACGGTTGCAAAGATATGTCGTTCAAACGTTATTTGAGAAATCTTGAAATAAGAAAAAATTCGCTTACTTTTTATTAGGAGTCTCCGCAAAACATTTCAAAGACGACGTTTCTACGACAGTTTCGCAAAATGCCACAACAGGATCAGACACTTTGATATCTTAAATCGCAAAAAATATTCAAACCTACATGAAGTTATGGCAGACACTTATAGATTTTAAATAATTAAATGTATTATACTAAAAACAAGATGGAGCTAGCTTTATATTGATAATGGAGTAAACAGCCAGCTAGTTTTATCATAGAATACGTAAGGGATGGCTGTACGCCACTGTAAATAGAATTAATTTTATGCACTGTTATTAACGATGGTCCCGTGAGTGCCACGTGAGCATTTTACGGTCGTACTAAACTCACTCAATTTATGTTTGATTAAACATTTCCGTGCAGTCAAATAGAAAATGCTCAACATGCGAAGTGTACTTGTTTTGAAGAAGTTTCATGTGAGCAAATGTACGTTGTTACAAAAACAAAACTGACCAAAAATCAAGACGACATTACATTCATACACAATTTTAGTGGAACTTAGACGAAGTAAAAATAACACAATATAAGTCAAACGTACCTATTTCGGAATACATTTTTCTTAAATCGTGCATAACACAATCCAAGAACAACTCGCCAGTGCCCAAGATAACATGTTCTCCTGATTCCTCAACCTTTAAAATAAAATCAACTATTCTGATAAATAATAACCAAACTTTTCATCATAATCACTTTATCGAAAACATATTACTGTTTGTGTTGAAATATATTTTAATTCAGAGCAAAATCTATAACAAATAACAATGTAAATACAAAACATCAAAAACTTGCTTCAAGATAGGCCATATTGTGAAATATGATTGCTACGGATTGCTACGTTAAGCACAAATTTTCAGATACGTATTTCAAAAATATCGGACATCCGATCCTGAAAAGCTTACTAACTTAATGCAATCTGATGTATGTATCTTCCTCATACCAATAATATAAAATGCAAGTAGTAAATACTACAAAAGAACACATTCATGGACAAATTCTAAACAATGTTGTTCTAAGTACCTTTGTAGTGAGAAGAGGGTAACTTTTGTTCACTTTTCTTAAACCATCCAACATTTTGGGAAGTTCTGAAGGATTGTGAGGCTCAACAGCAATCTTTACCACAGAGCAAGTGTTGAAATTGAGAGGACGAAATATCTGAGCCTGATGAAAATATTAAAACGAAATTAAACAACTTCTCGTCAATTAAAACGAACTTTCATAAGAATACAAAAATTGGATGGATTTAGCTAATGCTTTTCGCTATTGTATATATCAGTTGTCCTGTCAACACTGGAAAATCTTTGCATTTATTGCTTAATGATAAAACATCCCTTTTGTATGATTGTCCAATTGTACTATTCTAGCCGCTATCAGGTCTAAGCAAACGAAGATATCATTATAAACCTCTTCACTATCTTCAACTTGAGTGACTGTTGATGTTTTTACAATGGGCTCATCAATTCCTTCAATTAGTACCCAGTTCCCAGCTGGAACTCGGTTCACTTCGATATTATATCTATCGTAAAATACGAAAATGTACGCAATTAATGCAAAAAACATATTAACCTATAGAAAAGCATGCTGTTGTGATCAACATGATGTAAATTTACATAAAACTGAAGCAAACTGATAGTTATACGTAAAAAGATTGGGAGCATATAATCAATGGATGTTAATTGATGAAAATAGTTAGTTTATTAGCAAAAACCAAAAATCTAAAAAGCCAATGTTTTTTTTTAGAAAAATAATGTTACCTAGCTTCAGGAATCCAAAGTCGACCAATCTATATATAAAATCAATAAAGTCGCACTTTAAAACGACGCAGTCCTCGGACAATAACATCTCACAGCTTAAAAAAACTTTCATAACTCAAAGTCGCACTTTAAAACGACGCAGTCCTCGGACAATAACATCTTACAACTTAAAAAAACTTTCATAACTCAAAGTCGCACTTTAAAACGACGCAGTCCTCGGACAATAACATCTCACAGCTTAAAAAAACTTTCATAACTCAAAGTCGCACTTTAAAACGACGCAGTCCTCGGACAATAACATCTTACAACTTAAAAAAACTTTCATAACTCAAAGTCGCACTTTAAAACGACGCAGTCCTCGCACAATAACATCTCACAACTTAAAAAAACTTTCATAACTCAAAGTCGCACTTTAAAACGACGCAGTCCTCGGACAATAACATCTCACAACTTAAAAAAATTTTCATAACTCAAAGTCGCACTTTAAAACGACGCAGTCCTCGGACAATAACATCTTACAACTTAAAAAAACTTTCATAACTCAAAGTCGCACTTTAAAACGACGCAGTCCTCGGACAATAACATCTCACAGCTTAAAAAAACTTTCATAACTCAAAGTCGCACTTTAAAACGACGCAGTCCTCGGACAATAACATCTTACAACTTAAAAAAACTTTCATAACTCAAAGTCGCACTTTAAAACGACGCAGTCCTCGCACAATAACATCTCACAACTTAAAAAAACTTTCATAACTCAAAGTCGCACTTTAAAACGACGCAGTCCTCGGACAATAACATCTCACAACTTAAAAAAATTTTCATAACTCAAAGTCGCACTTTAAAACGACGCAGTCCTCGGACAATAACATCTTACAACTTAAAAAAATTTTCATAACTCAAAGTCGCACTTTAAAACGACGCAGTCCTCGGACAATAACATCTTACAACTTAAAAAAATTTTCATAACTCAAAGTCGCACTTTAAAACGACGCAGTCCTCGGACAATAACATCTTACAACTTAAAAAAACTTTCATAACTCAAAGTCGCACTTTAAAACGACGCAGGCCTCGCACAATAACATCTCACAACTTAAAAAAACTTTCATAACTCAAAGTCGCACTTTAAAACGACGCAGTCCTCGGACAATAACATCTCACAGCTTAAAAAAACTTTCATAACTCAAAGTCGCACTTTAAAACGACGTAGTCCTCGGACAATAACATCTCACAACTTAAAAAAATTTTCATAACTCAAAGTCGTACTTTAAAACGACGCAGTCCTCGGACAATAACATCTCACAACTTAAAAATACTGTCATAACTCACATTTCCGATTCTAGAATCTTCTTCATCTTCAAGTGTGTAATTTTCTCCAAGGATTTTTACTTGTTGTTCGGAGTGTACTGGGAAAAACATGAAGTATTTTGTGAAAAACAAAACAAGAATACAAAATAGAAGTAAATTGAATTTAAAGCTATGCACGGAGAAACTTTCTTACCTGTACCACTGATTACTCTACCCAAAACATTAAAAGTTGTCGCATCTCTCGACGGATATTGCTTTGTCGTATGAATCATTAAAGGACCCTGAACAAGAGAAATAGCTCAGATCAAGTAAAAGACACATTTTAAAGTGTTACAATCTGGGTTTTTTCCCAGTCAATGAAAGGGGTTACAATTCTCTTGACAGTGAATTTTATGTCCAAATTTGCTTTTGGTTAATATTTTGAAAAAATATAGTTTCATTAAAATACGTCACATCATCAGTTCATTTACATAATTTACTCACATCAGGATCACACTGAAACATTGCCTCAGCAAGTTCAGTATCCAATGCACCATTATATGTATGTTCAACCTAAGCGATACAATTTACATGAAGCATGGGTAAAAAATACATAAGTATCAACACAAATATTTATTTAGTTACAAATAACAAATAGTTACTTTTGTTTTAGCAAAATCTTTTGGTGATTCAATGTGTTGAATACACATGTCAACAAAACCTTGAAAAATAATAATACACGTTTGTAAGTTTTTCTTTTCAAGAAGCCATCAACAGGAATAAAGAGTGCTTGTACGAATTGAAAAAATCATTGAAAGAATGTGCCTAAGAAGCTTCCCACTAGTTGATCCAGGGAACTCTAAGACCACCTAATTCACACGATAACGGTAGAGATTGAAAACAATACAAAACTCTTATAGTTTGAAGTAATGTTCACCCAATGCCGATATGAAAAAGTATGAAACCGTTATGCAAACTGTAATAGTTTGAAAGCGGTATGTCTATCCGAGCAGTTTGAAAACGGTAAAAAATATACCGTTTCGGTTACGTTTGAACACCTAACTTTAAGAGTTTCATTACGGTTCGGCGAAACCTTTTTAATATTGTAATAGATTGTCAAAATTGTACTTTCCACAAAGATAATTCAGTAAATTTTGTCAGTCCATACAAAGTACTGGTAACACTCAACACAATATAAGATTCTCGAGATAAAACGTTCTCATCAAGATGAAATTGAGAGTATCGAATTGTAAATGTCAAACATGAATGCATACCAGTAAATGATCCAAAAAATCTTTTAAAGACAATTTTCATCAAGGGTCGGATATTCAACGCTTGCTCTCTTTTAGTCAAATGAATCCCCAACTCATCTAAAACCTTTGGTAAAGTTGAGTCAACATCACCAACAATCTAAATGGAAAATACAAATTAGTTTGTTTAAGGTTATTTTACACCCACAAAACTAAGTTATTTATAAACCACCGACGGAAAACATCGTAACAGGTTAAAGCTTGTTATCTAAAAACTTGATTTACACTAAACTTGTTATCTGAAGAGACATTTCGTTCGTTAAGTCACGATTAAATTTTAAAGAAAATAAATAAAACACATGTTTCAACAATACGGTTTCGTTAAGCCTGATACGTAACTATGCTTTATGCTATTAATTTTAATTCCCGTCACCATGAAGGCAATTGGACTTTACTCTGATCAACTTTGACACTTTTTACAATTTTGAAGAAATATGTGATGTTGTACCTGTGCAAACAACTTGTACAGCGGCTCAAGAATGAACTCAACAAACGTTCTTGGTGATGTATTTAAAGGAGCCTTTCTCGTGAACTTTCGTCTACGAAAAACGCCAAAACGTGGAATGCAGATAGCACTTCAGATACATACTGTAAAAGTATGGGTACATAATTGTGAAATAATTTACTCCATTAAAACTAGACATTTACCAGTTATTAATTAGTTAATTACGGCTAAGATTTGATTTTCCAAAAGAACAAATCGCGTTAATGACCTTTTCTTCAGTTTGACAAAATTTTACTCTTTTTTCGAGATTTGGAATTAAATGCACCAGAAACTGACAATTATATGTCAAATTCAATTAAGAAATTTAAAAATGATTGATAAACAAAAATGACCAGGAAAAAATTCTATATGCAACAGAAAAACAGACACCCCCGAAATGTTAACCTTTTTTCAGCATATAAATATATATTCATACATCACAATTAAGAGGTAAACTGAACAATACATAAAGCTGTGCACAACAATGAACAAATACAACAATAAAAACAACATTTTTGAAATATCATTGCTACCTCTTTGCAAGTTTAGATCACACTTATAAATATTAGGAAACTTACGTTTTTGAATTGAAATACATGTCACCCCAAAGCCTTTTGGCAAATTCAAAATGACTAATGCGATAACCTAGACAAAAAACAATAAGAAAAATACAGCTAACCAACACACAGATAACAGAAAACTAATTAGATAAAGATTGTCGTATCTATTTCTTTGTACATATACAAATCTTCCGAATTTTTAGTTCTAAAATTTTTACAGAAGAATTTTCAAAAATTGAAGAGTGCAAGGCACTAGTCCCGATTCTAACCCTTTAAAAATGTAGCATTTATTCCATGGATATATTCTATAGGACATTAAAAAGTGACTTCGTGAAAATTTCTGCATTTTAAGTCATTTTAATCTTTCCAAAATGATATTTTCCCTTTGTTAGATTTATCACAAAAGTTACAAAAGATAAGAGAACAATAATATCTTGTTGTGATCGTAGTAAATCGAATAAAGATAGTCAAAAAAAATTCTTACTTACCATAAGTATCGGTATAAAGCTTGGCGAAGGAATTCAAGGTGAAACAGAACCTGTACGCTGAACTTGCAAAACATACGTTACCAAGCAACGGAGAGACAATAACATCGTCTAAACCTTCGGAATAGACACTAGAAAAAAAGACTTGTTTGTAAGTAGTTATTGTGAAGAAAATCTTTAGCAAACAAGGACGATAAATACAAGTAAGGAAAGGCTGTGGTTGGTTGATAGAAAATATAAGCGTCGAAATCCACCGGAGCAAAAACGCCTCTACGAAGTTCAGAGCTCGAAATAAAGGCTGTCAACGGCCAATATTTTAGAGATGATAGGCGAAAAAATTAATGAACTCACAAGCAGTGGCGTAGCTAGCGGTCCCGCTACTCCCGCCCGGCGGGAGTAGAAATTTCCCAAAAAAATAATAAATATTCTATTTGGACATAAGATATACATTATTTCACGAACAATTTGTAATATTATGTTTTATTCGTTCATATTTACGCTTTTATTAGGTGGTTCGTAATCGTAATACAGCAAAATCTCAAAATTTGTTATGTAACCTAGCAACCGCCTTTTCTCGCACATTGTATACTCGCGCGATTCTCCACGTATTCCGCCCATCTTCAGAGGGCGGAACATACAATATAATTCTATATAAGAAGTTTTGAATTCTGGTTGGCTAAGGGACTTGACGCATGCTCAAATCTGCTGTTTTTATAGTCGAACTCCCGCTATTTTAAATTGGCGGAGGTTGTAATTATTCGACCTTACAGCGATTAGTGATTATCAAATTAAGTGTCATTGTCGGTATTAATTTTCCATTGTGTTTACTCTCAAATTGCTATTTTGTATTTGTGTATGACACAATGGCTTCAAGTGCGACTGCGATTTGCTCAACTGATGTTGATTTAGTAAATAGCTTATTAGCTAAACCGTTCTCTGCTCGATCGTCGGTCGAACAGAATGTTATCGTTCATGAACGGCCTACTCCTGATTTAACTATCCAAAATAAGGGAAGAGCATTTCAGAGAGATTGGTATGAGGCGAAGGACTGGCTGTGTGGCAGTACAACCTTCCAGAAAGTGTTTTGTTGGCCATGTCTAATGTTTTCCCCAAAAACATCGCCATCGTGGACTAAGAATGGCTACAACGATATGCGGAGTATTATGTCTGATGCTAAGAAGCATGAAAAATCTAAATCGCATTTGACTGCATTTAAGACATGGAAAACGTATGGAGCTAGTGAACGAATTGATTGTCTTATGTCCCTCGCTAGAAGAAATGAGATTCAGCGTCACAATGAGGAGGTAAGACAAAATCGAGAAATTTTAAAACTGTTACTGAGGCCGTGCTGTATTTGTCAAAGCAAGAGTTGCCATTTAGAGGTCACAATGAGTCCGAAGGTAGCTTGAACAAAGGTAATTATAGAGAGTTGCTCGAATGTTTTGCTAAGTTTGATTCTGTATTTGAGCGTCGACTGCACAGTAGACTAGCAGAATCTGATATAGTTGGTGACAGAAGATTTACTGGAGTCTCCCCAGAAATTCAAAATGGTCTTATCAGCTGTCTTGATTCAATTATTGAAGATGAAATCAGAAAGGAAATAAATGATTGCACATTTATGAGTATTCAGGTTGATGAAGCATCTGATGTCTCCACCAAAGAGCAGCTAAGTGTTATTGCTCGGTTTGACAAAGCAAGTGAAATTATGGAGAGGCAATTAGGATTTGTGGATGTAAGTATGAACAGAAATGCCACAGCAATATCACAAGTTGTCAAAGATAAACTTGGTGAGTATTCTAATATAAAAGAAAAACTGGTTTTACAAACATATGATGGTGCTTCTGTCATGTCTGGCCATATCAATGGTGTTCAAGCATTGGTTCGACAAGATTATCCTTTTGCTCATTTTGTTCATTGTGCAGCTCATAGATTGAACCTGGTCCTATGCCAGTCAGCCTCATCAATTTCTCCTGTTAAAATATTTTTTATTAATATAGCTACATTCAGCACATTTACAAGCAATGCCCCAAAAAGAAAAGCTTTTCTCACATCTAACAACCTTGAGTTTCCTGCCCCTGGTGAAACAAGATGGTATTATCGCTCTAGATTAATCAATGTATTGCTTGAAAAACTTTTAGATATTTTTGAGGGGGTACTTGAACAACCAGCTGGGTGGGATGATGAGTCATTAAGTAAAATAAGTGGCTTACTGCATTATCTTGATAGCTTTCTCTTTTGTTTTCTAGTGTGTGTTTTTTACAGGATTTTAGAACAGTCCACAATTTTGTATTCCATTCTTCAAAATAGGGAAACCCATTTTAACTATGGCATAAGCAAGATTGACAATTTCAAGCAGTTTATTGTGTCACTTGCACAGATCAAGCTTTCACCGAGTTTTACCAAACTGCACTAGAAAAAGTAGGCCCACCAGCAACCAGAGCAGATAGTAGATACAATTACAAACAGCTTTATTTTGAGATTATTGATTCCATTAAAGGCATGTTAAGTGAACGATTTCAAGATATTAATCAGTTCAAGTTTTTAGACCTTGTAAATCCTAAACTATTTACTACATGGAAGGGCATAGTTCCACAGGAGAAGATCAATCTTCTCAAAGATAAGTATAGTCCTCTTTTTGACATCCAAACTTTGGAGAGTCAACTTTCCTTCATTTACAACGACAAGGACTTTCACAAAGAGTGCAGTAATGAGGTTCTTAAATACATCTTCAAATTTAATCTCCAGTCGAGTTTAGGTCAAGTGGTAAATTTGTTAAAATTGAATGGTGTGTTGGCAGTGGCAAGTGCTTCAGTAGAGAGGTCGTTTTCTTGCTTAAAAAGGGTAAAAAGCTATTTAAGAAATAGAATGGGTCAAGGTCGGCTTAGCTCTTTGTGTAGAATATCTATTCACAAAGATAGAATGCTAAGAAAAATCTCTCTCTATGCACTTTAGAAGTGTCGTATACTATATTATTTTTTGTGCTAATACAAATTTCTTCTGTTTATGCAGGGGCAGTGATGAGTAAATTATGTTTTAGGGGACAATTGTCTCCTGCGTAACGTTTCTCTGAGCCACATTAAGAATGCAGCTAACAAAAATGGGTTTTTATAAATTATTGTACAACAAATAATTCGCCCTCGAAATCGCAGGAAATGCTGTTTCCAAGGCTCTGGATTTCAAAATTTTCCGGGGGAGCATGCCCCCGGACCCCCCTAGTGGGGTCGGGGGGCATGCGCGAGATGGATTGGCGGGAGTGACTATTTTTCCTAGCTACGCCACTGCTCACAAGTCGAAAATAAAATGGTAGAGAAAATTCTAAAGATTTGCGTTGTTTTATTTGTTTATACTACAACTCGACACAAGAAAACATTGTAATGGAAAGAAATAAACCAGGTAACATGTTATACAACTTTGGTAGTTTGCAGTTTGAAAATGAAATTGGCAGGCAAAATTTGAGTTGGCTAATCACACAAAAATTAGAATGTCAGGCCATATTTTTTCTATTTAAAGCGCTGCACTAGTTTCAACTCAGTAAACTGCACTACAATGCATCACAAAGTACGTTGTATATACGTGTACTTATATCAAATATATAAAATTCTCCGTCATTAACAATACCTCCTCTAGAACAAATTAAGCACTTTACAAATCACGACATACGTATGAAGAAATCTCAGATACTGCTAAAGACATACAACAGAAAACAGTGAAAATGAATAACTTACCTTAGTAAGCCATTTATTTCATCAACTATGTGTTTAAGTTTAAAATACGCATCAGCAGGAGGCAATTTTAACTCGAGCACCAGTCTATCAATCTGTGGAAAAAACGAAAAATTTCATCAAAACATTTTCGCTTGCCTCCTGTCATTTCAATTATTATATGTCTCTCTCATGCAGAAGAAAATCAAAACAAAAATTCATTACAGTTGAAGTATGAACTTTGTATGATCTCACGTTGCACAACAACGTGTCTTCAAAAAGTCAATCATTTTTTCCCTTTCAAAATAAGTTCAATCTCTTTAAGAACATTTAAATACTTAAGGACGTACTGGGTAGATTTTAGAAGGCGGAGGATAAATAAAGAGCAACATAACTTAAAACGACATAAAGCGAATGGTTTGAACCAGGGAGTATCGTTACATGTTTGTAGATGTTGGTGTTGACTGGCTGACATTTCGACAACCTCAGCGCTAGTCATCCTCAGAGTAAAAAAGGTCAACCGCTAAGATTGTCGAAACGTCAGTAAACACATCAACACCAACAGTCCTTCTCAAGACTCTACGTACAAATCTGGACGATTTACATCTAGGTAAATCTACATACATATCTAAATTTTACCTTATTAATACAAATGGTGATGGCTAGCCTTTCTTGAACGGCATGTTTTAGAAGTCTTTCTGTGTTGAGCATAATCTGAAATGAAATTATAGAAAGTCCAGTGACGTCATAACAATAGTTGTTTCACTGTCGTTGTCGTTGCATCACTATTGCATGTTATTTATGCACGTACGTAGCTAACAATTTATTAACTTGTATATCACATTCAATTAAAACTGTATAGAGTAACTTTAGTTCATTAATGCTACAGTTTTCTTGCATGTAGGGACGTAATTATTTACAGTACGTTTATAATACATAAGTTTGACGTAAATAGCTACGTTGATACATAACGACTGATTGCTCTCAAAGGAGATTACATTTCAACAGAATGCTAATTTAACTTCACGATATCTTACCAATAACACACCATTTAATTATGTTTAGGTAAGAACAATCTATACTACTTTTTGCGAATCAAATTCTCCGGTAAATTTAGATCACATTTAATCACTTCAATTTAGAAAGGCAGCATTTTTAAGAAAAAGTCATAGAAAGGAATGATTTCTGATAGGTAGCTATAATTTGTATAACTAGGTCAATAAACTTACCCCTTCAGAAGCATCAACGAAAATAACAACTCCATCACAAAGACGAAATGCAGCAGTTACCTCATCGGAGAAGTTCACGTGACCTGTTGAAAATGAGATATACAAACTGGCTTTCAATCCATAAATATACATTCTCTTTAACTCAATATTCTGTACGGTGAAATGAAATCAAAGTAAGAAAGTAAGAAACTAATGTAAGATATGAAACGAGTGTGTAACTGACAGTAGTGCCAGTCCCAAAGAATCAATAACAATATTGTTGTCAATGTTGTAAACTTACGAACGCATAATCTAGTAGTTTCTAACTCTTTTACCAAAACTATACGAATCATTGAGATCTGGATATAACCGGAAACAATCGGCAATCGTACTTTAGCTGCTTATATTCTGTTATTTTGTTTCTTGCTTGATCATTTCTTATCTAATTCTAGGCACATTTTCTGTACGTATGTATCTACGTAGTTGACATCTACTATCAATAATACAAAACGCCGCGTGCGGGCGCTATTGTTAGTTTCGGTAGTAAACGACACTCCTGATATGTCCAGAACTTTTATGCTGCGGGAGTTACAGAGAGCATTTCGTTCCCGATACTTGATGTTTAAGTTTAATTATCCAACTGAGTCAATCACGCCGCGCTATTTGAATTATTTGATATCTTACCTGGTGTATCAAAAATATTTAAAAGAAAAGATTTGTCTCGAGAGTCAGGAAGAACTAACGAAACGGGAATACTTTTGATGCTAACACCACGCTGAAAAAGAAATTATAGTGAAAAGTTATTAGAAACAAGACAATACTATTCGCAAGTTAAAAAATGTTATGCTAAATAAAATGTTGGGTGACCAATGATTTTTAATATTCGACTAAGTTTTTTTGCTATAGTATGCAGAGATACGGAACTGGCAACAGGTGCAACCTCTTCATATTGGCTTTTTGCACGAACGTACCTCTTGTTCAGTGAAAAGTGTATCTGTGTAACGAATCTAAAGAAATGAAACACATTTTCGCCTCAACATCGACAATTTTGTATTGGAAGTAATTCTTGTACGTAAAGTTTGTAAATTACCTCATTTTCTTCTTTTGCCTTCATTTCCGGGTGCGTTTGTTCAAGCAAACAATCAACAAAAGTAGTCTGTTAAAAAATTAAGTATTATGGGCGATTATGTACATTAAGTGAAATACAAACAAGCAAATCAAGTATAAAATTTACTTTCTATCAATACCTTGCCATGATGCAAATGGCCTGCCAGTGAAACGTTTCTGATCAAATCTGTATTATCCATCAAGTCAGCTAAATATCTAATGTGAAAAGCATGCATTCAGATGAGCAGGATTCAAATTTACTAAATCACAAACAAAAAATGGCCGTGTATGCTGCATACATCACAATTAAAACTATTCTCAAAACGCATTTGAATTATTAAGTCATACTCAATCTCATAAGTTGTGACAGGAAGATCTTGTTCAGCAAGTACAAACTTCCTGTTTTTTACAGGAGCTATGATAGGCTCTAAAAGAATAAACGAATATATTAACAAAAACAGGGCATAAAAAAACTCTGGCAAATTTCAAGTAACCGCCATAGATTTTCAGGTGCATTTTAATTAAACAGAGTGTATAGAAAACAATCAAAATTTACTAGTATTCCTAATGCAAGATTAAATAAAACTACGTGAAATTTTAAAAAAATTCAATATTAGCTGAATACGAAATAAATACGCATTAGCTACGACAAGAATTCATACACTAAAGCAATGTAAATAAGAAAAATACCGGTGAAAGTTGGTTTTCGGTAAAAAGAAAACATGCGCAATTACCATCATCTTTTAGTTCGTAGAACAACTACCACTTCAAACAAATAACAAGGCTACACACGCTATTTAGTTTCTTTCAATATACGAAAACTTCCATCTTCAACTTAAGGTCGAGAGAAAACTGTTTGTATTACATAGCTTCCCTTCACACGTCTTTGATAAAGTTGTCTGACGTTTGCTCAACAACCTATTTTGAGACTTGGCCTCCAATCCAAACTGTACCGAAGAAAATTGTGTATTTAGTCCTCCCCTTCACTGGCTCACACTCAGATTCGCATCCTAATAACTCGAATTGGCAATGCCGCTTAATTGACCTCAATATTTGATTTGTCTTTTGCTCATACACACGCATTTCATCCTCCTTTCCTTTTAAAGATAAAGTTCCCAAATTGCCAACAACTGGTGTTTTATATTTATTTTAATAACGAGCCTGCTCTGCGTCGCACGTAAGTCAACATAAGCGTTATTTGTGCACCAGAGTATCAAAAAATTTGGAAGTCTCTCTTTTAAAAGAAAAACCATTATCCAGTCAAATTAACTCTGATTTGTTCCTTCACTTAAAAACCACTGATCACTTGGCTCCCTTTGATGACTTCAAAATTGTGTCACCTTACCAAACACATACACACAAGTCTTTTATTTTCCAAACCAAACCCAAGTCTTAACATCCTGGACAATTTCAGACCACTAAACCTAATTTAACTTCACTCATATAAAATTTGACCATCTTAACATATAAAATTTGACCACATTGTCATGATTATAATTTGTAATCAAATACTCTGTAAATATCAAATAACTGGCATAAATGTTTTCAAACTTCCCACATATTACACCTAATCTGATGATCTCTTAAGTTAAAGAGAAAACATTACAATCTATAAAATATTTTATCCATGATCATGAATGGTGGCTTTACATGTAAACCATTAAAAAAAATTGAACACACTATACCAGTTAATGGTTGGGTGTCTTCTTCCTGAACAATTGTCTGAAAAATAGTAAGTCATCATCAGTATTCAAACATGCTACAGATAATATGCAACTTCATTCGCCAAAACAATAATCTGTATAATTTACCAAACAAAATATTTCAAAACATGAACATGAATAACAGTCACAATAAGTATGTACAAATACTCTACTCAACATGGCTGGAAAAAAACATGAAAATCATTGACTTGCAAAAAATTACAACAAATTTTCATGAATAACACAGGATGCCTAGAGAAGACGATATTATTACCTCGACATCTTCACCAAACACTTCTTGAGCGGTAGGATAATATTTCTTATCCTAGAAACAGGTAAAATAAATTTTATTACAAAGGAATTGTTGAACAAGCAAGAAACACAAAGAAAACTGGCTTAACTATTGTACGAAATGAAAACTTACTTCATGTAACACTACTTGCATTTGTGCCTCATCATCTTGTTCAACTTGATCTTCTCCTTGATCATCATCCTGGTGTTTCAAAAAAATATAACTGAAGCTCCATTTAACAGATTGCATGCCTGAATTTATCAATACTCCATATTTCTACAAAGATTTTCATACTTTAAACTTTAGAAAAGTATCCCACAAGCCAGACTGGAATGTTTGTATTGGGCAGCTAAGATCTCAAGTTGTCAATTTTGAGAACACTATGCTTGCAAAACTTTCAATCTTTAATGCGCCTTTATCAGATTTTCCACTAAGGCCCAGAATCTCTAAATTCCATTATCGCTAATGCTTAAGCAAATGCCAAAGCTTTTGCCTGATCTTTTGTCAAAAATTGAAAGACATGAGTTTTTCAGTAACGTTTCAAGCAGCCACAATGTTATGTTTTAACATCCATAGATTTTTAAGGATTTTCCAGCAAAGAGAGAGTTCAAAACATGGAAAATAGTTTCACGATGAGTTTCTTAAGTGGTTTAAATCACCCCTTCAATGGAAGATATTCATCAAATATTGTTCAAAACAACAATCACAAAAACCACAGAAATTCTATTCAATGCTTAGAAGCAATAAATCTAATTGAAATACTTTTTCTACGTATATTTATCAATTCCCATGTGGTGATAGTCGAGGTGATGGTGGTTAATTCAACATTCAATGTCAGATTTCCCTCCAAAAATAATCAACCCATATAAAACTCAAAATAAACAAATAAGAAAAAATACCTCAATATCATCTTGCTGATCATCTTTTTCCCACTCATCTTCACTTTCATCGTCGTCACTTGCGATATCAGGTCCAATGTAATTTCCAAATTCGTCGTACAAATCTGCGTCCATCTTGAAATGTGAAAACGTGCTGAATTCATTTAAGGTGCTTCCGTTTTGTCATTAGAATAGTATTCAAATTTCTAAATAAATTTTTGAAATTAAAAAATTTCAAAATAAACACTTTTTATTATTCCCGTCAAAAATTAAACTCATCGTCAATAAAAATTTTAATTAGCTTTCAAAATCTTTATTTGTTTGACAGTCTTGCTGCAAAAGATAGCAAGTCATCATTTCTGAAGGAAATGAGATCGTCGGTACAATAAAATAAAAATAATAAATACAACAAATTGAAAATGGAAGTTATATTTCTGTACTTCAAAATGGCGTCCTTCTGTTGTTCTAATACCACGTGCGTATCATTATATTATAATTTTTCTTATTTATGATGGGTCGCCTTCGTAAACGACATAATTGGAGAGCTCGTCATGTTGACCAAAAATATGTGAAGAAAATCGCTAAAGGTGAAGTACATAACCAAAACGATGTCAAGGTTTCTGAGACGAATAATTTGGCCTATGGAAGTTCTTTAAATGGAAGTAATGCTCTTACTTTACCCCCCAAAAAAGAAGTAAAATGCTCAAGAATACTTCCTATTCATAATGAAAAAAAGCATCTCAGCAAGAAGGTGAGAAAACGTTTAGAAAAAATAGTTGAGAAAAAGAGAAAAAAGTCCAAACGAGCTGACGTGTTCAGAATGTTGGCAGAAACATCAATAAGTGAACAAGAAATTAGTCAATATAAATCAGTGAAGACCATTGGACAAGTAAGCTACAAAAATTTGAAAACAGCCATGTTGGATACTTGTGATGTTAAATCCTTATACAAAGGAAAAAGGAAAAAAGGAAAAAAAGAACGCATACGAAAGAAAATGAAAATCATGAATGAAAATGCTAAATTACAGGAGAATCGTGAAGAAAGTAGTGACAGCAGCACAGAGGATGATGAAAAATCAATGGTTATTGAGGATACACCTATTGACATAATAAAAAATGTTGAAATAGAGGAGGAGAAGGATGATGAAAAAGTAACTGTTGGAAGCCCAATAAAAAAAATATCAAACAACCCAGAGCTTTCAATCACTTGCAGTGAACCCAAAGTCGATGAATCGAAGCGAATCATAGAGAAAAGTGATACATCGAAAAATAATTCTGTGTATGTTGAAGTATTTCGTGAGTCTGAGATCCAAAGTGCTCGCCTACAGTTACCTATTCTTGGTGAAGAACAAGCAGTCATGGAAGCTATCAGAGAAAATGATGTTGTTCTTTTGGTTGGAGAAACAGGAAGTGGCAAAACCACTCAAGTTCCTCAATTTTTATATGAGGCAGGCTTTGCTTTGGAGAAAATGATTGGTGTGACTGAGCCAAGAAGGGTTGCTGCTGTTAACATGTCTGAGAGAATTTCTTTGGAAATGTCTTTGCCAAAGAGTATTATATCTTACCAAATTCGATACGAAGGAAATACGACATCCGCGACAAAAATCAAATTCATGACTGATGGTGTTCTATTGAGAGAAGTTGAAAATGATTTCTTTCTTTCAAAATATTCCGTCATTGTAATAGATGAAGCTCACGAAAGAAGTGTGTACACTGATATACTTATTGGCTTATTATCAAGGATTGTCCTGTTAAGAAAGAAACAGGGAATTACCTTAAAGCTGGTTATCATGTCAGCCACAATGAAAGTTGAAGACTTTACCAACAACACAAACCTTTTCACACCTATTCCTCCTGTTGTCAAAGTTGAAGCTCGTCAATACCCTGTCACAGTTCATTTTAACAAACGCACTCCTGTTGATTACGTTGATGAGGCATTCCGTAAAGTCGTCAAAATCCATAAGAATCTACCAGATGGAGGAATTCTTGTATTTTTGACAGGACAGAAAGAAATTAATTCCCTTTGCCGTAGGTTAAAGGAAAGCTTTCCCTTGAAGAAAGCCTTGACGCCATGCAGTAAGGACAAATCTAACACAAAATCCATTAACTTAGATGATTACACATTGTCTAATAACTCAACAGTTATGCACCGTGAAATGGAAGATGAAGACGCTGATGAATTATTTAACAATGGTGACAATCACGGTGAATCAGAGAAGTGTTTCGATGAGCAAAATTCACTTGATGATAACTGGTGCCCTATGTATGTCTTGCCTCTTTACTCATTACTATCCAACGAAAGACAGAGAAAGGTGTTTGATACACCTCCAGATGGTGCGAGATTTTGCGTTGTTTCGACCAATGTTGCTGAAACATCTTTAACAATACCTCGTATAAAATATGTAATCGATTCTGGTATGGTGAAGAGACGATATTATGATAAGGTTACTGGAGTTTCTTCATTTAAAATCACGTGGACATCCCAAGCATCGGCCAATCAAAGAGCAGGAAGAGCTGGACGTATTGGCCCTGGTCATTGTTATCGTCTCTATTCCTCCGCTGTTTTTAATAATGATTTTGAATCTTTTACAGAACCGGACATACTGAGACGTCCTGTAGATGATCTTGTATTGCAAATGAAGGCTATCAATATTGATAAAGTCGTTAATTTTCCTTTTCCAACTCCACCAAAACCTCAAGTGCTTGAAGCTGCTGAGAAATTGCTTATTGACCTTGGAGCACTTGCCCCAAAACGAACAACCAAAGGCAATCTTACCTCCGTAATTACTGCTATTGGTCGAACAATGACAAAGTTCCCTGTTTCACCCCGCTTTGCCAAGATGCTGTGCTTGGCGCATCAAAATCAATGTTTACAATACGTCATTGTTATGGTTGCTGCTCTAACAGTCAGTGAATTGTTTTCACAATCTGTTGAAGAAGGCAATGAAAAGAAAGAGCGACAGAGTAAAGTTACGCAGCTAAGAAGAACATGGGCTGGAGAAGGCGTAAGCAAATTGTTAGGTGATTACATGGTAATGTTGCGTGCTATTGGAGCCGCTGAATTCGCTGGATGTTCAACTAAGTTTTGTCATTCAAGTGGCCTACGACCCAAAGCCTTGATTGAAGTACGCAAGCTTCGCGTGCAGTTAACAAATGCAGTAAACAGTGTGAATCCTGATGCACAGTTATATGTTGATCCCAAGATGAAACCTCCAACTATACCACAAACGACAGTATTAAGACAAATCATTTTGTCCTGTTTTGGTGACAATATTGCGCGTCGTATGTCTGTTGACGAATGCTCCAGACGTGAAATCAAGAACGCTTATGAATGTCATTTAACTGAAGATCCTATTTTTATCCATCCTACTTCATCACTGTTTGCTGATCTACCCGAGTACATCGTTTTCCAGGAAGTAGTGGAAACTACTAAACTGTACGTTAAAGGTAATCTTATACAGCACGTCATTTTGTGGTAATACTTTGGTAATGTTTAATATTATTTTATTATTTTTAACAGGCATCGCTGCAGTTGAACCAGAATGGTTTGCAGAGTTGATCCCACAGCATTGCTCTTTCTCCAAGCCTTTGAAAGATCCTCCACCAAGATTTGATGCGTCAACAGGGCTTGTGAAGTGTTACATGAACGTTGCATTTGGGAAACGTGGTTGGGACCTCCTTTCACAAGAGTTGGAGTACCCAAAATCTATCGATAAATTTAAATGGTTTGCGCGTTTTTTGTTGGAGGGCGAGGTTTTTTCCAAATTAGCTCCTTTTACTCAGCACCTTCTGTCTCGTCCATCAGTTATGGTGAAGACGTGGTCTAAACTGCAACCCCGAACAGAAATACTGCTGAAAGAACTCGTCGATAATGATATTGAAAATAAAAATAGTTTGGTTGCTCAATGGAAGGAAGACTCGAGTTTTTTGTTGAAGTCATATCTTCAATGGATTCCTTCAGCTACACACGATGATATAAAGAACATATGGCCTCCTATATAAAATAGCGAGAAATCTTTTTGCCCTAGAATTAAATATAATTCATCCAAATAAGTTTTCAAAGTGATTTTGTTCTTTTAAGAGTATGGAAACTGAATTGATAACGACAAGAAATTTTACCATGCAGTTTTTTATGGCTAAGTAGAGACAAAGATCATTTTAAATGACTACATAGTTTCTTAAAAGACACAGAATGCTGTCGTCACCAATTGTCTATGATGAATTCTAAGAGATTGTTCTGATGATTTTTGATTGGTTAAGCATCGCTAGAAATGAATCTTAAATACCGAATGACTCCACGGAACAATTAGACACTTACAAATCCATAGCAAATCTTGTTACATGTGAAACATGTCAAAAAACATAACTCTTTTATTCAGCATTAAATAATAGAAGTAATGCTCATAATGAGCCTTATACTTTATTAAAACGTATTAATACATTTAAAACTCGGCATCTAAACTTTGACCGATTAATTGTTGTCGACGACTATTTTCAACGGCAGTTGTAACCATACTACGACACTTAATATGACTGAAGCTCATCTCATCATAATGCTATAAATAAAAAAAATATCAATGTTTTTGTCTATTAAATAAATTGACTATCCTTGCAACAATTTAGCCCATGGGGTATAAAAGAACTTACAGATAATAATGTCTGAACTTTATGCACCACGAAAACCGCGATTGCCACGCAAAGAAAGTGAAGGTCTTTCATTGACGAACCTGCAAATGTTATAAGAGTGAAGAAAATCGATTTGTACTCGTTGCTGGACGTAACCACTCTAAAATTTGATGCATTGATGTAAATAAAAAACGCTGAAATCCTTCATTAGCATAAGTGTCCTCACTTAAACTGCTATAAGCATAAGAACGGAGAGTTGATAATCTCGTTCTTATGTATTTGTCGCAAGTGAGGACCACACTTCTACTCGTGTGTGTTTGTGTAGATCACGTGGTATAATTACCTGTGACATGTCGCCAAAGTGACTTCAATTGTATAAGAAGCCATCGTCGCCAAGATGACCAAGTGCCGTTGAGAACACTTGAAGAACAACAGGACAAAATATGCAGAGCTGTTGATACTAAATTAAAAAACAGCAGAAAGTAATGGTTATGGAGAATAAACATAACTTCACGGCTACGTTCAAAATACTAACGTCACATTTTTATTTCTATATTACTTACATTTCTGAACGAATATCCCAGGAGTAGACCTTAGAACATAACGTATACCACGTTGTACGGAGAGTAAGAATTTTCTAATCGAAGACGGTTCGTGTTTATCAATAAGACCAGACATGGTACCAGCCAGCCTAAAAAATAGGGACGCATTACGTACATGTGGTTAGCCTGTGAAACTTATGACAATAAGTAGATTTATCAAACTAGTTCAAGTAATATGATATATTTAGTATTATTTCCTCAAAATTTGCTTGACTAATTACAATAACATTTTCATAGAAAGTTACTTTTTTGCCACAATTACCACATCGCTATAAACTTCTGTTTTGAAACAGTTATCAGAGGTGTACGTATATGTTGTTCACTGAACCTTATGACTTGTATCAATTTACACATATACACGATTTGTGTAATCAAACGAGCGACCGCGTGAAATGGCAAATGAGGAATTGCAAACAAAACATTCTGTAATTATCTTACAGCAATATTATCTTATTTATCATCTATATCCTATTATGCAAGCGTATACATGCATTGGGTTTATTTCGTTCGTAAATCGCTGTAGTAAATACAAAAAATAATGATAGCCATGATAACGGTGTGTCTTACACAGTACCAACGACAACTGTAGCTATAACACCACACTGGTATCAAGAAAATACCGTGAATTACTAAGATTAAAGGTATAACGCCCATGTTTAATTCAATAACTGCACAAATCATTTTGAGGAAAGTAAAAGCCAGCTTGCACTGAGAAAAATTTCCTGAAACTTGTTGTCCGAGATAAGACATCGTAATTATTACAAAAACTGAAACGTCAAAACTAAATATAAAATGATACAACTGAAACATATTCAAGTTTAGTTTATTCTGCTGCAGTATGTCAGTAATCTGGTAAGGTAGCCGCTATGATCCCTGAAATTTTAGTACAAGGAGATTCGTGTGCCACAAATAATTGCACTACAATTAGTGTTAAAGTAAACTTTGCAATATTTCGATGCGTGATAATCATATCAAGTCCAAGATTAAAGAAAGCTATTGATTGGTCAATCGTTGTAGCACACACGTGTACCAATCAACAATTGGCTATTAAAACATTTGCCAATTAGAAACTTTGCAAACTGTGAAGTTTCTTCGTTTATTTGCTTTTTAATCCAAATGAAAGATTTTCTACGTTTTAAGTTCACAATATAGCTAATAGCTACTTGATTAAATCTGATGAATCAGCCTACGTCTTTTATAAACTGAATATTGACAGCATTTCATTTCTATTTGCTGGCGAATTAATCCGATTAACCTTTGATACAACACCAATAGCAAACAGCACGACAATACCAAACAACTAACTTTAAATCGACTAAACCTCTCTGTTTTGCTTAGACAAACAACGTCAATCGCAACTGAGCAAGACATACCGTGAGATTACGTTAGATATATGATAAGTATATTTACTAGCAAGCCAACATTTATATTAACGTTCGTCATTCACCAACCTCCCAGTGAAGTCGACGGCAAGTCTCTGATCATGACTGTTGTTGAAGCCTTGCACAAGCAATCGAGCAAAAACACGATCTTGTCTTAAAATAAACAAAAGAAAAAAGTAAATCAAGCACGAAAGGCTGTAGCTGTGATTTAATAAAATGATAGCATACATTAAAACATTTTATGTAATGATTAGTAGATGTTTAGTAAGCAAGAATTCAATAAATATTTATATGGGTATTTTATCACAAGACAAATATGCATAATTGAGTACATTAAGGAACATATGTTCAGTGTGATATGTACATACATACTAACTAGAGACTTTATCAATATGCCTACAGCACATAAGCATCTTCCTAACCACACAGAGATATGAAATAATACTTTTTCAATATGGAACAGAATGTTTGAAAATGCTGTTTCTACAATAGAATATTACATGCAGATGCAGATCAAAAGTATAATTGAAAAATGAATATTATTGGAATTCACAATGTTTGTAAACATCGTTTTGCATAAGATTTTTCCTATGTCTAATATATTAAACTACAATACCACAATAAAGAAAATTTACATAATTCAAGGATGGAAAAAATGTCTAATAAATCACAACAAAGCTTGTACAAAACAAGGAATTGCAGCTTTTAGTTCAAAATCAGTTTCAAAATGAATTAAATATGAGGTAATTTTAAAGAACATGAATACATATGATAGTACAATCTATCTATATGCAAAACATCAATAATGTGTCTCTTAAATGAGATAAAAAAGCCATCTTTATGTACATAGACAGAATGCAATAACTGAAGCTGAATAAATAATCTAAATAATCTTGAACATATTCTCTAATGACATTTCTCATTATATAGCACTTTGGATGACTTAGTTTGTCAACAAAATGCCCGGCCAATATGACATTTGTACTATTTGAGTTTTGATCAACTATTTTCCTCAGAGATGAGTGAAATTTTGTCACATCATCACAATGTAAAATCCAGGTTACGTAGATGTAATGTAACACACATATTTCGATGAAATGTAACTCCGAGTTTCAATAAATGTAACTTCAAGTTTCAATTAAGTTTTCTTTTTCAAGGTAATTTGCCAGTATGTAAAAATTTATGTTGCCCATTATTTTTCATGCACAAAACAGTAGAAATGAAGACAGTATGCTTAAAATAGAATACTGCAGACTAAAAGTAATTTAATGATGAATTTATTTAAGTTACAAAATATATCACAAAAAAACATGTTGGTCTTATTTTGATCCTATCATATTCTTCATTAAATTTTTTACATTACCAATTTAAATTTGTAAGACTGAACGTTTTAATTGTCTTGATTTTAACTTTAATTTGGGTTTACACGATGTCCTTTTTTTGGTTTACAATTAATGTTTCATTTTATATTTTATGAAATTGTTATCTGGTGAAGGAATAATACAGTACCACTGGTTCACTGTTTAGTTAAATTAATTTTTCAAATTTAAATTTTCAAACCACCTGTAATTAAATTGTGAATAGTCCTGAATCTTCCACAGAATACATGCCTTATTTTTGAAGCAAGACAAAATGTATAACAGTACAAGGAGATAGAAATACTTGTATAAAAGTGGATTGTTTCATGAGCATAATGGAAAGATAGCATTTTAAAACTTTGCATATTTTCCTATCAGACTATATTGTAAAAATGAACATCTATACATTTAGATTAAGAGTATCTGTTTTTCTAACAAACAGCATGATTGTGCATTTGTTTTTTCATTGGTAACTGAAAGAAACTTTCGGTTAGCCCTGCATGAACCAAGGTCATAGTTAGCTAAACTAGTTATACTAATTACTTATTCTTATACATTCAAACCAAATGGCTTGAATTACTGCAAAAATTTATGGGAAAAATTCTAATTTTATGGTTTTCTTATAGTGATTCTAATGAAAGATTACAATAACAAAACTTCCAATTTTATGTTGAGAAACCTAGTCTATTCTCCAAATAAAGGATAGTTGTTTTACCCTTTCAACACTAATAACTAATTATGGAAATAGTTGATTGTATTGTCAACTTAGTCTGATGAAAATTATGACATGGTGAAACTTAGCTATGACTGAAATCCTCTCTGTCATGGAAAATATCATTTCTAAGTTAGGAAAACAATAGGGGATGGACTTTGTAGCCGATCAAGGCAAACAAAAATTACTACATACAGCTCCAAAAAGCATTTGTAGAGTACCAAAACAACAGTCATACGTAACCCATGCTAATTTTGCTACATGAAGATAAACTTTAAAGCGAGCTTAAAAATACTTACACAAAGATGTAATGAATATGTCTCGGTTGCTTCGATGTTCCATGAGTCACTGGTCGTGCTATAGGATCCCAGCGATACGCTTTATAATTTCTCCCAGCTTGAGGTGATATGCTTGTGTCATCGAAGTAATGTTCCAAAGGTATAGCTTGTGAATCATCCAGTCTATCAGACCAATAGTTATTAAAATACTTCATGGCCCCAGATGAATTTTCAAATAGTTTATATAACGTGTCAATTCTGCTGACATATCTGTCCCCTTCGCCGTAATCTGCCGTGCTCTGCCACACAGCACGGCCACATTGTACACCATTAAATCTCTGAAAATTTTCATCATTGTCGGTGCAATATTTATCACATTCATATTTTGACTTGGTCCAGCGACGGCTGCGCAACTGGAGACCTTGTCCTAACGGAAAATACTTTGGAGTCAGGAAAATGTCAGCGAGTGATGGAGAAGCGACATCGACGAAAATTATCAACGCAGCCATTGTTAAAGCGACAGCGAGTGAAACACAAACTATCACTAACTGAATGCTTGGCACCGGCAGAAAATTACTCTTCACTGGAGCTGCTGCAATATTCATTTTCTTTGCACTCATCGCGAAATTTTAGCCTGGAGAATAACAACACAAGCCATAAAATAATGTCATCCACTTAAGATGATAAACTACAATCAACTTACCTTTGAATAAAATAGCTCCTACGTTTAAACAGGCAGCCGTCAGTAAGCCGTAAGACTTGATTTGTATTGATAGGTTGAAAAAAGAAAAAAGTCGAAATTTACGGAAATAATATCAATGGGTTAGTTTATGCTTAAAAAATTATCGCTCAACTTTCCTTTGTTGTCTGACGAAACAAAGCCTCTTATTGGTGGAGAGAGGTAGCAATACATTATATGCCAAAGTGAATATTGCTCATCTTATCAGTACGCAGCTGTTGTTTTTTTGATTTTTTTGCAGATGGCTAGATGTGAATAAGTTTAAATTATGCGTCGGTTTCAAGGAGAACTATTACCGCTTCAAAAGAGATCATCGCTGCATTTTATTATTAAGAAATAAGTATCATGCACGTCGCTGCGCCTCTACCAATCTGTGACATTGAATATTTAGACTGCTTAATTTATAACAGCAAAATTCAATAAAACATAAGGCGTTGTTGGTTTTCTGAATAATGCACAGGATAATTGATGTCGACACAGTCGACGGCGTGAAATTGTTCAACGTTGGTAGAGTTGCACTTCCGCATGAGAAAAATCATTTTTCCCGGACTGCCTGCCATGTTTCCAGGAACGTTCAATAAATTTGTTATCTAAATGAAAAATATTATTTTTATAACAAAAAGTTTTACAAATCCCTTTTGTGTTGTGCTCATGTCAGACCCCAATGCCATAAAATTAAAATATGTAACCGTAACTATGAAATATCATCATTTACGTTGTTAACTATGAACTATTTAATCTAGTTTGGTAACAATATAATGTCATCATCTATGTTGGAAACTATCAAACACTGAGAAAATAAAGCTTTCTTTCAGGTCAGGAGCGGATTATCCAGTAGGCTGACTAGGCTTAAGCCTACAGGCCCGGGCTTTCGAAAGGCCCGTTGTATCTGCACACAATTAGGATTTGAACGTTTTTGCTTTCTGGGCTAGCTAAATGTGCTTAACTTAGATAATTTACGCTGTTGAAATGTTACGTACGAACAGTTGAATGCTGAGGAACAATACCTTTCGTACTATCTTCTTTTCAAATGTTAAATGCTCAGAACTCATGAGGTATTAACTTTTCCTATTTCCTTGACCATGTCAATGATTTTTGAAATTTCGTTGTAACATAATAGGAAATGGGAAGCAAAGGGAAACTGAACTTATTGGGAGGAATAGGCCTGTTTCAAACGTCGAACTTTACATGCACCGAACGCATTAAAAACAAAAGAAACTGAGGAAGTTTATCTCATTATCTTTTGTTTTAAATGCGTCCGGTTCATGTAAAGTTCGACGCTTGAGCTAGGCCTTAAAGGCCCTTAACTTTGTCTTTGCCTATAGGCCCGTAATTAGTAATCCGCCACTGTTTCTGGTCAAATAATGTCATATAACAAACATTTAATTCAACCTACATATCTCGTTCTTAACTGTGAAGTACCTGATAGCTTTCTCAGTCTAAACTTTCTTCATAATGACTTTGAGCTTCATTAATAAGGACTTAAATAATCACCATGCAGGAGGCTTGAAATGTTCATATTCATTTCTTTTTCAAAATCTGTTTCAGGTTCAACAGCATAACATAATTGAATAAACTCTTTGAATAAATGTAAAAGTGCCAAAATAATATCATTGGATCCATTTGGGCCTTCCAAACTTGCAATCTTTCGATTCTATAAGAAATATTTGAACAGCCAGAACTGCATCCACATGCCACTTTTCTAATGTAACAGCACTTGATGGTGCATTTGCTTACGCTTTAGGATAATGACGAGCGAATATTCTGACATCAAATCCAGTACATAAGGTAAGAGACCAAAGCAATAAAAAAATAAAAGCAAACGAAATCATTGTGATCACCATGCACATGCTGGATTTACTTGTAACTGTAAACAGATCAAATAAAGTACTGTCAGTACCTTACTGAAATAACTGAATTTTAAAGAGCGGTGACTCTATTGTTTTTTAAGTTGAGTGGAAAAACTTTGATGGGGATTTAATTCACAGGCGCAATTCTTGGATTCCAGGGAATTATCAAACAACGTCGCTCGCCCACGACGTATGGTACTAACAACAACATTGTTGTAGAGTTCACTGGGGTGGGCACGTGCCCCCCTTAAAATTTGTTGCGCACTCTCCCCCTCCCCCCGCATTGTATATAAAGTTTTAAAAGCATGCAAATAAGCTAGCACATATATTGGTAAAACATTAAAATTTCAAGATGACAAACATGATGAAAACAACTTTTAATTGATTTATTGCTAGTTGAAAAACTCAATCACAAAAACACGTATAAATACCACATAGATAGCCGAAAATCACGTCAAGTTTAGTAAGTCAAAGCTTAGCACTATAAGTAGTCATAAAGATAGACATTAAGGTTTGAAACATTACTGTACCATATAAAAAATGAGAAAAAATGCATACTTCGAACATTTTATTTCATCAGTGTTGAAGAAGTTCATGGGAAGTAAATATTTAGCCAAAGTTATAGAATATACACTGTACATCACTGCATAAATTTTCGTTTAGACCAGCCTCGAGAGAATTATCGCACCACCGTGGAACGAGGATATTTTGTTTAATGGTGCGTGTCCACCATCATGGGGAGTATAAATCCCCAGCATTTGCTCGTTGTTTCTCAGTCTTGCATATCGTAACCATTTGCATGTCGTTTACCAGAAAAATACTAAGGTCTAAAATCAAGGATAGAACAAACATTAAATAACAAGCAAAAACTTTACAAGAAGGCAAAGGTATAAAATTTTGGATGCATAAATTTGATTCACATCACACTACAATCAAAGAAAAAGTATTCTGCAAAAAGAAGCCCTAAAAACATTTATTTTAACTAGGTTTTAAAAAACTTGACGACATATATTACAGACGAATGTTTTACCATTCTTCCTGCACATACTGAGGTACAGATTCAAATAACACTGTCTCATTCTTAATCAATCTTAAAAATTATGCTACAAGTTGCATAAACGTGTTGTGTTCGGATTGGTCAGTTCCTAAGTGTGTCTTCAATTGTATCTAATACCCAGGTAAATCCCTACTTGTATCACATTTCAAAATCTATGTATAAGCCAATGCTTTGCTTTTTATTATCATCGTAACTCTTGTAAAAGAGTATGTAGCTCAATGGGTGCACCCTAACTGTACAGAGCGTATATAAAAAAGAACTTTAGATGAAATTGACGTATTATGATGATTTCAATGCCCATTGCGATTATTTTGCTAATTACTAAATTTTGTCGTCCATTTCTTTTCTTACAAGCCAATTTCAACTTTTTTCAGTTTGTTGGTTCAAATGTCTAAACGCAAATGCAAAAATAGTAATTTATCTATGACAAACGACTATCGTTGCACATTATCAAACTCTATTCAAGTATAGTATATTTATAGTTCTATACCAGATAAACGCAACAGAGCTACACTGGTGTTCTCACCAATCTAGTAAAGATATATTGATGTAACAAAACTTACAGAGGAGTGAAAAGGAGACGGGAGACGACTGGCAAGAAGAGGAGAGGAGAGAAGAGTGGAAAGGAGAGGCACTAAACAAAGAAAGAGGCAAAGCGAAGAAAAGAAAGGAAAGGAGAAGCAAGTAGAGATGAAGACAACCAAAGAGAGGAGAATAGAGGATACACTCTTCTCCACTCCATCATTTTCATAAAAAATAGTAAAATCGTCAATGTACACTCCTCTCTTGAGTCTCTTCATTGTCATCAAAATAAATTGTAAAATTAATCCACTGTAACATAAAGACCAACATTTACTCCAACACAAAGAATAAAACTAATACCAGCATCATTCACCAAGACTAGCACTAAGAGCAAGATTATATCCACAAAAATAATATCACTAGCACTAACACTACACCAAGAGTAACACTTACACAAGAAGCACTAACACTAAGTAACGCTCAAGAGAACACTAGACCACCACCACCACTACCACCACCAGCATTAAGTCATTTTCAATAAGAATTTAACAATATCATACGGTAAGACAAAAACTAGCACTAAAACTAATAACAGTACTACGACGACCAGACGAACTTTTAAGCAATAAGCATTAAGACTAATACTAGCACCACCATGGACGTGTGCTATTTTCGCGTGAAAGACTGGGGGAAAACGGCTTCAATATTACGGAAGTGCGCTAGTAAATATATTCTCAATTCATTTCAATGGTAGTGAATTCGTACAAAATACATTTGTGATGTATCAGTGTATTCATAGACAGTTGACGAAAAATGTCGAAGAAAATACTAACAGCTCCACAAAAGTGTGAACACTGTTACTTGAAATGCATTTTGTAAGTTGAATAAGATAATGAGTTGTTTGACTTTTAGTACATGCGAGCTTTGAGCTTTGTTTATAATTGATAGAGAGGAAGAAGTCAACGGTCTTATAAACACCATCATTCTGGAACCAGTTCAATTGAAGAGTTTTATAGTCAGTGCCGTAAAGCAACTGCACGGTTCGGTAATAATTTATTTGAATAATGTGCAATGTCAATTAAGATTTGGTCTATCCAACGAATGTTATCTAGAACAAGTACAACCTTAGCCATTTCTTTTTTTAGGTTGGATCATCAACTGTAATCGACATTTTGAAAGTGGATAAGAGAAATGGCGAGATTATATTACGTGTGAAGTCAAGGTATAAGTTTTTTAAAAGATGCAAAATCATTAATTAATCATTTGATTCATTTTGTAGTGTATTAAAAAATTATTAATTGATTTAAATCTTATTAGCAACCTTGTGAAATTGTGGAGCTCCTTGACACTTATAAATAAATATAATGACAATGCTTGCCGTTTTAATGTCCAACAGGTATGTGAATTAGTTGGTTTGATTCCCTGTCATTTTTGGACAATATCATTTCATTTAGGTTCAGAAAAATCCATTTTCTTATGTTTTGTTTTAGGTTTCTCCATATTTGATGTCATTAGCAAGAGATAGTAGAACATGGGTGCCATTTATTTCATCTGACTGATATCAAACCTAGAAATTCAAGATTATTGTACAGTTCTATCGTAAAATGTGTCTGACACAAAAATTGACTTTTCTTCTTCTATCCTTCACCTATGTGTAGAGAAAGCCTAGAGATTTGAGAAGTACAAAATTTTAATTTTGTAGTTTGTTCAAAGTTCCGACATTGTCTCAGAATGAAACTGTTGGTGACTGTTGGCAAGATTTTACACATTCAAAATATGGTACTTAAGTGTGTTATTAACAGAGTTTGTAAATTTTATTGTTCAACATTTAACATTTCCAAATGAAGGTGATAGACTATTTTGAAGCATATGTGAAACACGGAACAAAAAATATGTAAAGTCATTGACAATCAAAGAGACATGGCCCGCATTTGTCAACCTGAAGTTCATAACTATGCTTACCAACCACATTGACATTTCACACCTTAATTGACTAATTGTGGCCACACTCAACTAAATGCCATCGCTCTAAAAGACAATTGGAAAGATCTACTTTGAATTATTACCCAAAACTAGTACAGAATACTGTACAGTAAAATTCTTCACTTTTTGACCTCTATGGAAAATACACATACCAGACTTCCAAGTCATTGCAACTTTCTCGCTATTGCCATAAACATTTTGCATCACGTTTGACATTGACTTCTTCCTGCATTTTTCAAAGTTAGCTGTTCGGGCTCCTTTGTAGAGCAACACACCTAATTTTAGTGTGTAATAAATGAAACCAATTTGTGAAGCAATAAAATGAAAATCAGTTGGTCGATATATCATTTAAAGAATGGAGGAACATTTTTATGAGTTCCATCCTGTCTTGCTAAATTTTTTAAAAAAATGTGCAATGTTATTCCCGTTTCAAATGTACACAACATTTTGATTTAAGTTCTACTTTGGAACTAGGAAGGACACATTGTGTAATTGACAGGAATGTCTTTAAACGTGTGATTTGCTCATCTTATCGACATCCAAATCATTTGCACCTAGCACCACCTAAATGTTCATATTTTGCACGTTTTCAATGAGTGCTTTGCACGCCCGGTACCTCTAACGCCTAAAGTTAGAGCAAGTGCTTGCTGCATGACAAGGTTTGGATGAAAGTATTTAAAGATACTACACGGGACCGGAAAAGTTTCATTTGTGAGTGAAAATGCTTTAAAAAAATTCAGTTTGTCGAAAACAAATTACAACTGTAACCATTAGAAGAAGCACAGGTTGAGTTTGGCTGCATAAAGATGGTGTAACCAAATAACCGTTAGCGCCTGCTTTAAGTTTGATTTTAATTTGACGATTATCTTCTAGATGAATTTGAAAGAAACACGACTGGGGAATATGGAAACTTTCGTTTAACTATTTAGTAAAATACGTGACAACGTCCGCAGATTGTCTTCATTGTAACGATTAAAGAAAACAAATACTATATTGTCTTTAAGGTTTTTATGAAGCTATTCCGCATACTTAGACCTGGTGTACTATCGCTTGTTTTTGGCTCGCTTACGCTGTGGCGTTGAGCACTGAATTTTCCAGGAATGAAGCCTCCTTTAAAGAAGCTTTTACAGAAGCTTTTACTTCCCCATTTGCACATTTACAGAAAATACAACGCGCAGCCACTAAACTATAAATGTCTAAAAAATTTGAATACTTTTCTTGAGTTTCAAATTGCAGTTGTTAAAATGACTGACGAAAAGATTGGAACTTTCTTCCAAACATTTTCTATTCACTACTATTGAAAGTAGGGTTGTCCTATAAACTCGTGAAGGTATTGGCCCCACGTTCGTTATTTGGGCTTAGCAACTACCCTTTGCAACTACAGCGCGTGTTTACGCTAGCAAAAATTTCTTACCTGCGCATGGCCTTGGAATTCCGCCCTGAAATGGAATTCACCTTGAATGAAGGAGGTAACCCATCATGCCCTTTAACTTAACCTAATCTGACCTAGTAGATGTCGCACCTACTAGTGACCTGCAACCGAGTTGGGTTGAACTACACATGCATTACATGGGATCCCAGAGGACCGTAGTAGTCACTGTATTAAGCCATTCATGGAAAGGCTCGCTACCGAGACTGCATGCTCTTACATTGCTCGAGGTGAAAAAATAGTAGTCTATTTCCCAAACTATCATCATTTTTGCTGTGGCCTAAGAAGGTCTTGCTTGCTCTATCCTGTCTTCCAGGGTCTTCTTACAGATGCTCTATGCATCCTCTACGCTAAGGTACCATCTCTACCACTAATCCCGAATGGAAGTTGCCTTTCCATGGGCCATACTTCACTTGCATGACCGATCTAAGCTATTATAATGTTTATACTTATGCGAGGCAACGATCGCTGCAGCAATGCAAGCGTCTTAAAGCAGTACATTCACACAGAGGTTTTTCGCTGGTAAATTGGATAAAACAAAACATTGCACGTCAATCAGACGGACTTGTTCACCTTTCCTAATATATATTAATAAGAAAATCTAAAGCAAAACACAAATAAATTGTATGAAACAAAAACAGTTTCTTTACCTCTGAGAATCAAGACTATTCTTCTAGAAATACAGTGGTAAAAACGTCCATAAAGTAATGTATTTATTTAAACCAGGATTTTGCTAGAAATACCCATTGTAAGTGTTGAGAGACACAAGTGTGTAGGTTACGGAGCTCTTGAGTACGAAGCAGTGCAGCAGCGACATTTCAATGAATCTTAAACATTGGGAATTTTGTCCTTCAAAGTGAAGAAGTTAGACCAACGTAAAGTGCAACAAAAAATCATCCTGATGTTTATACGTGGAAAATCGACCGAGCACAAGCTATGACTTTGCATCAGAATTTATAAGAAGTGTATTTCACTACAATTATGAGAGACAAAGTTCAAGTGTATGGTAATGCAGTATAAGATCCGAAACACGATCTTCTAAGATAATCAACCATCTCCCTTGGTTGCAAAGTTTTATCCAAAATGATTCGTGAAAGCAATAATCTCTCAGAATCGCACTATAATATAACTTTTCATACCTAGAGCAAATATTGAAAAATAGGTACGCATTGCATACATGTCACATGAGAGCTTGTGAAACGTATGTCCATAAAACGAAATAGATGAATAAAACTAGTTCAAAATTTCAAGTATTATTATGTAGATTATACTATTTACAAAAACTTATTACATATTCAAAAATATGTTTTGTGCTCACTGTTTAATAAAAAAAATTGTATACAAAGAATCACGAAAGAATCCCAAACCATACATAAGCTAAAGGAAATGGGAAACAATTTCGTTAAAATTATTTGCTAATACAAGATTAAACCTGTTAGTTCAAAATACGATTATTTGTATCTTCGATAGCCCGTATTGGATAGCAATGTGTGAGCTATTCGACTAAAGCTGTTTATTGATTTTCTGAGATAGGATTAGACTTTTTCTTTGGGGTTAATGATTGCTATCCTGTGTAGACGTCCGAAGATACATGAAAGCTTTTTGATTTCCAAGAACAAGCCATCTCTTAATAATAAAAGTATCATCATCAAACTTCTATCCTGGTGCTTTGATATTGTTGCAGTTGTCCTTTGATATGGTTTTGAAATAAACCGAATTATTACAATTCAAACCTTCTTGGTTATAACTTAAATTTGAGTCTACATGACGTCTTTTTTAGAAAATGTTTTATTTTGTCAACTATGTAATATATTGGTTGACTTACGTGAATATAAAGCATTAAAACTATTTTGGGATTGGTTTCTGTCATTCAAGTAAGCAATGCAGCTAAACCAATGTATACGTAGTACTTCATTGGAATTTAAAAATGATGAACATTGAAAGTTGATAGAAAACAAAATGTCCAACCTGTAATCACACTATTTCACCTATTGGATATTTGCAGTTTTTACCAAGCCTGATAACTTTTCAAGGAAGTGTTCATGGTAATTTAATGTTGCTAGAAGACCACCTTCATTCTTTACTTCAAACTTCTTTCCATATGTTATTTCTTTGCCATTAAGAGATGTCATTTTACCTCCAAAAGAGCGAAGTAGAGCATCGCCAGCACAGATATCCCATCTTTTTATCAGTGTTTTGTGAACATATGCATCAGCAAAATTGTTAAATAAAGATAAAACTTTAAAACCTGCTCCACCAGCAGGAATAATAACTGCATCGCCACCAAATGCAGATTTTGCAGTCTCATTTACTGTACCAGCATGAGATCTGGACACAATAATTCTGGGAAATTTTAAACTTTCCTCATTTTTTAATGGTTTAGAAAGATCTTTGGAATGACCATGATTGGTCCACGACCAAAATGTCTTCTTCAGAAATGGTTGATGGATGACTCCAGCTACAGGAACACCTTGCAAAAAATGCAAATCTTAAATTTCTTCCACTTAAATACAGAAGCTTCAAAGATCATTTGGACATCGTTTCTCCTTATTAAAGAAGCTGTAACAATATAGCATGCTTTTACATATGTGTGTAGCAGTTCTTTTAAGCAAACTATTAAGCACAATGTAGTACCACAGTAATGCAAAATGACCACTAAAATTACACACTTTTTTATCATCTTTTGTAGGCCTTTTTTCCAAAAGCACTAATAAAGAGGTGGATGCTATGGGGAGAGCAAGTGTAGGTAGTTGCCTACTGCCCTCTAGTTTAAAGTAACTATATCAGAGTCAGGGAAATAACTTCTTCTGATAGGTCAAAAAATTTTATCTTTATGGACTTTTTAGGCCTAGAGATACGTAGGTGACTCTGTGCCACAAGTGACGTAAAAAGGAGAAAATGTTCATTATGAAAACTGTATAATTCATTGGAAAATAGCGCCTGAACAGCTCTAAATGTTTTCTTTGATTATTTACTCAAACTATGTCATCAATATTATACACTAGGTAGCATCTTAAATTTATATGGTAGTTTACAAGAAGACTTGAAAGCTAAATCATCAATGCAGGTCTTAATTCTCTTTTACATCACATTTAGCCCAAACTTACATACCTGTTTATAGCCCACAAAAAAGCCCATAAAGATAAAATTTTTGCACTATCAAACATACTGCAAATGCTCTATCTAAAGAAGTTGTTCCCTTGACCCTGATATAGGCACTTTAATTACCTTTAATAACAATGCAAACCATTGTTGTAACATATTCAATTAAATTTTCAGTATATTCTTGGTAGCATCAAGTGGGTCAACCCAAATCAGCACATCATCCGCATAAACCAATTCATGTTCACTGCCATGAAGCTCTTCATCAAGAGTTTTTATATCAGATGTTTTGAAGTCAGCTGCAATATTCATCTTATCTCCATGATCATGTTCCTCAGAGACCACTGTAACTAATGGAAAGAGATGCCGAAAACCATGAACAATCACTTTATGTGATTCCATATCTCCAGCAGTTAATGGATCATTTGCACCTTCTAGTGTTTGTCCTTTGCTACGCCTAAACAAAATGATCTAAATTAGTGTATTGGGCACCAAAGGCATTCATGTCAACTCTTATACATATTTAATTACACATTCCTAAATACAAAGAAAATAATTAAAGCACAACTAGTAATCCAAAGCATTAATTATATGATGTTGATGATTTAAGAAAATGGACATCTATGTATAAATGTCTTGTAGCAAGTCTTGTAATTCTCCAGTTAAATATTGTGTTGTTTTTAATGAGACAACATATTAAAAGTTGCTGTAATTTGCAAAAAGTTCACTTAACAAATCAAATAAATCATCAAATCATTAAGTTAATAAGTAAATAACAGGATATACAACAGTAAAATTATTTGGAATAAACTCATGACTTGAAATAATAAAAACTTATAAAACATTTAGGTATACACAAAAGAAACATTTATTAGCTGCCATTACATCAGTTTTGACAATTTATTCCATGTACAGTTACGTTTTGTTTGCAAAGAAAATTGCGAAATCAAACCAAATTTAAACTCTTCAATCTCCAGGTGATATTGTTGTTTGCATGAATAATTTCAGTTCACAGGGACTATTTTTGTTATTGTGTAAGTAGATACGACGTGTAGTGTAGTAAATAAAATCAGTGCTGGAGTTTGTACACCATTGTGCTAATGCTAACCTCGACCATAATAGCATGTAAAACTTTGATCAGACCTGTAAGTCACTTTTTTCACGAATATCTTTTAGAACTTTCCCCCCTCTTTCAGCTAAATATACCGATGCTTCTAAGAGTCTTTTAAACGATATTTCTTCTTCGTACAAAGTCGTAGAATCTGTAAACAATAAATATTTGGTCGCATAGAGAATACTAAATACGGCGCAAACGGAGCAAAATATGCGAAATGGGGATAACTGAATAGGACTCATGATCACAATTCACACAAATAAACCATTCCACACATTCTTTTCTCAGTTTTCTGTGGTGGTGATGATGTTTAGGTGAATACTGAAAATGTCACATGTCATGGAGGAACCAGTAGATGAACCAATCACGTTCTAGCTACGTAGTTTGAATATTCAAAATTAAACTTCTTGTTTGCTTCGACTTTAGTGAATTTGAATTAAAATTTTACTTTATATATTCTATGTTGTTTGTTATTGGAGTTTAAACGTAAATATTTATTAGCTTCCGAAATGGCTACTGCTCGCATCAATCCATCCCATATTGTAGCGAAAACCCAAAGAAAAACTGGACCTTCAGATCGTGAAACACGGGCGTTTGTTGCCCTTCAACATAGAAAAATATCTCGACAAAATGGCCTTGTGAAGAAGCGCGGAGTCTTGTCGAAAGAAATATATAACAACGAAAATGAAGTTGCCAACTGTCAAAATCAGCACGTTAATAAAGGTATGTTTTTAAAAAGTTTTATTTTCATACACTGCATGAGGATTCAAGGTTGAGGCTTTTCACATCGCAAGTTGTAAACAGAAATTTTGTGTTTGTCTTCTGAGTGTCAATGAAATAGTATGTACTCTACTTTATTGTGGATACTCACACTTGTTTGTCTTATCTTGTTACAATCATTCACTTTTAGTGTAAAAATAGTTTGCTTCAGACCGATATACGTGATAGAAATTGTATATTTTCTTTGATTGGGGCACTGAGTGGAGCGTACGTAACACCTAAATTCAGCACACAACAGGTTTTCAATGGTTTAACTATGTGTAAATAACTGCCTTCAGGTATCCTCATTAAAATAATTTTATTGCTGGTGTTGAGTAAATTTGATGGAAAAATTATTTTAGAAATTAAAAATTTTGTCATGAAGATTTTTCATCCCTACAGTAGGCATGCCAACAGAGCTAGATAGAATATTTGATTTGTCAATTTCTTACACTTTGAGCAAATTGTAACTTAAAATGGAAAGTTTATCTCATATTTGGCTATGTACCTAATTTAAAATTTCAGGAAGCATTGTTATTTCTTCTATGTTGTTAAACAAAACTCCATGTGTGCAAAAGTTATGGCTTTGCTTTTTCTATGCAGGATTGTAAACTTGCTGCATGTAATCAGTCCTTTGGAGTTTGAAATTTTTATCAAATTAATGATGATGAAGAGATAACATATCAATCAACATCATCCTTTAGGACATACCGATCCAATCAAAAATGCTTTGAAGAAATGGCAAAAAAACAAACAACAAATTGAAATGAAAAGTAAACAGAGTAAAAAGCAGCCATTTTGCTCAGCATCCAGAGTGTCCTACAAACTTTCTGAGTATTCTCACAGTCATTTAAATGGCAATACAACGAACTCCAGTCAAACAAAAGCTAAGTTGAAAAACATGGTCAACAATAGCACAAACATACCACCTCTTCAGGAAAAACAGTTGAATGTAGGAAACAATTTAACATATACAGCACATGTTATTTATAATCCATTTTATCTCATTTTCAATTGATACACATCTGAGTTTATCTTTACAGAAGACTAAACTGTCAAAACCTTCAAGGGATATGAAAACAGGTATGAAATTAGATTAATGTGTTTTATACTTTGACATATGAACAAACATTTAATATTGTTTTGTATGGCTTTACTTCTAACAACTGACTTGTTAAAACAGATTTCTTTCATGTGTATAAATCGGTTGTCTAGTTTTTATCTATATTATTGATTGTATTACAGGCAGTCGTTCAGTTATCAAACGTACAGCGCCATCCTCTACCAGCACAATGGAAACAAGATCAATGTCAAAGAAAGCAATTTCATCCAACAACTTTCACTCTACTGTATTCCCTTCTGTCAAAAGCATCACCACCAAATCCGTGCATTCGTCCATAAATAGAAATGAAGATTGCTCGACCAAATCGAAAATTACTAATAAAGAAATGAAAAAAAAGAATTGCCAAGTGAAGCAACCAATCACTGCGAATCGTAACGATAAAACAGCCAATCAGAGTCGAATTCCTACTAAGCAGAAGCACCCAGTTCCTCAAATTCCAAAGCAATTCTCATTTACGGTCCCTGCTAGTGTGCAAAGTTTTAGTTATTGCGCTGATAAATTTCAATTTACACAACTTTCTCCCGCCAGTGCTAGCAAATTCTTCCCCACGGAAAATGCCAGTAATGAAGGTTTTAGCGAAAAATTAAAGCAGACCAAGAAGTCGCTGACGAAAGAAACAAAAACAAATGTTGAAATGACAGACGTTTCTGGCGACGGAAAAAACGAAGAAATTAGCACAAACTACTTTCGAGATCTGGCAAACAGTGAAATCAATCGCTTGAAAAGCCACTGTTTATCTTGGGAATGTTTCGGTGAAAAAGATAGTGGTACCCTGAAGAAGGTACTTATTTTTGCATTTGTTTTAAAAAAATTGAGCTTTATATTAATTTTATTTGCAAGAAATATTTAGATAGATGTGCTGCATGTATTAATGCAGACATAAAAAAAACAACACAGTGTTTGGCTCCTTGTATAAATTGTATTATTATGTTAAAGTTTGAGGCTCAACTTCTTGAATGACTGTAAATGCCAATATGGTTTTATGGTTTTCTTCAAGTTTTATTGGTGGAAGAGTGCAAACTCATTTTGCGAATCGAACATGTTTTTATTCTCAAATTCACTTTCATCGAAATGGGTAATTTATTTTAAACGGGTAGGAAAAGAAATTTAAACTATCTTGATGAATTTATTAAGTACTTTTAATACGTTGATCACTTAAAAAATAAAAGATGTTTACTGTGTTTGCATCATTGAGCTAAAATACATGGAATGCTAACTGAAGCAAATAATTGAAGCCAAATCTTACACCCAGACACGCGTGTGTAGTGTTTCGAGATTTTGAAAATTAATTGACTACACATACGTGTCTGGGTGTAATCTCGCGTGTCTGGATGTAAAATTTGGCTTCAACAATTTATTAGATTTTTCTATTACAGATAGCGTTCCATGTATTTTAGTTCAATGGTTTGCATACTGGTTTCTACAGGCTTATGCAAACCGAGGAGATCTTTGGGAAAAGCGAGAGCAGATCAGTGGAAGTTCCAGAGTCCCAGGCCTGAGGTCGAGCGCTTGCTCGAGAGTTCTCACAAACGTCTCCGAGATTGCATAAGCTAGTACAAACACGAAAAATTTTTTTTGTTTCATTTATAATTCAACAATAATGCAAAGCAGATCAATGTTTCTCTGTTGATGCTTGATTTGCAAATTCTTGTTTGATTTAGTTATTGAGCTTATAGATTGGTCTGCACGTACAGGATAGTTTGAACTCAGCTATCGACCAATCCGCGCATACGACTTACTGTTTTTATTTTATAGTTAAAGGAAAGATAAGAACCGTGATTGGTCAAGTACAACTGCTTGCGACTAAGAAATTCAAACAATTCAATGGGCTGCTTGATCTTAGCGAGGTATTGTGTTAGACTTTGTTTGTAAAAAGGTCTTAAACTTACCCAACAATAATAATATGCACCCAAAAACGCAGGACCCTGATGCCGAAAGGAAGACCCTTGTCTCCGATTTGCAAGGATTTTGGGACATGATGTATATTCAGGTACTTGTATATGTAGGTCTGTATTGACAGACTAAATACAGCTGTACGCAATAGCAAAATGTATTTTTAATTTGGGTCTCTGGATTGTCATTTTCTATGCAGGTGAAAGATATTGATAAGAAGTTTTCAGAACTTGAGGATCTAAAGAAAAATAACTGGATTGAGAAACAAGTCGATATCAAGAAGGTTGTGAAGGTACTGTAGTCGGCCATTCCTCCTTCATAGAATCGCGTTCTTTCCCCTCAATATATTATGTCTTTTAAAAAAAGTTTGGAAAATGAAATAAATACGGTTGTGAAAGCATGGTTTTGATCTTGCAGAAGAGATCAAGCGCGAAAAAGGCTGTCAGTGGTTCTAAAATGTCCACTAACAAGACAGATGAAAGCCGGAATAAGTTTCGTGAAATGAGAACACGAATGAAAGCTAAAATAGATGCAGAAAGAAGGGATGAAGAGGTTAATTATTGTACTCATATTTAATCACTGTATTGCATATATATATATACGTGTTGAACATCCGAAAATTGTTTAATAGCAGTCCTAGATTTTGATAAAGTCATGCCACACCAAAGAACGCACGCAAACATAACTTTATTTAATGTGAGCTTCTCACTTCCATCTTTTCATTAAATAGTTACTTCATAGTCGACATAGCTTTTTTGAACACAAAATCAAAAAATAGTTTTATTTGGCTCCTTGACGATGAAAAAACTAATGATACGATTCTGTTTTACTTTAGAACGCTTTTAAAATCATTCTTACGCCGGTTAAAAATAAAGCTGCAATTGGTAAGATACATACGCAAGAAAGCAGACACTATTAACTAGTTGTTTAGTAGCTATGACAATATTTGAAGTTGAGTATTAAACTTTTGGGTCGTTTGCACAAAGGAATCTCGGGCAAAAATGTAATACGCTTTTAATTGCCATGATGTAACATTCTCTCATCGATTATTGGCGCCAGTTTTGGGATTAAAATGTTTCTCTATAGGAATCTAGTTTTGAGAGAATGTTTTCCATCGTCTTTTTCTGTAATGTAACCCTATGCAGTCATGGTTTCGTGAAAAATTCATTGAGTTGTTTAGGCCTGTTTCAAACGTCGCATTTTAAGTGAGTCGAATGCATTCAAAGCAAAAGATAATAAGGAATTTTATCTCATTTTCTTTTGTCTCTAATGCATTCGACACATGTAAAATGCGATGTATAAAACAGGCCGATGTATAAAACTTGTGTCTTTTTCATTACAGGTTCAAACGAACCTGAAACAATTCTAACACCAGTCAGACGTTCAACCCGTAAACCTCGAAATGATATCAATGCTGCAGGTAAATTGTGCTCTTACTATGGATAAATTTTTTAAAGACTTAAGTAGATTTAACAAAGAGATTGCTGTGTGTAATGTGTAACCATTGATTTAGATCCACTGAGAAATCTTCCAGCAAATGTCTCTGTTGACTTGTTTGGTTCAACAAGCAAAACTGGACAACGGTAAGTTTGAATGCTAGAAATCTTTTGCTAGAAATTATGATTGGCTCAGAAATTACTTCGACTCAGGAATAGAGCAAAATCAGTTTCATAATGTCGTGGATCAAACGAGTGTTTTTTGTGGTTTTCTTGTTTCTTAAAAACTGACGTTTTCTCCAACAAGTTGTTTCTGTACACAAGTTGTTAAATGACGACATAAATCTTGAGTTAAGGAGTTATGACAATCTACTCAAAAATATTATAAAAACATTTTTTGTGACAAATCAAATGTATCTTCAAATCATATCAGGATTTTTTATTGTTTTCGTAGTCAGATAAAATGGATTTTTCGATTTTTCATTTTTTTATGCAATTAGAAGATTTTGAATAAAACCTTTTCTTATGTCAAAAAGCTCGCTGGGTAACGTATAGATTGTAAAAAACGTTTAAAGTATAGATGCTACAAATTGTTTCATTTTCGCGTGTGTAGCATCATCAAAAACGAATATTTGACAAACTTTGATGACAGTGTATTTGGTGGTCTTTCATCCCCTGTTCCACATTCAGTTGAAGAAGATCTCATGATTTTCTCGCCTAAAACGACTGGTAAGTAAAGTAAAGTAAAGTAAATTTTTTGAATTGTTTGATTTGTTATGTGCAGGAATGTAGGAAGCGGCATATTTCGCCAGTGGAAACATCTAAAATCACCACCAAATTTGGTGTAAATTAAAACTTGAATGTCCTCATAGAAAGTATTTCTTTTGAGACTGTTAGGAATACTAACTGGCTTGAATCTGAGTCATTACGTAAGTCGTTTGAAAGTTATTTTTACGGCACCTCCAATTTTCATATAGCTCGTTGTTTGTAACTTAGAGTTTGTACTCAAGTTTTTTTCTTTTTTTTTATATTTTTCTTTGTATTCGTATAGGCAATACAAACATGAAAGCGGTGGATGAATCCAATGCAAGTGTATATCTTTGAACACTCTTCACCCGAGTAATGGGTTTTTTTCGTGGACTGTTTCGTTAGAACTGTAAATACATTAATGTAAGAAGAAACATTTTTGCATAATACCAAGAGCATAAGAAAAGTTGCAGCCACTGCAAAGCAAGTAAAGCATTATACTTTAATGATTGATTTAAACAGGGGTGCACATGCACAAAATTCCAAGTCCTTGGAAGTCATTATATTTATAGAGGTGGTTGAAACCTTCGTTATATCTTCTAAATTGCTGTATTATTTGTAAAGGTTTCGAGGTTACAGTTTTTGTCGCTGGGCTATAGTTAACTATTCTATTATGCTTACGGTATTGGACATGTATGTGCACGTAGTGTTGTTTAACAACATGAAATATCAATCAGAGAAAGAAAGCTACGTAACGTTTTCCAACAAGACAACAATACGCATAAGGTATAACAGAAAGCCAGTAAGAGGTCGCTATTGGAAACCATGGGGAAGTACACATGAAGAATTTTTTTCAGTAAACAAAGGAAGAGACGCTCTTCTTCCCTTTTTCTTCCTCTTTGGCTTCTTTACCCTCGTCTTTTCTTCCCTCTTGTTTATCTTTCTTTATACATTCGAGCTCCTCTTTCTCAACATTCGCTTGCATAATATTCCCCTTTTCTTCGTGCTCTCCTATACTCAGTGTTTTTCTACCTTGCGGGTTTCCTACATGCCAATTCCTCCCTCAGCTGTTGCAGAAAAGTAACAAATACGTCATCCAATATAAGTGAAGTCATGCAAATATATTAATAGACATTTTGTTCATTGGTGCGTTATCATTGCGCGTCACGGTTGAGAACATTTTCAGCGAAAGAAGATATGTTAGAAAAATGCCACCTGTGAACTTCTTCCCTCCAAATCAATGATCCATTTCAAAAATGTCAAAGTTGTTGTTTTTTTTATCATGATTACTAATGATATTTGATTTAGAAATTTTTCACTCTTAAAGTAATTTTGTTGTGTTTCTTAAAGCTTGTGTTTGTTTATGGAGGTGTTGGGTAGTTGCTTGGAATTTTACATAATTACTACATTTGGTAAGTTTTCTTTAATCAAACAACAGTTTATTGTATATTTCGTATTCAATTTTTATTACTTATCCTCAATTCACATCATACTAAGTCAACAAAAGGGATAATTTGGAAATAAACTTATAACTTTCCGAAATTGTCTTTGTAAATGTGGCCGCGCAATGTTTTTATATTTTTGTATGTAAGATAGCGCAGCACCAACTCTCGAGGCCAGCACGAGTTTTTACTTCTGTTATGCAACTTTTTTAGCAAATTATTCAGTTCGTTAGACATTTAAACTATTGAATCAATTAATGAAAACAGATACATTTGCATGGCCAATGGCTCGTCAAAAGAGAAAAAATCTGCCTCGTGTTTAGCATGGGTTTGCATTATATAAATTAACATATAATTGTCTAAACAGCAGCATTATTAAGTAACATTTGCCACATGCAAAACAAAACAACAATGTTTATGACAATGAAATTGAAATTAGTCATATCAACATAAGCAACATTTAAAAAAGGAATCTATTAACTCTATTGGTTTTTGTTTACGTGTGAACTATTTATGTGCTTTCTAGTTTTGAGCGATTAAAATGAAGCTAAAGTTGAGATTGGCAACATTATCATTTTTATTACATCTCGTGGTGATAATAATTCTCCTTAATTTTCCAACATCTTGTGGAAAGTCATTATCGCCAAGTAAGTAGTTAAAATATAAAGATGTACTTTATTGTAATAACTTATTTCTCAATTGATATGCAGCGAAGTATGTTCGAATGTAGGATAGTATTGTAGTAAGGGAAGATTAACATGAAAACATATCTGTATATGTGGGATGTGGAATTTCACCCAATAGATTGCAAGCCTGTCCATGAAAAATTTGGTGTGGGGAGGGAAGGTATGCTCTCAGCTCTCCCACGCGAGTTTTCACTGTCCTTTTCCACGAGTTTCACATGCGTCAATCATTTTTTAAAAGTTGTTTATGCATGACATCTAATAATAATAATGTATAGCATTGTTATATATTCTTGCCCATATTTATTGGGAGAGTCACTAAGGTAAATAATCATAAAAGTTGTATACATTTATTAATTTCAGTGGCGACAATGAGACAAAGCAAACCTTGACATTTAATACCCACGACTTCATTACAACCAACGAACACTATAGTTATGACAATGGACAACCATCGGACTGACTGTTCAACCTAAATGACTATCTTATTGTAACACTCATTACAAGGCGAGTGGTCATACACTCTTACTTAAAGGCACAGCCTACCAAAGCAGGGGCAGCGGAGGCAGTGGGCGAGGGGATATCTCCACCTCCTATAAATTGACTAAGGATCGTCCTGACCTCCCTCCCGAATATTTAATATGTCTTACAATTTATTTCAGTTAATAAAATATTACTGTTAACAAAGAAGAATAACACAATTTTTGGTTATTCTTTAGCCTCCTATTGAAATAGGAAAAAAGTCTTTCCTCATTTTCATGTTACTTATATTTCGTTTGAAATATTGAATTCGTTGGCTAAAACAGCGGAGGATTGTGTATTTCTGTTAATAATTAATGTCTACTTTGTCGAGAACAATCATCAGAGCAATAACAATCATGAATATTGAAAACACAAAAGCTCTTTAACCGTTCATAGGGAATTCAGAGTACTTTTAGGATTGGTGAGCCTTACATATTTTTAAATAGCATGTATTTTTTTTCATCTTGGGTATTAATTATTCTCTGGATAGAAATCATTACATTGTTTCAAAAATATCTTATAAAAGAGAAAAAGCCATCACTAAAATAAAACAGCTTTTTTAAGACTAACACAAAGAGGAAAAAATGGTTAGGTTTTCACAGTCTTGAAACGTTTTTCTAGATACGAAAGAAATACGGAACGACAAAAACGATGGTAATAATGAATTGGAAAAACACCAGAAAAATAATTTTGTTCATAACAATTTATTAAGTGATCTTGCAAGAATATCAAGTGATGAAGCTGTTGATAAAAAACAGTCAAATATTGTAAATGAAAAGGGTGCTATTTCGATGAAGAATTCAGATGACAATGACAGCGCAAATCAAAAAAAAACCAAGGCTAAAGTAAGCACTCCTGTGATCAGGACTCCTGCAAAGTGGCATCTCTTACTGATGACAAAATGAGCTCTGCAGCGGGAAAAAACGATAAAATAAGCTTGGTGAAATTTACCAAACCAAAGAACAATGAATCAAATAAGCACCAGACAAGTAGATTTTCTAAATTTACCACGCCCAAGAACGATGTTCCTGACATAGAGAGGTCTAATGATGATGATGTCAACAAATCCCACCGTATCCCCTCTGTAGTTAGCGATAGAAACGATCATCATCCATATAAGAAAGAAGATAATAGTAAGTTCTTGCACTCTGCTACTAGTTCAGATCAAGAAGAACCAGGAAAAGATAGGAATAAGCCCGAAATGAAAAATTCATCTTCAAAAGAGAAAGATGAATCCCCCGAAGTCAGATCGAATAATATACTCAAGAGTTATGAAAATGACGCAAGTGGTAAGAATTTCTCCATATCTCATCTTGTAATTGGCTCACTTATTAAGAAATTTGACATTTGAGGAAAGCAAATTTTGGTAATAGCAATAGGGTAAATAGTGAGTACTCGAAGTTTTATTGCACACTTTCCTCATTGCATAGAAACCTAAGATCGTGTTCATTAAGCAAATATCTTTTGACATCACATTGCCTAGGTGAGAAAATAGCAGCTTTCATCAAAATTTTACTGCAGATATCCAACTTTGAAACATGGCAAAAAATGATGCTCTTCAAAAATTTGTACTTCTTACGTAATGTGTCGTAACTACTTAAGGTGACGACAGAAAATACAACGAAAGAAATTTGAAGTACAAAGGTTTGATTTGGTGTCTAAAGAAACTGACAAAGAGTATTTTTTAGATCATGTGGTTGTGTGTGCAGGAGAAAAAGACGATCGCTTGTCCTGATAATGCATTGATTAACATTACCAATGCAATTTACGGTTACGATGGTGAAAGTGGCTGTTCTATAGACAATTCACCATTTTGTCAAGCTAAGGGCGTCCATGAAGTTGTAAGATCAGCTTGCCAAAATGAGACATCATGCTTACTTCAGTCAAGTGGTCAAGAATTTGAAGGAATGTGTCCTGGAAAAAATAACTTCCTTAAAGTTGGGTATGTTTGTGAGAAACAACCATCTTCATTTTCAAGCTCAAACTTAAACTCAAACGAAGCAATCACCAGTTGGCCTGCATCATCTATTGAGTCAATGCAGCAAAGTTTGTATCAACCCATAAAAGGTAAATCGTCTTGATTGTCATATTGGTAATGTGATTGGCTCATTTGCAGTCACATGATTTAAAATAAATACAATTTTCCGTTCCCGCCAAGGAAACAAGTGGAAATTGTTGCCCGCTCATTTTGATGCCATAAAAAATAAAACAGCTTTGGAGCCAAAAACTAAAAACATTTCTCGAGCTCATTTATATGACAAAATTCAAATATTAAAAGAGAATCTCGGAGAAAACTCACTATTTTACTCTAGAGCATACATTAAACTTATATTGTATGCTGAACAGCAATTTAAAGTAAATTTTCAAAATGGCTGTTATCGAGAAAATTGTTGAATATAAGTAAACTAAAGGTGATTGGGTGAAGGCATCATGTAGAAAAAGAAATACTTGATTTCTTTCATATTTTGCACCGCTGCCACATTGCCTACCTAAGAATTTTTAGATGATCCATGTATGTACTTTTCTTATGTTTGTTAATTAAAAGTAAAACATTGTACAATTTTATCAATTGCATGTATGTATGCCCACGTAGCTATTTTACACCCGAACAAGTTTCTATTCATGAATCATTCTAATGCTTCGAATTTGCCATTCATTTAGATTCTTATTCTAGTTACCAGTCCTCTCCTTACATTCCACATCCATTAAAGAGTCAACCAATATCTTATTATAACTATGCACACAATCCAATGAATACCATTGGTTATGGTGATTACAATCAGCAACAAAAATCCATGTCATATAACACAGGCTTGATGAATGACAAAGTCACATGGCCAATGGCCAACCCTTACAACACTTACTTTGAAAATCAGAATTATAAACCTTTTCAACCTATGGAGCCTAAAATGCCTGCATCGTCAAATTACTATTTTGATTCTGGAACAAGGATGCCATTTGGAAACCAGCAGCAGAAATTTTGGCCTTATGCAACTCAGGAACTGTTTCAATATCAACAACCTTTTGATTCATATAAAAACAACAACAACAAACAACAAAATTATCCTCAGTATCAAGATTACAGTTATCAATACAATAATATTGGAAAAAACTACGATACAAAGAACAACCCTAAAAAATATGCTGACACGAAGTATTCGCAACAGAAAACCTCGTCAAAGTCACGTTCATCGACTAGTTTTCATTATCCACGCAACTCATATACGGGATCATGTTATGCATGTACTAGTTGCCAGGATTGCTCTACCAAATCGTATTGTCAAGGATGTCCATCGTGTAAGAAATTATCTTGTGATGAGAAACCAAAAAAAGAAGCAAAGTATTTGGATTCTATTGATAGTTTGATTGAAGAATTTGGAAAGAAAACTAAAGGTGCGATTCTTTTTTAGTTGATAAACTGAATTGCTACGTTACTCATATATACGAAAAGAAACCAAAAGCTTGAAACTGCTGATTTCTACAAACAAACTTCTCTTCGCAATCTCGTTCTTGTTGTCTTAACCTACATCAATAAAAATATCTTTGTTAATCACTAAATGATAATCTTGTAGACATGTCACCAATGGAAATGTCCGCTGTTGTAATCTCTCCAGTTCCTAAAAATTTTCAAATCAAACATTCCCTTCCTCTCGAGGATCCTTCCTTCCGCCCAGAAGACAACAACGATGACAAAGATGATGAATATACTGAAATTGATGAGAAGAAAGATGTTGTTCATAAAAAGGTTGATGATGATGATGATGAAAATGATGAAAGCGAGTTGACGTTGGCTGACGGCGAAAACAACAGACATGAAACCCAAAATCAGGAAGAACACAAAAAAACAGCTGTTTTTAAACCTATGTAAGTCGAAATCTACATTAAAATGTCTTTGTCCTAAGCATTGCTTGGGTAAAACTTTTCAGTTCATCGTTTGCAATGAGTTTTCATTGTTTACTTTACAGTGAATTTGCGTCAGAAATAAATAAATTCAAGCACAAGAAAAACGACGAGAAAGCAAAAAAAATGAAGAAAAAATCGCGTAAAAAGTCGAAAGCTATTTATGATGACGATGATGATGAAGATGGCTATGACTATAAAGTCTATGAAGATCTACTCAAAAGCCAAATAAAACAGAGTCAAGCATCAAAAGAAACGTAACCATAAGCACAAACATAAAAATCAAGAAAACATAATGTAAAACGTGAGTTGCACAACAATGGACATGCTGAGGAAGTCATTGCGGAAGAAAATAATTATGATCAAGAGATATCTTATCTTAAGCCGGTATTCTATGATACTGCTAACTGATGGTGACGCTTTATGTGACAAATGTAAAAAAAATTATTGGAGAATATCAGGAAGAGCATTTCAAAATTGCTTTTTTTTTGGTTACAATGACGATTACTATGTTTGTAAAACAAACGATTTACTTACCAAATGGTCAAAACAAACTAAAGTCAATCATAGTTTCATTATCTTCTTTGGTAAGGCAATTTATCAAGAAAGAACAGTGTGGACTTTTTCCAATTTTTTTTCTTTCTAAAATTTTTTCCAACTGGAAATTAGCATTGTAGCTATATATACTGCAAATAAAACTATTGCTGTTGGACAATTTGCATAGGAAACCATTTTCCTTGCAAACAACGCCTTACGTTTATTATAAACTATTATATAAATCATATTTTAGCTCATAATTTCGTATTGTTGATAATGCAGGACGTGTTACTGAATGTTCCGTTTCGATGATTGCAAAAATTATCGCTACTAAAACTGTATATGTCATAAAGAGGTGTAAATCGTTTACCTTTTAACTAAGAGAAAGCTGGGTGTTACGAGTTCTATGTTCTTGTTATGTGTTGTACGTAAAGATAATTTTTTTTGAATTGATCAACAATTTAAAATGTGTATGATATTATTTTATCTCTGTTGAGGATTTAAAGTTAGAGTATGAGCAAGTTGGCAAATGCAACAATGTTAAAAAGCTTAAAAATTAAACGAGAAGATAATTTGTTTTACGACACAAATCCATTACTGATAAACTAAAAAATAAATTTTTCCACATGTTCACCCATTCACAGCTTTATTAAGCATTAATACTGTAGCTTGCTTGCTCCATTTTTGAATTCGTGAAATGACTGAAGCTATTGCGTCACTCAAATCTTTAAAAAGAACGAAAATTGTGTCGAACATTATTACGAGGATATTATTAAGAAAGGACAAAGTCATGAAGTTACTTATTTTTCTATAGCTACAAAAATGCTTTTATTGAAGCATTTGTTTTTAGAACATCACTTGTCTGATACAGGTCTTTTGAAGTGAAAGCTTTATTAAACAGTCTGGAAAAATCGATGCTTTTGAGGATCGTTCTTAATTATGAAACATACTATCAGATATTCAGTTCATTTTATATTTGAGTGACACAATGAGTATTTAACTACTTTGCTGTCTCCCTCAAAAGAAATTAAAGACAATTAATTCTATCAATGAAAACATCGTAGGATAGAAAAGCACCGTACAGTAGATAACACCGCAAAAAAGCACCTCCATTAAAAAGTTTGTTTTCCTGGAAAAAACCAGTATTTTCATATTGTATTTTCTATGTGTTTGTCTTTAAATGTTTTAATTTTATTGCTAAAAATAATAATAATATCAGTCTATTTCATATTATTTCAAAGAACGATAAATTTATTTATGATCAAATATGTCACGGTCATCGATCTTAAGCAGGTGTTTCACGAGTTGTAGTTCATTTCATTATTATTATCTCAACCATAATGGATGTCAATCTTGCGTTTAAATTGCTCTTCGTACTGAACTTATTCAGCCTTGTTATTTCAGGTAGAGATTCTAATTTTTTTATTCTGCATTATAACAATTAGTAACTCATTGCTTAAACTTGAATAGCACATTGACGCACAATTTTCAATGAATATACTATGGATAAAACTACTTATAAAAGGAGTATGATTGAGAAATAAAATATAATACTGAAATAGCTAAAGCCTATTGACCCTTAAAATACTCTTAATAGTAAGGGAAAATGTTCAAAAGTTCTTGCTGGAAAATATAGTATTATTATCGATTTCGTCTAAATGTCGTCAGGCCTCAAATTTTGTTCGAAGACCACGCCCAAAATACTTTAAACTCCTTCTAAACAAAATTATTTTGGTAAGGAAACATGACTACCTCCTTTAACTGGTTGTTTAATTAAATGTTAATAGCAAGGTGTGATGAATGTTTGTCAGATTTTATTCCATTTGAAAATGAGAGAAATAGAGATAGAGAATGAGGTTTATGTATTTAACCGTATATAAAATGGAGTTAGATTGTAATACATCAGGCATAAAAAAATTGTTGCACTGTTGCGTAAGCGTTTAAGTCCAAATATTTGAACTAATTTTTTACGTATAATGCAATATTTTGTACATTCTCATTCGAATATTTAAAATGTTAACGGGCGTTGCAATGACGGTGCTGCAATATTGGAAATAAAATTCTTTCTGTAAAATAAACATATTTACAACAGCAACTATCTGTCAATTGTTAATCTAAATGCATTGTAAAGGTTAGCCATGATTCAATTCAATCTCATGAAAAATTTGTTTTTCTGTTCTGGATAAAACAAAATTTCAGGACATTCATCCGACATTTATTCTAATCACTTCGCTATATGCATATTTAAAGAAGGCACTATAGTCACATGGCTGTTGGAAATTGAAACTATTGTCTTGTGCTCAACATTTCATTCCTTCTAATAATTGGAAAAATTTCAAATTATGGTTTTAAAGTCACCGAGGGAACCTTCCCCATGTTAACTTTCCACTACTCAATGTCTACTTTTAAACACTCGTGCTTTAATGAAACAAGAACGCAATATTATCATTATCATAATTGATTTTCAAAATATAAAACACTTAATAATTCTGCACGCTCTAAAGAATTTATTTTGCGTAGAACATCGTTGGTTTGTGCGTAACTCCATTCCTGGAAAGCGAAGAAACTACATGTTTCGTCTTTCACCCAAACATCCTAATGCTGGTGTGTTGAATTAACTCGTATGACATTTTTAGATGTTTTACTTCGAAATTCTTCACTGCTTTTGAGTAAAGTAAGATTGAGTAAAGTAAGATAAGCTCTTCACTAACTATGTTTTTGAGTAAAGTAAGATTGATAAAAGTTATTGAATATTTTGCATTGTTTTATTGACCTATACTTTCTTTTCTATTGATTTTGAAGTATTTCAAACACCAAAAGCATCAAAGTATCTTCCATAAAGAATTTTATAATCTTAATTATATGCTATAGAAAGTATTTTAAAATACTGATGAAACTAAACTTTAAGTTACATATATTTTCTCTCCAACAAATAAAATTTCACTATACACAGCTGAAAGCAAAAACAATCCTTTTGAAATATAGTCTACAAAATTTTAAATGCACATAATATTTAATGAAAAATTACATCCACAATTCATGAAATATATACACTTAGAAACATATTTATTGAATTACTATGATGTCATCGATTGATTTACTGTTGATAATTTCCTTATCGTTAACGTTTCTGTGATTTTAGGACGACATAAAGTAGAAGAAAATTCTCGAAAAAGATATTTATACAGCACAAATAACATGTTCGACCCAGAACAAGGGTTCATTGAAACATATTATCAGCAATTGTCCCCAAACAATAAGTATTCAGGTAATGCATAAACAAACTAATTGAATGATCGAGTAACGTAAATTCATTTTTGTACTCTTTTTAATGTTTTACCTACAAAATTTTCTTTCAATCAGTGTATACGTAATTCAAATTATATCTATTTACATGACGACTTCAAACTTAATTATTTTAGGTATGTTTTTTTGAATAGGTTACCCATACCCTCAGATTCAATATGGAGCTGCCACACCAGGCCCAATGCACGATCCAGTTTACGATGGTATGCTGTAACGTCAAGTCATGAATACGTTTTTTCTTAGTCTTCATTAGCTGTCGAAATTTATTCTCCGATAAATATTGGGGTGTTTTATACAAAGACATAGCTAGAACCCAGTCTGTTAGGTACTTGACTCCGCAAAAGTTCCAGGGTTACGTGCGAGGCAAGCTGCCATCTTGGAAAGTGGCAAATTTCACGATGTGTACGACAATAGCATGGCCATAACCATGGCCTTAAGACCTCATGTAGGGGTCATTGATCAAAACATTGAAAGGGGCTCCTGATATTGCTCTTTAGCGTTTAAATTTTTTTTTGCAAAAGACTGCATTGGGAAAATGTTTCCTGTTCCACAATACAATCCAGACCGTCTGCCCCCAAAGTTTAAAATGTTCTTTGTTCGCTTAGTCTATTATAGAAAATATGAGCCCATGGTAGTCACGCTTACGTATTAAAATGTGCTTCTTCTACGTTTATATATAGTTTTGGAGATGATAATATAGGTTTGCATGGTTTTAAAATGTTTTATTGCATCGTTTTCTCAAAACTTTTTTTAGCTTATTTTGATTGAGAGTATTTTTACACCCTATTTGAGATGGTGTCATTGCGGTAGTTATACATCTGGGGAATATATTTATAAATCCTTGGCTTTTGTGCCGGAAACTGTGCTCACAACTTCAATTTCATAGATATCCTCCAAGAGGTTTCAAAACCGATTCGGATAGGAAATACGATAATTCCACCATATCATAGAGAAGATCGCTTGCAGGATCAAACAACAAACTCTATTGAAGAAGCAGCCAAACTTTTTCACCAGGCTTCTACAGGTAAGATTGAAAACTATTGAATGAGTTGATCTCGTACTGTATTTAAAGCGTAAATATTTTTTAAAAGATATGAACAACATGGAGTTAGCATCACTTGTTCTATATCCAGTTCCTAAATCAAATGATTATGAGACGAGTAATAAAAAACGACGAAGTCGCAAGAAACTGAAAGCAGTAAATGAAGAGCATTATGACAGAAAACCACAAACAAAGGAGGACTCAAAAGACACAAGTTCAGATCTTGCAAATAAGCATGTAAAAACTCACAAGCTCAAGTACTCAGTTGAGGAAACAAAAGAAAAACAAAGAATTGATGATGAAAAGCCAGAAAGCATAAGAGAAATAAATGTAGATGCTCATAATAAACAGATTGAAAACAAACTGCGTGTTTATAAGAGTGGAAACAAACAAACTAATGCGAAACCAAAACACACAATTGATTTGAAAAATTACGAGGTTGATGAGAAAGAAAGTAAAAAAAAACAACGCAAAGAAAAAAATACTAAAAAACATGGTGACGATGAAATGAATTCAAATTATCGAGCGGACACTTGGGTTGAAGAAGATGTACCGACTAGCGATGAAAATAATGGTTTGATTTAGGCGAAAAGATCTTCCGCAAACAGATGTGTATCTGATTGCAATAAATTAAAAATTACAAAGTTGTAAATAACTCTGTTGGTGCTGGCAAATAACTTTTCACTATAAGAAATCAAAATGGAAGCAGGTATACTTAAAAAAAGAGAGTTTTGAAGATTTGAGAAATCTTTCCCAACGACCAACGACGGATTTGTTTGATTGTAAAGAATTGTAAATAGTGAAGAAAATAATCGTGATTTTACGTGTATATAATGGGTCTTATAAGGAGTCTGGAACAGAATTACGTTGTATAATGGAAATTAGAAAATTAGATCTATGTATAACACTTTTAAAAAATTTTCCTCCAGTGCACGCAAGCTTTTATCATATTATAGCAGGATTCGTAAATTAAACTTGTTTTACATTTAAAATTTCCAGTAGAGCATAAATAAATTATCAAACAGTAAAAGCCAGAAAAAAGTGGAAGATCGAGGTATACCGTATGAATATCTGAACAGAATTCCAAAAAATGTCCTCTCAACAAATGCTAAGCATCGTGAACTAAAAACTAATCGAAAGCACTTTTTATAATTAATACCGAAGAGCTTTAAATTCGGGTTGATGAAGAGCATTGGGCATATAGAGATGGGACTTTTGTTTACAGTGAATTAATGTGCCGCCAGTTGCCGCCATTGCAACTGACATTTGAAATTAGTCCGTTGTGATAAAGGCATTTGACCTTTAGATAACATATTGACTCAGATATATAATATATTAACGAAAAAAAGTTTGGTGATTCCAACCATTACATTATTTCGTTGTGAGAGCTGATATGCACTCACGGTATGTGTTTTAAAATAAAAATTTTGATCTTGTTAACACCATCCACTTTTTTTTCAAAGTTGTTTTTGCAATTTTGCTTTTTAGGGGCTGTTTACATGAGCCCGGCAAGCCAGGCTAGCCCTGCTAGCCGGGCTAATTTTAAGCCCGACTTTACATGGCAATAATCGCGCGAGAAGTCGCTGGTGTTTTTAGCGCGAAAATTAAAAAACCTAACATGGCGAACGTTTCTGCACTTATAACGATTATTGTATTAGTTATTTTTGTTTTTTTGATCGTTTTCATTCAAATTTACGGCTTTTTGGTCATCAATATATTAAACCATCATCAAATGGTACAATGTATGGCTATATTATTGTGTGCTACAAGAAGTTGTTTCGCTCGAAAAAGAAGACGAGCGTGCTTTGCAAAAAGAAACAACAAAAAGCGGAGGTCAACTTGGAGGCAAAATGGAAGGACAGAATCTTGGTGGGCAAAGCTTTTATCTAACGAATATCACTATACATCTCTAACATTTGCACTGTCAAGATAAAAAATATAAAAGAATCATTCAGAGTGGTATTAAACTACAAATTTAAAAGCTTATTAAGCATACTTGTGCGCAAAAATTCAACCAGAAGTACATAAAATAACAAAAGCTTTACAGTCTTTACGAAGTACAGTATTACCTCTTATCCATTCGTATTGTTTCGTGCGATCTGCATCGAAATCTTTACCTTCGTACTCGTACATTGTTTTGTATGTTTCGATGTTATTGATAAGAAGTTCGATCATTTCATGTGACCATCGAAAAGGTCTTGTTTTTGCAATTACTGACCTTGATTGAGCACATGTGTCCGACGCCATTACACAAAAGAACGAAGAATGAACGTATCTAGTTACTATGGTAATTCTACTTTAAGCCCGGTCAGCCGGGCTGACGTGTTTACATGGAAAAAATTACCCCGTTTAACCGGGCTCCCCGGCTAGCTCAAACGGGATCTCGGCAAACCGGGCTCATGTAAACTAAATTATATTTTATTAGGAAGTTCTTACGAGGCCGGGCGCCTCGGCTACATCTCTTAGCCCGGCTTTTAGCCCGGCTAGCAGGGCTAGCCCGGCTTGCCGGGCTCATGTAAACAGCCCCTTAGATGAGTAGGTGGCACGAAAATTCTTAGGATTAAATGCTCTTCGATAAGAATTAAAACAGATTGATTCATATATTTGCCGTTCGTTTGCATTGCAGCTGCTAAACTTAACTGCATATATCCTCCTAAATAAATAAATGAAAAGGTTTACTAAACACAAGCACTTCTTTTTAAAGTTTAAATTTTCTAAGTTTTTCGAAAACAAGAGTAGAGTTTTTTCCGAGTGATAATGAATTAAATTTTGTAGATAAAAGTGGCCTTTAAAAATATATTGAAAAATAGCCTTTCAATGGTATATATAGACATTCAGCAGAAAATGAAGGTTTCAAGATATTTTTTTGCATAAAATTAAGGTTGCTTTACAGCAAATCAACATCCATTTTGTAATTTTTGTTAGCATTCCAAACCAACTAGCAACGGTGGATAAACAAAAAGGTAATTCAAACTTACAGTTTACGACAAATCCTAAGCGATTTTTGATGGTCACACGAGAGTTAATGCTGTGAATTTAGGTTCCAATTCATTACATAAACTGAAGTTTTTCTTTGTTTGACTTGACTTGCTTTTGTACGTTTTTAACTTACAGGAGTTGTCACATGACCCTCTCAAGCCACAATACAGAAAAAGTAAGTCCACTTCGTCTGCAACTGTCCGTTGCTATTAGCCATTTCATCATTCCTATTGGTTAAAAAAAGCAATTGACTGGCTGCCAGTATGGTAATCACATGCGTAATATAAGTTATGCGTTGCACAAAAAATTCAATGGAATGATTTCGCCATACATTTATTATACTGTGTCCTTAGCGATGTTTCCAGTTATAATGAGCCACAATATATTGTGGTTAAACGTGTGTCTTTTGGGATGTTTGTAAAATACTCTAGTGATATAAAATATTCTATTCATTGAATCAAATTCTCGTGTACAAATAAACCTTCGAAGCTATTTAAGCGTTTAAACGCAGCTCGATCAAAAAGTCTTTCACATTTTCAAGAAGAGGCACAGTTCCATTATTCTATTATTCATGGTTCGATCAATCTTATTGCTCTATTCGACTGTTCTAGATTATCCTTGTGAATATTCACTTATCAAGTAAAACATAATGCGCACATGTTTGTTTATTGATACCTCAAGACTAGAGCATACGTTTAAATTCAATTCTGGCATACAGTTATTAGCTGTAAATGTCTGTATTGCTTTATGCCGAGTCGTGAGCAAAATGGCACATTCCTAATTTCATTTATACATTAGCCGAAATTATTCAATAATTGATATACAAAATGCTTTGCCTTACTGCTTAATTCTTTGCTTCTTTTCAACTTTATTTCAGAAGTACATGTGTCGCAAAAATATGTTCATGCATGCATCTTTTCAGCCGACGTTTACAATTTGCACGATTCAGCATTGATCGCCAAAGGTCCTTAAAGGTACGTTTACGCCAGTGAACTGTAATATAAACTGGAACGATAACTCCTATAGTTTTGTCCCGTGATTGGTTGAAGCCAAACATGCAGCTAAATTTTAATCAACTCCCCCCTGAAATAATGCGTATTTTGATTGTTTTCTTCGCGACTTACGTTTGATTTGGCTTCCTGCCAGTTAAAAAACGTGAAAAAATTATTTATTGTTGTATTTTTGACAGATTTTGTGCTTTAAAATTGCATCTACCATACTTATTGTATGCTTGCAGCAAGATATTTTCGAGTAGAAAAATAAACGGCAAGAATCGAGGACAATTGATGGACCAACTAATACTATAAATAATGAAGGACTAAATGCCAAAAAATACATAAAAGTATTTCAATATTTAGAGCATTTTATAAAACTAATAGTGTATGATTCACGTCCTTTTACATTTTAAAAATGTTCCAGTCATATATCTTATTTGATGACCTATAATTTTCCTTGTTTATTTATTGTTTTCTTTTAACAATACGTACCAGGCTTACCGGCTCGTTTTATGAACGAGAAACACTTTTTATGCTTTACACGCATTTGTGCTTTTATGCATTAAAAAAAGCTTTTTAAAAAGTCTTTTTTCGAGGATCATGAAATTTTCTTAATTAATAACACTGAGCTGCAGTGTTGCCAGATGAATTTTAAATAAGTTCATGTCAGCATGCTCAAAAGTTCACATATTATCCACCAATGTTCACAAATCGACAAAAATTGCATAATTTGCACCAAAATGAATCAAATAAGCTAAATCACATGTAAATTTATAATGATGCACATTGCACTTTTGTACAAAATAACAAAAAAATAAGAATGAAAAACAATTATTTAGTTCGATTCAGATTCGTCGCTTGAGTCCGAGTCTTGAGCATAAAGAATGTCGGGTGTCATACGACTTAAAGCATTGGTCGAAGGATAATATTTAACACAGCTTCCTGACTCTTTCACTCCTTGCTTAACTTTTAGAATACCGCACACTGACTTTGTATGTAACCTATTTCTTCCTTTAGTTTTGATTGCATTCACAGAAGAAAAAATTCTCTTCACATCAACATTGAAGAATGAATTATGGTTTGTCTCGAATCTCTAAACCAGTGTATATTCATTGTAAACAACCTTGTCCTTTATAACTGATAAGTTCATAAAAAGTTTTTAATTTTTAGTAAAAGTTCATGAAATGTTCACAAAATTCTTTTTGTTCACAAAAATTCAAAATAAGAATCAAAAGTTCATAAATCTATGAACTTTGTTCACAATCTGGAAACACTGCTGAGCTGTATAAATAGTTGTAATGCGTGTATGTTTCATGGCATGAAAAATTCTTCTACGTATAAAAACGCATTTTTCACTTTTGCAAATAGCTCAATTTCTACCAAACCTTGTAGGTTTGTGTATTTGACATGGAACTATAAAATTTTGGTATTTTGAACGTTTGTCTTTGCCTGGAACTTTCAAAAACTCAGAAAAAGCAACAAAAAACTGCGCAGACATTTTCTGATTTTAGACTTTGCTTTCAAATTTTTTCGCAATACTATGACTTTTGGCCAATTTTTTTCGACAGTCTGTAAATTTGACCAATATTCTTTAAATTTAATAGTATTTCGAAAAAGTAACGCAAAGTTTACTTTTAAAATTTTATAAATATAAAAATTTCATTTAGTTTACAAAAGGACTGGAGCGACCTGCATGGCAGCAATCATCTGGCTTCAATTTCTCCCCCCAACCTATCGTTCCAGTTGTTGTTACAATTCAATGGTTTACGCACAACGATTTTTCGGGCGGGCACTGATGCCATATTACGTGTTCTTTCCATATTTGTGAAGTCGCCCGACTCGAAAAATCGGATGAAAATCTGTAACAAACCACAGATTTATTCCACTGAGTTCTATAATATATGGAGCGGCTATCTCAAGCGCGGCTTTAATTAGCGGCTGACGTTTAAAAAATGGAGGATTTGTTCCATTACCGCTGAGATTTACCGAAATTGACTGCTTTTCCGAAAATCTCCCAATTTCTCTCTCCCCCCTCGAGAAAGAGAATACGTCCGTTGGCCACCATTTTTTTGGCGTCCTCGCCCCCAGTACAGTTAGCCGCTCCAGTTATTATAAAACTCAATGCATCGGATGCATTATTTACAAACAGCGATTTGTCTTTCACGACAAATGTTCCAAATATAGCAAGAATCACGTAATATGGTGTAAGTGTCTGCCCGACTAATCATTGTATGTAAACGTACCTTAAATAAAAATGTTGTTGAAAATTATAATACATATACGGCTTCTGTTCATTACAAGTTTCAAGCATGATATTAATTCCCATTGCGTTTATGCCTGCTTATATGGAATCAATTTTTCCTAAATGATACATATTTTAAATGTCGGCTGCTTTCAAAAATAAGCAGATTTTTAGAGACACCCTGCATGCATATTAAAATTGCAGCAAATTTGAATTGACGTATAAGTTCTTCTAATTTGACAGCAGGTCGGCAGGCTTTTTTAAATTTTACCGCATTTCGTATTACATGAAGACTCTGCTCTCTTTTTACAAATTTTCTTCACACTCCCACCGAGAACAAGGCGAAAGACAAAACAGACAGCACTAATGAGACTTTAAAATATCAAAAGTAAGAACTAAAATAGCCTTGAGGAATTGTTTGAAGATTAAAATATAAAAAGTAAGCTCGTGATTACAGCTTCCTATTGGTGGCGTGAAACTATTCCACCAAGAATGAGAGAAGATTGGAAAGTTTGCCATATGAAATTCACATTGTAAATAAGGAAATCTTTTGTTAAAATCATCCAACATGGCGATCATGACGTAGCTTGAACAACAAGAATATTGATGTCATATAGACCCCAGCCTTCTGTATTCGATAGTCAACAGTCGATATTCGAAACTCATGTTTTGTGTTTTAAAGTTCTAATTTTTGAATTTTGATTTATTCTTTTTGAGCCTAAAATGTTAAAATTGGCAAGAAGAACAAACACAAAAAAGTTAAATTTTGAATTAAGTAAGTAATGATCCTTACTAGTCTAACTAAGCTTACTTGTGGAATAAATAAAATAAAAAAAATTTAAGTGAACAAAACTCTGTACAACAATAAGTTCTTGACTTGCAATTCCGCCATGTTGGTTGTCAGATTGAAAGGAGTATTTTATCAGTGTTATTGCTGGGCCCAGCCGATGTGGACGCGAATCATTGTTTGGTAAATCACAAGAGATTGGTTTCAAGTCAAAGATTACCATAAGTTATACGTTTATTTTTAACATAACACCTCTGACGTCCCTTTAACAAACCTATCATTATAAATTCTCACTTCCAGCTGAAGAAACGCAAGAACGTCAACATGCATAAACAAATTTTAAATATGATATTTATATACATAGTTAGCCAATTTTCCTGTATGCAGAAAATTATAGAGATGTGTAATTTTGTTTTTTTCGAGTAAATTTGCACCTTCCTGTTTTGTTGATGAACTGCTTTCAGGACTGCTTATCGTCCCCACATGCCCAATGGTGTGGTAGATCTTGCCGTTGTCCTTTTTGTTGGTTCGATGTATTTATTCCCTTTGAATGATAATTTATTTGATTTCCCATTTAGTTTTAGCAAGCCAGGTCTGTGATCCAATCTTTTGTGTAATCTTGTATCTTCAATTTCTTCAATAATTGAGCGCCATTCATTGCTTATATAACTATCGGATATGGTCGCCAAAGTTAAAAATACGCAAACAAAGGTCAAAATCATCTTCATTATGGAGTTTATGTTAATTTGTCCACCAAGCATTCGCGTTTGAACGAATATGTTTATATAATAAAAGCAATTATAAAGTGAACGCTTATATAGCTACCATGTGCAATTTGTGTGAAAAAACATCATTGAATAATTTGCATTTTTCTCCCACAAAATTAAGTCATTGAACATTCCAGACAACACATGCTTATGCTGTAATTCTGTAAATCTTTTCTTGGATATATCAACAAATAGAAACACTTTCGCATATAAATGAAGAGCTGTTAAAAATAGGCTTTCTCGAGAAAACACGACGCTTTTCAAAATAGTGATAATTGCTTTTTATAATGACTTCTATTTATATATTTGTAATTGAGAGTTAACGTTGTTTGTGACGTCCAAATAAATAACTGCTTGCAAATTAAGTATTGTTATAACAAGATTTGGTTTTCTGTTTTGCGGTAAACTTGATATGCCACGACTAGAGGCTGTTTACATGATCCCGGCTAACCGAGATTCATCGAGGCGTGAAAGGATTTCGATGGATTAAAAATAGTCAAAACTTCATGCGAAAAACTTACAACTATTTTGTTAGCGCGACAGTCAACCCTGTAGTAATTCTGTAAGGCCAAATTGATTGTTTTAATTTTAAAAGTTTTGCGTATTTATATAGTCAAAATATTGTGAAAATGCTCAAGAAGATCAATCTGATGATAAGTGTTTTCCATTTGTCCAAATCATTCATCGCTTGACTGAATTCCGGCTACCCAGGCTCATGCAATCAGCTCCTAAAGCGTTGGCTATTAGGAATTAATGACAAATCAGGAAAGGCTGTTGTTTTTATTAAAAGAATCCTCAAGTACCAAAACAATTCTTCCCTGTAGCATTTGTTTGTAATATTGTCATCAATTATGCATAAAGGTTTACCGATTCGGAAATTGATGAGACGATTTTGTGATTTTTATTTCATACAGTTCTTTGAAGTTACCCGAATAACATAATTTAAGAATCGAGAATTCATCAAAAATTTGAATAAAGTGAATAAAAATATTTTTGTCATTAAAATATGAAATGAGAAACTCGAGTCTGGTGAAGGTTAAAAAAATGATACCGCTATTGAGTGAAAAAGATAAACCTCCATATGTTTAAGAACTTGTACTGTATCATAAGATGACAAGGAAGATCAAATTTTCAGCAAATTATTTTTGTGCAAGTCATAGAGAACAAAAAGTATGGTGCAGTCATGTTAAAGAAAAAACTTCGTTACTATTGTTACAGAGCTTCAAGTAAAACTGTGAAAGACTATTCCTATATTAGCAGGAGAACTTTTGGTGTTTTTGTTTCCCTCGATGCTTGACTTTCAACATCTTCGTTTCAAACTTTTAATTTCAAAATATGATCACGTGATAGCAATTAAGATTTTACAGAAGAATATTTGCACATTGTTTTATTTTTTCTCTTTTAAGTTTCTTGATTTTTGCATGTGCACAAAATAATTAAATAAATTTTAGTCACGATTCATTTTGCACGAAAAAAGACTAATGATGCATTTTAAGTAATTTATGACAATCTCATAATTCATGATCAAGATAATAACCAGTATCTATATACCCTTTGCGTTTACGTAAGCTGTGATTCGTGATATTCAAAGTTGTTGTAGCTTTTGTACAAAGCAAAAACGACTACTATTTTACCAATTTTGCCCCTCCCCTCCCCCCCCAACAAATAAAAACACAATTTACTAAAATTGGTGGAAAACATAAAATGCCTAAAGCTCTGCCAACGTTGTCACATATTTGGTTCAGTGACTTCCTAATCCTAATTATTTTTCACAGCTCTGAATTGTTCAAAAATTAAAATTAAAATTTCATTGGGGGACTTGACTCAATCTGTATGATTTTAAATGAGAGATTTTGAAGAGATCTTCAGTTATGTATGTGCACAATATAAAAATACAAAACACAAAAACAGAAATACTTGGAAGGTTATGAGAGTCGTTCCAGCAGTTAACTATAGCTACTTTGAACAACAGTTCCATATTAAATGTCAAACTATCTCCATGGAATTGAATATATGCATAGTCGTTGAATCTATGAGGATGTTTACTGAAAAGTTATGAACCTTTCTAAAACCAATCCAAATTATTCTATGTGCAATTGGTCAACATGTTACGTGATGATTTCATCTGACAACATGTTCAATTCATTCAAGGATGTTGGAAAAGTCTCCATCGTATGTCTAAATTAATACATTCAACATATTTTGGCAATTCACATTTATTTTTTTTTTGCTTGCTCATGCACAGCATTTTATTATGCAAGATACGGCAAAAGTATTTTTCGCCAAAATGTTTTTTGCTATTACACGGTATATATTTTATAATGCTCAATAAAGTATTTTAGAGAATTTATCGAAGTTCAACGTTCCCACTCGTCACCAAAAGGTTTTCAGGTAGATTCGCCATAAAATTCCTTTTCATATCGTCTTTCATCTCCCATTACTTCATTAGCGGAATTTGCATCATCAATTTCATCTCTTCGTCCCCACCAATCGCCTGGTTTCTTCCTGTCATGGTCTTTGTAGTAAAAAGCGGCTCCTTCCAGTGAGTTTCTTCGCCCCCACCAATTGCCCAAATTATTTCTGTCGTGACTTTTATAATAAGGACCGGCTCCTTCGATTGTATCTCTTCGCCCCCACCAACCTGGCACTTTTTGTCGTTTATTGTTTTCTATTGCAGAATCTCCTAAACTTTTGCCACGAACCTCACAGTGCAATGTTATGAGAATAATCAAAGACAATATTGATAAATGGATTGACCAATTCATTTTATGCTAAAAATTTGAATAAACCTTTTAACTAAAGAAAAGCAAAAATACAATTGCGTTGATGACATTTTATTTGATCCTAGCAATTCTTAGTCAGTTTTTTAAACTATGTGTTAAAGATATGAGGCTTAGACTTGAAAGCTTCTTATAAATAAGAGACTCTTTTTAATAGCAATAATATATATTAGAAACAGTGCATTTTCTGGAATCGCATTTGCTATCAAAGTATAAAACTCAAACATTCAAGCGCATACAGAAGGCTGCCTAGTAATGATATGTTGAGCAAACTTTGTTGAAAAAAGTGTGTTGAAACCTTATATAAAAGCATCTGATGAAACTTTACTGTCTTAGAAAGAAACTAACCTTTAACTTATGCAGTTGTTTCTTCTTTAGCACGATGATCTGAAGTGATCTCCATTACAAGCGGAGCAAATTGGCATTTTATAAGCAGAAATTTTGATAAGATCGAAAACTTTTAAGTTGCAATTTTTCGCCCACTGATAACAGTTGCTACAATTATACATGTTTGAAATGTGGTTTGACGGTCCTATGTCAATATATTAGCCATAATAAGATTTCCTACGTCAATTTAGTTTCGGTAATAAAAATAATACGATATGAGAAAATATAAAGTCCACTGAAAGTAATACATATAGGAAATGCAGCTTATTCACTAACTTATGTATGCATAATTATATATATTTGAAAGCATTTTATCCTTCATGATAAACATATTCAATATAAGTAACGTATTTAACTAAGAAGTTGAAATGTTTGCTCGATTATTAAGTGAATTCTTCATAGGTCATTTATAGTTTAGTGTATAAGGAATAGGAAAAAAGGAGTCCCCAAAAGTTTATTTTAAGACAGCTGTGGCTGAGTTGATTCTAAACATTCTTTAATTAGGTACAAAAGACTTCCATTATTGCCAATTAAAACAATTAGAGCACTTAACCTTTGTCATAAGCCATTAAATGGCAATATTGTTTGACAGTAAAAAACTTTGTACAATAAAATCATTTTGATGTATATAGGAGAAATGTATAACGTCTTTTAAGAGCACAAATAATGGCATTAGATGTTTATTGCTGTTAGATTTGCGTGATAAATAAATTCTTATCAACAGCATGTGCTTTATAGACTGTGGTCTACTGTACGAACCATATGCTATTTGTCAGTATTTCTTTGTAGTGCTATTTGCTTTAAAGAGCTTACTCTGTGTATATTGTTTGTTCTATTTTTGTTTGGGATAAACAACATATTTTTGCGCTAAAGCAAAGCAATTATAGCCAGTTTTAAAGTAATATCAACGAGGCTATTCAGCGGTTTTGCTCATTTGCCCTGTTCAAGTAGAGCGTAGCTATTATTGAGAAACAAGAACTATAATTTAACACACATCTGCTGCTAATTCAACCAATCATATCATCACACCTGGGTGAGAAAGTCGTATAGTTATTAGTATTAGAATGATTAATACCTGTTAAAAGTAAATCATGAAAGATGTTGAGCGGAAAACTTTTCATGAAAAAAGGACAATGGATGTGACATTTAATCAGCGTGAAAAATTTTAAGTCGAATGCATTTCCAACTTAAAAAGTTTTGTCAACGCGGACAGGAATCATAAATTTTAAAATAAATAATAGCTAACGCAAATCCTTGAAATGGGAAGAAAGAAGATTCAAATTTCTTCCTGTAAAAAGACACATGATTTTATTCAAATGGTTCTAAACTTCATCCTTCTTCTGCCTCTCTCTTTTTCTAATTCTCAAATCTTCTGCACTGTTTTTTCATTTTAGCTTTAAATTGGTCAAAAGAAAGTTGTATTTTTTAATATACCCTCTCGGTAAATCTTCATATTAGTCATGCGATTTTTCTTTTTTTCTCCCTGATCAACTCTTTAAAAAGTAAAGATGAGGTTGAAAGTGTATGGACAGATGAGAGAGAAAGAGGAGCAAGTGGTAGAAATTAAAAGCAATTAACATACAACCAATTTCTAAAATTAGGCAAACAGTTCTAAAATACTTTAGAAAGAATTGGCTTGATTACTAGTCGTTCAGATTTATACAATGCCTGGCTTTAATTTTATGAATTCCATCGGTTGATTTAGACAAAGTGCATTTATAGAAGTTTCCATCACAACGACGATGGCTATATGCATTGATGGTAAGTAAACAATTTTTTTTATAAATTTAGATAATGTTAACCGTTTCAAACTGAAAAAATATTGCTCATAGATGTTTTGACGTCATTAAATATAATTATGTGAATAGCCATAATGCAATTGCATTGAAACAGTTTTATTTTTCACTGTCCATTATCTACATTTATAAAATAAAATCAATAAAACGCGTGTGGGGATTGGTCTATAGCTGTGTTGCATTAGAATGTACAGAGTGATTTGAGCTCAACCAATCAAATTAATCAATCAATCAATCGATCAAAGAGAATTTGCAAATTAATCATGAATAAATTTCACAGGAGTGATTAAAAAGTTTGTTTTTGATTTGTCTGTTTTTGCATTCTTGTTATGTTATAAAAGAAATAAAAGTATTTTTCGTGTTTACCTAGATTACACAAGCCTTGGAAACGTTTTGTGGGAACTCTAGATCAGGTACTCGACCTTGGTCTCAGGTTTGCCCTGATCAGCTCTCAAGTTCTCTCAGTTCTCTTCTTATGCAAACCGAGGTCTCCTCGCTAGTGCAAACACAGTAAACATCTTTTATTTTCAAATCTTTGCATGACGTTTGGTGAAGTATGAAAGAGACAAAATACAATAATTGCCATGTATCATGAATTTATATTTTTATTTTATGCTTTTTTTGACAAAAATTCAACTGTATCATTGCTGTGATTTTACCTTAAATTTTGATTAGTAGTTTAATAATTTTCTTAGAATAGTATTTTTATTATCTGATTTATTTTTTTAGTTACAATTTATGTTTAGTTCATACATTTTCCTGAAATATTTAAGTGCTTAACTGTTTTTTGATGCACAATTCATTAGACTGTTACTTTATCTTGTTTCTCAAGCAGACCAAGTAATAAATTTTTAAGTAATTCATCCTTTTGACTTAATACAAATCCTAGTTTCTGCATTCTAAGGTTTTCTGCTTTATTTTTCGGCGAATAAATGGACTTGACATTAGAAGATGAGCCTTTTTGTTTTTTAGATCTCTTTCCCCACATTCCGCAGCACTGACGTTTAGAAATGTTGTCCTCTTCTACTTCCGTTTTATGTACCATTTTTCTGTTGCCTTTTTTCGTGTAGTCCGCTATTTTCTCTCTGTCTTCGAGAAACGATATTTGGGAAGCATTTTCATGGATGCTATTTTCCGCAAAAATAGCAGAACATATTGTGAGTGAAGTAATTGTCAAAAGGAGCAGCTTCATCATGTTGAAGATCTTAAAAAAAAAGAAATGCTATTTCAATGTAAAATGTTCTTTTTGTATGTATATTTTCTGTTTAATTAACTCTTTTGTTTTCTTGCTTATCACTCAAAGCATAAGTTCTAAGGAGCTTAAAGTAGCTAAATTTTTTTAGAAAAAGTTGATCATAATCTCGCTAATCATGTGCGCAAGCTCTAGCTTTGCACAAAAATTTCTCATCGTTTCAACTAAGAATAAGAGCACAATTGACGACGTATTGATATTGACAGTATTAGTTTGGCTACGAAAAGAAGTTTGATTCATGAAAAATTCAAAACTAGTTTTTAAAAATATCTTAAATCAGAAAGTGTAAATGTAAAGTATGTAATGTCGTGTAGTACCTTCTTCTTTTTCTCTTTGTTCAAACTTGCTGATTTATGTTCTTTTTTGTATAACTGATACAAAATAATACCTGAGATCAAATAATACCTGAGGTCATAAATTAGATCTTTTATATAACTCATTGTGCTAGTCATTAACTCATTAATAATGAGTCCTAGGGTGATATAAATCTAGAACAAATAATGTTTTGAAACACCCTTCACGTTTTTCTTTTCCTAAAGTGCTGCCAAATTCGCTGGGCATGCTGTTTCCCATGTCATTTTTGGTTTACAATGATGCCCACTTCAAAAGATAATTGAAAAAAATTATCGAATTATAAGCCCACAAAAAATAATTGAGTTCTGAGTTTTTTCAAGTTTGTTGCAAGTGTAAATACTTCAACAATTAAACTCTGCTAAAGTTTTGTCAATTAACTTCTAATGTTCTTTAGTTCATGGTTACCTATTGCATGACTTTAGAAGCAGCAAAAAAGTAATTAATTGGTTTATATTACGAGAGAAGCACCATAAAATATCAGAGTGTTTATTTTAGTTGTAAAGAGCGTGTTCTGGACACGAATGAATTCGTTGTTTGCATTGGAAAGGTAAAACATTGCACGAGTGAATGAATGGGATGATTTTAACATCCAGTTATTTTAAATTATTCGTGCTGTGTTTCAGCTGAAAATATTTGTTATGGAGGTTATAGATTTGTAAGATAAAGACAAAAAGATGTAAAAGTGCACGTCATAGTCACATTATGCCATGGAGAAATGATTAAGATATGGTCTCCTTTGAATATAAATGAGCTTGAAACAACATGTTAACATTATATGTATAACAATGCTGAAATGACGAAGAAACTATGTTTTAAGACACTTTGGTTCCATCATTCATAATGCAAGTATGCAACTTGTTGCTGTGAGTGTTCTCAATTTATGTAAATGACGTCATCATTCAAAACAACCAGAAAAAATCCAGATTTCCAGATGCTTTGGTTTTGGGGCTTCATTGTTGATTAAAAACGAAATTTTATCAATACATAACATGGGATGAATTTTTATCACGTGGGCTCATCTTGATGTAAAATGATCCGCCAATAAAGATAAATAAATGATTGTAGAAAAAAATTTTTTCATTCATGACAATTAAGTAAAAAACCCTTTATTCAGAGTCAAACTGTTCTTCCTATACAACGAACAGGGATATGACTGATGTCCATAATAAGCTGCAATTTTTATGACGCCAGTACATGCAAATGTCATAAGCATAAAATGTCTTAATGAATCTTCATAAAAGAGTTATTTGTGTTTCTATATGTACAATGTTCACCGTTCTGCTGGTGTCTTGTCTCTGACGATAAAACATATCTAGAAGTTATCCCTTTTGTATTTCTTTCAATAACTCCATACTAAACAATTAAATGAAGTACTCTAACTTTTAACTCACGAAGCCTTTTTTTTATTGTAACATGACTTTTCATGAATTATGACAGATTTTTGCCTTTTAGCCTACAATAGACATTTGAGAGGCACAATAATTTGTTATTGTACATTCAGTCTGCTTTAATTTTATCTATTTTCAAACTCTTTTAGTTTAGCTGTATCAAAGCTCTTTATTTTAACTGTTCTACAGCTCTTTTATTTTAGCTGTTTTAATGCTTCTCTATTTCAGCTATTTTTAGTTTTTCAGTGGCTACTAATATGAACTAAGGAAGTGGATATTTTGTTGGCGATGCCATAGTGCTATAATAATGCTTAAAGCAAACCACGCTGACGAAAAGGTACAAAATGTAGAATTTTTCAATTTGTAGCTATACAAATAAAAAGTCGCATTAGTTGTGCCAAGCTGCCAACGAAAATTAGTGAAGCTTTATTTTCATGATCTAAAAACCAGCTGTACTGCTGTATTTGTAAATTTAAATAACATCTTGAAACAGCCCACTCAGCACAGAATTGATTAAAAACCTGTCACTATCATGAATTGATATAATCTTCTATACTTGTGCGGATATTAAATTTCATTTGTCACATATGCATATTTAAGACGCAGCGATGGGTATTATTATTTAATAAAGCGAGTGTGGTTGAAAATTTCATAGTATTCTTTCACTATTTTTAATTTTAAATTTAAACCCCAATAAATACCAGTCAACAGCTGATTTTGATTTTCCCTAATCTCACTCCAAATATAGCTCGGCAGCACGAAGTAGGTAGAGAAGAGGCAACATTTTAATTTTGCGTCGGTCAAGATGTCGAAATTCTGGGGGAATAATGAAAACCAAAGTATGGTGCACAAATGAGGGAGAAAGTAACTGACAAAAACTTGTGTTGCGCTCGCATGTTTTCATATGTGTATGCTGTAGTTCTTTGCCTGCCTTTATAATGGTGAAATTTAAATTTATTTCTGTCGGTATATTTTTCCGGAGGGAGATTTTTACAGATCAAGGGGAAGCGCACAAAACAATTAAAATCCTCCCATATCGTTGATCTCTGTTTATGGGCTAGATTCTTTGATGAAGCATAAACAATATAGTTTTAAAAAACTACAGAAAATACTTAAAAGTTAAAACTAAACCGCTCAAGATATATAAAGGTATAAACGTTCGCAGGTTATCTCAAACATCAATTATATTTAAATTGGACGAATGATGCAACTCACATGATGCATCGTGCTTGTATTTATAGTTCATTTCGGCTTTTATAGCAATCTTTATCTAACACTCTTTTTCAGTGCTCTGGTGAAGTAAAGCAAATATATTTCTCTTTCGAATTGAGATTCAACAGAGCAACAAGCACAAGGAATTTGAACACAGGCAAGGATGATATGCACAGATTTAGCCTTTAAGACCTTGCCACATCCGAAACCTCTCCATTCTAGAATTAATGGTAGTCGGAACTGGATTGTCATTAATGAACAATATAGTTGTACCCATGTAAAAATATACCTGCAACAAAGTTCTATTTTATCTTGTGAACATGTTGTCTAATCTTAGGGAAGTAATTTACTCAACTTATTTGTTGAGTGAACGATGATATACTATACTTTCACAAAGCGTTTGAAAGACAAATGAAGATATAGCTTGTATTTATCTCAAAAAAATGGATAGAAAGAAAGCTTCAAATAAAGCTAACCACTGAGCCTTCTGGTTTATGGTGAAATTTGGACAAATTACGATCAAAGACGATATACATTGAAAGTCCTTGCCAACGCAACGTTGAAATAAAGGGACACGCATGTATATTTATCGTTCATATATTACACAATCATAATGTATAAAGTCACCAGACTTTTCTTAAAGTACTTTATCAAAACTAATTTGCAATACATAGACTTGAACACAAAACCAACCTGATATAGTTAAACACTGATAGTATTTTTTTGCTGTATACCAAGTTGTGGTGTTAATGAGTGTTCGACTGTGCCTAGTAATTTTTTGCTGACATATGGGGCCGATGCAGCACTTCCCTTTCTGATAATAACTTCTAGATTATGTATTGAACATCTCTAACGTCATCATAATTATATAGCTATATCTAATATCTTTATAGAACTTTTACATCTTCATAGACCTATTTATCTTTATAGAATATGAGTGTTTTCGTCTAGCTATATTTCAAGTCTCTGTATACATTGATTATTGATATGTCTATGTCTTTATACATCTTTAGAAATCTTCCATTCACTTAATTTCAACTTTCTTCTCATCTATATTGCAGAGTATATGCTCCTATATAGCTACAACGTTAAAATGCAAACTGAATGCTTGCATTAATTGATTATAGCAAAAATTACTCTTTCATGTAACTAATATTACTTTTTTAAAACCGACATGGCAGAGGTTAAACATATATTTATGCATGTTGGCGAAATTTTATTACTCCTCGTATTTTACACAACTCTTTTTGCTCAAACCACTCGCCTTAAAAACATTTTTTCGCTGATACCTTTCAAACCAAAGTTTTTATATCTCATACATCTCATACAATAGCGCGTCAATCTTACTTGGAAACATATATCTACATTTTGTTAAACGATGAGGTAAATCTAAAAAGCGTTTCCCAACTTCAATATGAAGACAACAAAACGTCAGACATTTTGCTGGTGAAAAGCTGGCTTTTGTTGCCTTACTGCAGTTATTTTAATATTGTAAAATGGCGGAAGATTTTGCCATATATAGCATATATAGCTACTTTAGTTTGATTTTCTATTATCATGCGTAATAGTAGTTATGAATATGCATTGAAAATTATCAAAAGACTAGTAAGCGACATTCAATATTTTCCCATCTTTAGACATCTCTTGCAGTGATAAAAAAAAATTTTCAATATAAAGCTAGTTTAGAATCAATTGATTTGCCCTCAAACTAATTGAAGAACTGTAAACATGAATTGGACTAGATTAATTAAGTTGTCATTGAGAAACATGAGATTTGACGTAGGTTAAATGCAGCTAAAGCAATTTGATAAAATAAACCAGGTGGTTTTGAGTGTTTTAATAACATAACGTATTTTCATCAATTAAGGCAATGTTTGATGATACAATTTAGACCTAAACAAGAAATATATTACGAATGCGTGTTTTTTTTCTGTGAAAAAAATCATTGTTTCTACCATTCCGTTAACCAAGGATATTGGTTTGCTTTTTCGTACTCAGTTGAAGAAAGGAAATCGTTATTCTGCTCGCAGACGTTTATGAAATAGTACGCACTAAAAGAAGAATACATTGCAATAAAAGATAATTTTCCCTTTTTAATTGAAATACGATGATTTTTAAGACAAGGCTTTTATTTTCTTTTTAATTTTGGCATAAAATGGCATAAGACTTCATCATAGACAAACACTGCACCAATATCCTATTCCAAAGAGTTTTCTTTCATTTAAACACTGTATATATTTTAAGCCCAATTATTTTCAATCATTCAATATAAGCAAAAAAGGCACTCAGTGGTAGCGGCAGGATTTAATTTATGCAGGGGGAGGGCAAAAAGGGGCACTCAGTGGCAGCGGCAGGATTTAATTTATGCAGGAGAGGGCAAAAAGGCACTTAGTGACAGCGGCAGGATTCAATTTATGCAGGGAGAGCCCAATTTTTTCAATCATTGAATAGAAGCAAAAAAGACACTCAGTGGCAGCGGCAGAAAATTAATTTATGCAGGGGGAGGGCAACAAAACACCCCAACGCATTGATTTATATGACTGACATTTTAGACCTCAGTACGTGAAATATTATAAAATTACATATATAAAGACCCTAGCATGGTAAATACTCCCTTTCTCCAATCCCCTTGCCGGGCCTCTTAAGGTACTGCTCACAACCACTGATAAAGTGCTCACAACACATTAAGTATGAGTCAACGAGGATGGTATATTTCTGATAAAGGCGTACGCTGCCTAAAAAAAGGCGTTCATCTACTTGTAAATATTAATGAATTTCAATCACAACACAAATTAACAAAACACTGATGCGTTTTTTATATATAGCTAGTCGGTGGGTTTGAATTGCATTCTGAATGTTGATACTGATGATGCAAAGCATGCATTAAAATTTTTAGACACTCTATATATAACACTAAAACTTTGGGAAACAGTTTTATTTTGTTAAAAAATGTTTATAGAAACATAAAAAGGTCTAAAAAACAGACCAAAAACCATGTCCAGCCGATAATTTAAAAAAATATCGTAAAAAACAAATTTTGAAGAGACTAAACACATTCAAATTACAAAATATGAATCAGAACAATCAAAACTTGTTCTGATTCATATTTTCTAATCTCAAGATGTTTTTTTCTTCGGAATTGTTTTTTACTCTACAAAATAGCTTAAAAGCTTTAGATTTTCATGTCTATTTGAAATGTTGGACGCTTTTCACAAGCCCTTGTTTTCATCTTCATATAAATTGCATGCCACGGGCCACCAATTCCATCAACTAGAAAAATCATCGGGAAATTCGGTTCGCGCTTATCAATGACAATGTTTTAATAAAACAATTTTTCTAAAGGGAACAGCTAGAATGACTATGGAACCCAATCTCCATAACCATAGTTTAGCGTTTCCATGCTGAAAGACAACGCGTCTTAAACAAGATAGGATATATTGATTCTAAATTATAAATGGCCAGAGGCACCTCTTTTTGAAATATCAATTCTATTTTCTTGGTAAGCTCTGTATAATGTTTTTTTGACTAAAACGTGTAGGTAGTTGTTGATATATGACCTCATGATGATAAACGAAGGAGTTCCTTAACAAAAACCTTCCTCTGGACTCATCAATTAACTTCATTTTGTTTGTTTATTAATCCCATATTAAGTGACTTCCAATTGATATATTAGGTTGCTGATGCACAAGGGGCCATAGGCTTCATTTATACTTATAGCTACAAATAGAGACTAATATATCAGACGAGAAAATGTGTAAAGTACAATGAACCAGTATACATCGTTTTTATTAATATGACAGCGCCTTGCTCAACCTGTTTACTTCAAACAACTATTATGATAAACATGAAAATTGAGTATCGACTACTGCCTAATATAACATAAAGATAGAAATGAGACAGGTAAACAAATTTTCCCGGTTTTAACGAATCTGACATATAACAATAAACAATAATTTCAAAAAAAAAGCAAAAACTCCAAAACACATTTCAATGAAGTTGCAATGATGGATGTCGTAAGCAAACGTAACTCGTCATCCACAAAATATTGAAAAGAATTCTCAGTTAAAGTTTGCAAAAATTACTGAAAAAAGTGAACAAAAATTGATTTAACAGTAACAGGAGTTTTTGTCCGTTTACAAAGAATCACCATCTTATTAATTGTGTGGAAGTGCATATGTCTACCATATTTGCTATGAAACAAAACATTTTGAATTTAGAAAATTTGCAATTTCAATTTAAAAGAAAATAGCTGTTTTTAATGCATGGAAACTGCTTATTTATCTCGATTAATGTTTCTTTACAAGCATATCCAAATCTATTATAATATTTCAACTTTTACATGACCCACTTTTAGTTGCTACATTATTGTGTTTTTACTGCTTCTTCATTTTTTCTTTTTTTGGCAAATTTTTTTGCTGCTATTCCTAAAAAATGTTGTCGATTGATAATTTCTTCAGCTAGTTTCATTACTTCATCATCATAGTTTGGTCTCATTCTCTTGCGCAGCTCTCTGCCCCACAAACCATCATTCCACGACAACGTGTGTGTTAAACACAAAAGCAGAATCATCAACAGCAAAACACTTTTCATTTCCTGAAAACATTCGAGAAAAAAATAATCTACCATATTGTGAAAAATATATTCATAATGTGCACAAGGCAATGAAATCTTTAAACTTTAAAAAGTTTAAAGATTATTTTGGACTTCAAACTGAAGTATGCATTTAAAAATATAATTTGCAGATTTTAACTTATCCGAAAAGCACAAAATTACATTAACAAACGATATATGAAAGGCCCGAATGGTTCATTTCTCACACAAATTTATTTTTCTCTACTCAACATGATGAAACTACTCATGCAACATTGAATGAAGAGGAAAAATCACAATCTACTTACCTTACCGAGGATGGACAGGATTAAATGAGAACAGAAATATTTGTAAAATTATACACCGTTTATGCGTTTGTAGCTATTGCAAATGATTAGTTTGGAACCGTGCAATTTATACGTTATGAAACGTGAAAGTCTAAAAAACGACAAAATTGCTTTTAGCAGGTGTTGGGTGAAGTAAATTGCCAAAACTGGCGGGAGGTGTGAGATTCTTCAAAAATGAAGAAAATACCGAAACTTATCACCTACGTTAAACCTAATTTTGACAATATACGGTGTTTGAACAATGTAACACGTTTCATATGCAAGATGAAACGATATTTTCACTAAAGGGAATAGTTCATGCCAAAGCAGTTAAAGAAAGTTTCTTAATAACACCAGTTAAACAAATCTAATTATGAGGAAATCACGCTGAGAGGAGTTATTTTGGGCTCAACATATCGATCATTGATCTGGTTTTTTCTGAATTGGCTGAATTGGTTTTTTGAGTATTAATAACACAAGCTTTTAAATAAGACCAATACATTTAATTTTACCTGGCTACTTTAATAATGTACTAAGGTTCATAAATATGTTTGTTAGAAAAATTATTTCTGGTATAATATAATTGAAAAATTAAGCTCTCATAATTTTTCCACACTTGAATTATGAAATAAAAGAAGTTTACTGTGTTTGCTCATGCTTATGCAAACCGAGGAGACCTTGGGAGAACTTGAGAGCAGATCAGTTCAAGCACTAGATAAAAGGTCGAGGGTTCACAAATGCTCGAGAATTTTAACAAATATCTCAGAAGTTTCCATAAGCCAGAGCAAATACGAAAAACATCTTTTATTTTTATTATAAAACTGCAATAAGGCGAAACAGATAAATTCAAACAAACGTTTTAATTTTTCTTCAAACATGTATTCATGATTGATTTTCAAATTCTCTTTGATTGTTTTGATTGATTGTGTTCAGATCGGTTTGCATAGGTCAATGCAAACTCAGCTGTAGACCAACCAGCTGACGTGTTTTATTGTTGTTATTTTATAAATAACATCGAAACTAATTGCAATAGATTAAATAGAATTTTGTGCCGTCTTTATCAATTATTATTCTGCACAACCAGACTTTATATGTTGCTCTGTATTCTCTCGGTGATAACTTTGCACTGTAGAGATCAAAATATCTTATGGATACCTGCATGTGTTAGACTACACAGCAATGAAATGATTACTTTCTGTGTTGTGTAGGAGTTTTATCTATAATTCATGCTGCTAAGGTCCTCGCAAAAATAATATAAATGCATGAGAACAAAATTTTCATCACTACGTGTCTATGTAATTAAAAATCTTGTCAATTTATTCAATAGAAAACACTTTAAAAGATTGCAATTAGAAAAATCGGTCTTTTAGAAGATGAGTAAAGTACAAATTTTGTTGACTTCATTTAAATTCCTGTCATAATTGACCTCAGGCGGGGGTTGGGGGTGGGGTGGGGGAGACACGTGATATTTTACATGCAATTCGACTTTTATTCAGTTTGAAAGATCATATAAGGGAACGGAAATATTCTTTCGTAATAAATACAGCACTCATTTTCTCCAGTATTCATTCTTCTAGGTTTTTCGGTGGTTGGATTTGTTTGCCATAACATGAATACCAAACAAAAAAGTAAGTCAACGTTACGCATTCTGTAAAATTATTTTATCATTTAGACTATTTAGCTCATACATCCTCAATTCGTAAGTTTTATTTTATAAAGTTTAACTTTTCGATTGTATTGAAATGCGAGAAGTGATTGTTTAATTATTCAACAAATAAAGGTCTTTTTCAGTCAGTAAGGGATGTCTATGAGTCGATTTGCTTGTAAATAGATCATTTTCAGCAAAATATCACAAGCAGTTTTATTTCCTAGAAATAGCCTTAATAAATATCTTGCATCACTCCTGATTTTACTTAATTCAGTGATACTAAGGCCCTCACTAAGGCCTTCACACGATACCGGATAGTATAGCACCGGTACGAAAAAAGCACTTTGTTCACACGATGCCGGATTCGTAAGACGCAACATAAGTTCTTAATTCGCCCCAGTACTTGTACGTGCAAGTAATAACAGCGATGGTTGCTTATTCATATATTTCGTAAGTAAATGAGAAATTTTTTGTCAGATAACAAAGTAGAGTTTTTCTTGAGCGTATTAAGGTTTTGTATGAACGGGCGCAAGTACTGGAATAGTATAAAGTCCAAATACGACCAAACATATGTTGCCATTAGGCCATTACAATAATACAAGAAAGAAACTTTTCACACTACGATAATATATTGTTAAAAGCTTAAACATGCCTTGCTGAAGATATATTATATTTGCTGGCGGATAGTTTGTATCTCTGTGTTCGCTTTTATTTTTGAGAAATCGCACGAACTTTTTAATTGCCAAAGTGGAACGTATTTGATTCGAGCGTTCACACGACAGCGGAACGTATCGGATCGGTTTTCATACCACTTCCACAGGCTGCGGAAAAACTATATAAAGCGGATTGGATTGCAGCGAAGCCGTATGAACGCAAGGCCTATCCGGTACGAAAAGTAATCCGGTAAAAAACCAATCCGGTATCTTGTGAACAGGGCCTAAGTAGGGTTGCTAGTTTTTAGCATCGAGATCATCATTTATCAGTTGAAAAGCAAAGACAAGGAAAAATTATGCTTTAAAAATTATCCGTTTATGTCTATCGTAAATAATAATGCGCGATAGATTTTTTCCTGCACCAATAAATCGCATTCAATATATAAAAAGTAACCATTAAGTTTGGGATGGACGCTTCATAAATGAGCACACAATTTAGCATAAAATATTATCGAATGTAGGAATTCTTTAGATCATGTCGTGAAAATTGGCGATAGATATACATAGTCTTGTGGTTTGATGCCATTTCTGCAACCTCTTTGAGTGGCCTTTACCACCCGCAGTGGACACAATGAGTGAGTTAAGAAGATGGAAAGACATGTAAAGGGAATACTGAGTAGCTAAAACTAATGAGGTTGAAGAAACCGGAGGTATTTGATAGAAGACATGGAGGAGGGAGACAGCACCACTGATTCTAATGAAAGGGAATAAAGGTGTGTAAGAATGTAACACGACATCTTCCTGCTCTCACTGTATTCTAAAGAGCTTCTTGATCTGGAATGATAAAGTTTGAAGTGTGTAATATACCAGTTTAGTATGCCAGTCTTCTGATTAAATTTTTGCAAGATCAGGGTGGCGCAAGATATTTTACAGGCACTCATTTTATAAATTTTGAAAATTATAATAATTATATAATTTCCCTTTCGTTTCCTTTTCCGTTACATTATTGTTAGTGGCATAGAAGTAAATTTGAGAAGGATTTCCAAAAATAAATAGTTCATTGGATGTAGTTGTTTATAGTATGTTTTTTTTCTCTGACTGAAATTTCCATCATGTGTTTTTGCTTTGATTTAAATGTGCTTTGATTTAAATGTGCTTTGATTTTGAACGTTAAAAGAATCTTAAACTTCAAATTAAAGGTCAAATTCCATTCCAGGTAAAACTGAAGTAGATTTCTCAGAATGCTACAGAAGTTTAACACAACTATAAGCCAGATAAGCCAATACGTTATTCCATAGACAAATGGTATTTTGATTGAGGCTTCCAAAATAGATTTACGGCGATTTTTAGTCGTTTGATTGGTGGTAGATGTTTGGAGGCAATTATGATAACTACCTGAAATCTAAGCGCGCATGATAGATTTAAAAATTATCACAGCGACGATCATCTCTTAACAAATTTTGGTTATTTTTTCTTAAATTGAAAGCAACAAAATTTGTTAATAACGATTAAAAATTATGGCATTGTACTTATTTGATTTGAAATCATACGAAATCTCAAACACGTAGTAAATTTACGTATACATGCTTAATGAAGAGCAAGATGTTGATATTACATCAAAATAGGGTAAACAATGTCATGTGAACAATGTCATGTCATGAAACATGCTTCTAGTTAACCCAAGTCCCCCAAAAACAAATTTTTAAAGAGTGGAAAACAAATCAACCTTCTTCAGCTGAATTTAAGGGATGTTGATATTTGAACTTTAGTTTTAATCGTGTTCCAATTAATTACATGTGTAAAAGTAACATGTAAGAGCAAGTTTTGGAAGAAATTTTGCTGCCTTCAGTCAGTGGAGCGGAAAAGATTTTAGGGGAGATGATCTTCATCGAAAGTTCAAAACAAATGTATTTTCAAATCAGCAATGATCTAAAAACCATGCCTTGATATAAAAAAGCTGCTATTTCACTCTGTATATCATTTCCTTTAAGACATTTTATTCAGACGGGGCGTTTCTTATACCGTATTTAAAAAGTGTTAGCTTGATATATAATTTCTAGCGGGTATTCGCATACACTAATTGGATGACTGTTGCATACTGTAGAAAATATTAGAGCACATAGGGTTGTATACCCCTCAGCTTTTGTAAAATAGCTATGTATAAAAACTCAGTTCACACACTGATTGAAGATAAAAATTGTTCGCGTAAAAATGTTAACAGTTCTATCAAATATACAGACATCACAGTTAAAAGTTTGCCCAGAACGTAGTAACATTCTCTAAAACTGATGCAGATGCTCGCCTCTAAATGGAGATTTGGTTTCCATTTTGTTTTCAAAGAGAAAATTTTTGTCAGGCTTCAATATCAAACAAATGATAATCTAAATTTACTCATAATCAGTAAACGGTTGTAAGTAGCATTTTCTATTTTATAAAAATTAGTGAGATGTCAAAAATTCTAAAAATGTGCTGTTGTAGCTAGTACTTTCCTCAAAGACTGAACTGGGTATCCTGGCAAAAATTTTATATGAATTTTCATGTGCAAAATGATGATTTTCATTAGTAAAATGAAATATTTTATGTGTCAAATTAGACTTTTGTATGCGACAAATAAACCTGACATTGTTATGAAATAAAGATTGCCATACATTTAAAGAAAAGATTTGATACATGTAAATTAGTGATTTTCCAAATTTGCTCATTAATGATGCAACAAAAGTTGAAAAACAAGAATGTTTTTGAGAATGTTTTTTACCATTCAGACCACACATGTCTGAATTGCCGGGAGAGGGTTGTGAGGCAGGTTGCAACAATCAACACTTTACTAAAATTGTTATAAAGTTTAACATGTCACACTTTATCTTCCAACTCCTTGAAAAAGTACATATTTGATATTTCAACCCCCCTCCCACCCCCATTCTCAATTTACTTCCGACGGCCCACAGAAAACACTACCCCTAATTTAAAAATGAACGTAAAATTTAACACAATACAACATATGTCTTACCAGAGATTGCATATTTTTTCTGTCATAATATGCGCAGAATGATCCAAGCCCATACTCCGTGCAGCTCTACAAAAGTTGCTCACGAAAGATACTTGTGAGGTTTTAGTTGTAGTTTGTAGCTTTGTACCTACCACTTGAGCTCAATCAATTAGTTTTAATTATTTCCTCGTTTATATTTATTGTATATGATTGATCTTTATGGTCAATTTTAGACAAGACTTTTTATGTACAATAGTCAAATGTAAATTTTTCTGTTGTGTTTGATATACGAAATACGAATGTCAATTGTGTTGCTCATTTCAATTTTGAAAACAACACTTGGAACTTTACAACATGCAACTTTAAAACTTGCTTTACTTTAAACATGCTTGACAGTCTTTTTCATAAACATTCATCAATTATTATCGTTGGTAAGTTTGACTCACATTCTGCTTGTTCATAGATTGTATGACACATCTCATACTAACCTTTATGGAAAAATAACGACTTAAACCATTTGCCTGTTATTAAAGAAAGTTGGAATTTTGTTAGCACAGTTAAGTGCTTTCAAAAATATAACTTAAAATTCCAATGAATCATTATTTCCACACAAAGTCAAAGATTTGACCGATCGTGCACAAAAGCTAAACGTGGGTTGATGAAGACATGGAAAACAATAAGTAGCTATAAATATCTGACATTCTAAAATTATATCTAAATGTAATTTCATATAAATACCGTGTTAAAAGAAGAAAGGAAGTTCAATCTAAAGAAATGACTACTAAATATCAGTTTAAAATCTAAACTGACATTTAGGAGTTATTTCAGTACGAAATCAAGCATTACAGCGTTATTAGCATGTGTGGCTTAACTATTTTCAATTCTTCTTTGGCATAGATTTCTACGACATATACCAGCCAAAGCAAATAGTCCTGCTTTGTTGTTTAAATGCCATAACCACCCACTTCTAGTTATCTTGAGAAATTCTGTTTCTCTAACTAGCGTTCAGATATTCTTCTGTAATGAATCTACTTCTGAAATGAAGATCGAAACTCACATTCATATATGCATGTTGCAATCACCAGCAAGCACAGGATTCCAAATGATTTAGCACGTTTTGTTCTTTATGTTCTACAGGATGCATAAAAAACTGATCATCTTTTAAATTAGCCCACACTTAAAATTTTCATCATTCGGCTGTAGTTGATCCCCAAGAGCCATAAACGTAGTTAAACTTACCTGGGATTTGCACTGCGTAGTGGCTGCAATATAGATACTGTATTAAATTGCGTTTGTGACCCTTTTGGGATCAATTACTGCAGAATCATGCACTTTGGCTGATTTCGACGATGATTAATTTTTTTATACATCCTTGATTGTTCAAAAAACGAAGACGTTTAGAAATTAACTATTTTGAAATTTTAATACCTGAATACTGTGCTTTTCCCACTGGTGCATTATTGTGCATTACTGTGGATTGATTAACACAGAATGGACATAAAATAGAACGCCTACCAATTAAAATCGTTGCGTATTTTTTCACTATGCATACGTGACTTCCAGCAATATACTTTCACAAAATACATATGGAAGAGTATTGCACTTGAATTTTATTTTACATTTAAAGAAAAAGTTTGCCGAAAGTTTCACCAAGAGTTATCATCTTGGGAAAGAGATAAGGTACCAAGCTTTTGCAGTGCAGAACAATATATTTGTAAAAACATCTATATTTTCTATTGCGATCGTGCTGAAATATCTCGCTGAAAGGCGTGTCTGTTTTAGAATTTTCTTTAGAAAAGTGGGGGATACGAACATCAAAGGTTCCGACACGAGTGGACCTTCAGGTAAAGCCCGGCGCACACTGTCAAACTTGTTGCGCGTACTTGCTATTCGTGACAAGTTGAATTGACAAAAATTCCTAGTGTGCGGGAAAGTTTTGAACAGCATTTTTCATTCGTGACGGATGAGCCAAATATCATACGTAGTTGATATTTTTTGTCAACAACCGACAAAACAAAATTCTCGATTTCTTGAACACCTTGAAAATTGATAAACGATGACGATTTCTTTGACGACGAAGAATTGCCACTGTTTTTATTGCAACAACGATGCTGCACACAATTGAGGGCAGCGAATCATGGGAAATGCCACTGTTTTTCTCCATTTTACACGATTTGATCCCCTCGATTGTATGAGACATCGTCGTAACAACAAAAACAGTAGCAATACTTATTCATCGTCAGAGAAATCGTCGTCGTTTATTCATTTTCAAGATATTCAATAAATCAGCCATTTTGTTTTGCCGTTTTGCCAGTAGTGCGCGTGCGAATTCCACGCTTAAAACATGCAGTAAAAGGCAAGGAAATGTCACGTTTCAGACAAGGGAACATAATGAAAAATTTCTCGCACTCAACGCTTGAATGCAAATGGTAGTATCACAAACTTTTTTTATTTATTCTTGTACTTTAGAATTACATAGGGTACGTGTAAGCAATTAAAATACTCGTAATAAAAACAGGTTTTTCATTCTACTTTGTCATGAATTGTATAATGAAATTATATTGTTGAAAACAAAGTTTGCATGGAAATCTAGTTCACAAATTATTTACATCGCAACACTGGGCCGTGAATCCTACCATGTGTATAAAAGAACTAATTTTTTTCCATTGGGGTCACTGGATAATTCAAACTGGGGATTGGGCATGATGCTAGCGCCCAAAAAGTGCGAGAGGTCTAATGGAAAATTTACCCTGCTTGTCCACAAAGATTATTTATTTTAATATTTAAATGGATAAAATGAAATTACCTCCGCGAAAGAGAGGTGTTTAGGGACAAAATCCCTAAAAAGTTTACACAGGATTTCTAAAGCGATATTTCCTCGTGTTTCAAGTATGTATACTGGAATTAATGATTATCTAAAAGGCACATATTTCTGCTGGCTACAAACAACAAACAAGGGAACTTTGCTTTGTTAGTGGATCTAAATGTGTGAATGAGAGTGCTAACTCAATGTCTCAATCATATCTTTAAGGCATTCTCTATGCTGATATAAGCCAAACGTTTATTGAGCATTGACAATTAAACGTTGTTTATCGCACTCCCTTTGCGAAGTTCCTGTTAACAGAAAGCAACAATAGTTACATGGCTGTTTGAAATTGGTATTATTGTCCCCCCATACACCCATTTCTTTATAGATTTTGAAAAATCTCAAAATGACTCAAGCCCTGTTCTCTCCATTCCGATTGAACTGATCTTGCCTGACAGTTGTTAAGATTTTGACTGTAAGAGTATTCTATGCGCGAGCCCATTTAGCGCTTTTTTACGTTCTTTTTGGCGTGGGATCCCTAAGTGGGATTTCAGGCAGTGTTAAGTAAGGACAGATCCAACGTTAGTCAGCTTTTGTCGGCTTACAGCAGATCGTTATTATAGATATGTTCGCATTTCAAAATCATTTGATAACTTTTGACAGCCATTTCTTCTTTAAAATTTATAACAAATTCTTATAAAGGTCAGTTTTGAGTTTTAAAATATCTGAAATAATTCATTCGACTAAAATTGAATCGACAGCTGGTGTAGAGATTTTAAAGTTTTCCGTGAGATCAGATTTATGTTTGGTGATGTTCTCAAGAATGGGCAGTTTACGATCAGATTAGTATATTCTCGATAATGTATATGATCGATCATTTTCACTTTAATAGTATTTATAATAACTAAAGTAATTATCTCTACAATTAAGTACTTATCTGCTACACGCATTTTTATCTTGTTTATGTAATTACACCAAAAACATAAAATACTAAGTAGTGTTGCTTATTGTTTTTATAATAGTCGCTCAAAAATTATTTTAAAAATTAATTTCCTTAAACTTTTAATGTTTAGATTCTGTTTTTTTAGGATAATGTGCAAATTCAATTTGCCCAATTTCTTGAGATACTGGCAGGCGCATGCTTTCACTGCTAAGGTTAACTTGATCTACTGTGGCTCCTTTAGATGCAACCCGCCCACTCTCGCTGTGGCTATTAAATTCTTTCTCGTCAAGCATATCTAAAACGTCTGCCATATAATTTTTTCTGGCGTTTTCTAGTTTCAGCTCTCGCCCCCAGAGACCATCACGCCATGACAGACGTTTTTCTTTTTTACTTTGTACAAATGCAATGACTAAAGCCAGATACATCACGATTTTTATCGTTCTTTTCACTTCCATTATCTGTAAAGCAGTTGCGATATCAGTACTTGTTATTCAAGCAAGTAAAGAAGTAGATATACTAATCAGAAGAGCAGTATAACCAAATTTTTCACACAAAGTGAACAGAACAACAAAAATTGCCATTCGTATGTAATCACCTATTAAAAAAAATAGGATGAAATTTTGATCTTATCAAATTCCTTGCGCAAAAATTCGATCTAATCATAAAAATCTCCGACGTATAATCTCCTCAAACATCCTTAACTGAAATTACTGAAGTGCTCTTTTATCTATAAAACATTAGTTAAAATGTAAAAGCATGACGATGGTTTTCAACTTTACTGAAGGTTCAGATCAAACACATAAAATATAATGTTGCAAGATTAACAACTGACCAAGACAATATTTAAGCATATATATGTATTAACCTGTCATAGAAATAGTATTTTAGAATAAATTTCCTCATCTTAGCAATAGTTAAAAATGATGATCTTTCCCACGTTTCTTTTAGTTTGATCAAATATAGCCCGATTTGACCACTTGAAGGGCTGATTACATGAGCCCAGGTATTTGGGATTCAGCCAAGCGTTAAATGATTTTGGAAAAATGGAAACGATTCAATACTCCTCACCAGATAAATCTTCTCAAGCAATTTTACAATACTCTGATTTAATAACTACGCAAAACATTTAAAAGTTGGCCTGATTTGGCCTACAAACAGTTGTAAGTATTGCGCTTGAAGTTTTGCCTCCTTTCAATGACACGAAATTATCTCGCAGCCCACTTAATCCCAGTCAGCCGGGATCATGTAAACAACCCTAAACAAATTCACTGCATAATGAAAGCCTAGCTTATGCACACTCGTTTTTATCAACTCCAATTTTTATGTCTTCTTAAAATGTTCAAAACACTAAACTAACTTTAGAAATACCAAATATTTGAGCTCATTACACATTCAACATTAATATTTTTTTTTCAAACAAAAGTGATTGCCACAATAGCTATTTGGTAAAGCTTCAAGTGTTCCCAAGAAAATTTAAAGATTTAATTAAGAAAAGAAACGTCGATTGCTTGTTTTATGCCTGTTGGTTAAGATAAAATTAGGCTGTTTCATTTAAAAGGTCAAATTAGACTTGATACGTACAAGTTCTTTATTTAGTTTCTTACAAAGCAAAAGATTTCTTTAGCGAATTCATAGTGAATTCAATGCAACCTCTCATGGTTCTTATTCCTTTCAAAGTTATACAACAAATTATCATCAATTGAATTTAAACCGAAACAAAACTTCTTGTTGACAAAAAGAGTAATATTTTTTGATAAGTATTACGCGTGCATACAAAACATAAAAATGGAAACTTGACAATATTTAAACTTAGCAAATGAAGCAAGAGCTGTACCATTACCTTTAAAATGCCTACTTCGTATAACCTTCAACTTGTAAAACTGAGGATGACAACATTCAATGATAATTTTTGATAAAAATCTTCATGATTTATAGGTATACTCTCTATCATGCAGAGACGTAGGCAGTTAATAATCCCTGCATGTCATCATGCCACGGTGGTCGATTATTGCTTAATTTACACCTGTGACTTCCTAGGTGTGTTGCAGTGAAAAAAATTGCAATGACATGCCAAATAAACACTTTATAAACAGACATCACGCATTAACCTTCACATATGTTAAAGTTCAGTATACATTTTACAGTTCACAATAAATGTTAACACGTTTTAGTTTTTGCATATTCATATTAATACAAATCATTGTTAGAATGTTCTCATTATGTAGATATACATACCGATAAAAGAAACGAACTGTACATATGCATAAAATTTTATGAATATATAAAACATGAATATATTTACGTATATATATATATATATATATATATATATATATATATACATACATGTTACTCATGCTATGTGAGAAATAATTACATGAATGCATAGCATAAAAAAATTGCCAAAATATTTACATGTATATAGCTATTGCTTGAAAAATTGTAGATTTTAAAGAGCATGCCAATTTATATTGTAAGCGTTTTATGTAGCTATTTAATGTCAGGATTTTTATTGATCTAGTAGTGCATGCACAGTATTCCAATTAGTTGTGTAAATAAGAGAGTCATGGTCTTGCTGTGATATTTAATAACCACCTCCTTATGAAGTATGATGTTTTGTCTGAGCATCCACAAGACGTCAACTCTAACTGTTAAGCTGTCTGTAGAATTTATTCTTCGATTAATTAAAGAAAGCCTTCTGAGTGTGCCATTTTATCTTCCTTTGTAGAGTCACACCGACATTAAAGAAAGTTCAACTATCATGCTGTGCGATAAGCATGTAGTGTCTGCATATTATCTTAAATAAATGGCAAATTTTGATAAGCATGCCTTTGAAATAATAGCGTTCCTCGAGATTTCTTATTATTTGAATATAGACTCACAAAAAATCAGTCCATGCAGAAAATTCTTTTCTGTTTCAAGTGTAGATAGAATTTTTCAAGTAATACTGGAAGACATTATATACACTTATTTTGCAATCAAACAGGATGAATAAATGAGCTTTGACAGCTTGCAAATTGTAGACTTTGATAATTTATTTAGGCTCAACACATACATCGTTTGATAACTTTTTCTTTTGAAAATCTAAAAAAAAATCAAAGGGTTGTTATGACATTAACACAATACACTATATATAGACTAAAATATTTCTTTTATCCAATTTATTTGTGAAACCTTCAGTTCAGACCACTGTAAAGATTTCGAGAAGAAAAACTAACTGAAAACTTTTAAATGGTCTGCGTAGAGTTTTGATAACTTTTTAATCTGCATAAACTTTATTAATAACACGTATAAACCACGCAGAGCTTCATTATTTTATGAGCTAAAAACCATGTTTAATAAAATAAAACATTTGGAAGTAGATACCAGTCAAATTCATAACAACAACGATGTTTTTTGAATTTGATAATGTGAAATATACACTAACTTACTCGGAGTTTCAGCAAGCTTTCCATAACATGAATGATTAAGCAGTTTACTCTCAAAGAATTGGAAATATAATGTCACATAAATTAAGTATATAGATAAGAAAATATTTGAAAGTTTTGAAGGAGAATTGAATGAGATCTACAATGAGTATCAAAAATGTTTTGTGAGGAAACTTTTCTAAATTAATAAATATACAAAGCTTGAAAAAACTTTAGGTCAAAGCAAAGTATAGTTGCAGTTGTAACTGCTCATTTTCTCATTTTATCCATTTATTCATCTATTATTGATGGCTGAGTAAACAATGTTCTGTCGATGTTATTTCTATCCATCTAAGAGGAGCCAGTTAAAAGGGGGGAACAAATGAACTTATGCTTTCTATGTAATTTTTCTATCGTTTTTCTTCATTTAAATTTAGCTATATTTTAATAAAAACGTTAAAACAAATAAAGTTAAAACTTTAGTCTCATTAACAAAGGTCTTATCGCTCATTGCTTTGAATAATTAGCTTTTGTTTTCACAATATGTATGAACTGATTATTGTCTGCTTTTTCCAAAATGATCAGTAGTTTCTCGTATAAATATTGTAATTCAATGCATATGAATTTAGATGAACAATAAAGTCAACTTCTTAATTAATGTGATGTGTCTCAGTAAAATCTATTATAGCCACTTTGTGTGGGTGCAGAATACAGTCCATTTTAATGAACAGAAGAAATTATGTGAAAAAAGTAGGTAAATTTTTAAGAGTAGAGAAACAGTAATTTCTGCATCTACAGTCATTCTATAGCTATAAGTTTAAAAAATTATCATTAATTTCTTTGAAAAGCTATGTGTCAAAAAGCCTTTGCACAATGATCCCAAAATATTTATGTAGCATGATTAAAGAAAGTTAGATCTTGATAATTCTTACGTCTAGATATCTCACAATTGATAACAAGTAAATGGAAATTTTTTCAAATCTGTATAACAAAGACTGTCTAATTTACAGAACTTAGGAAAAAAGCAAACTTGTTTCAAACCACTTTAATAAAACCATATTTCCTTACTTATGTTTATTTCTGCTTTTTTATCAACATTTCTTGCAAAAAATCAGGAAAATTTCCCGTAGACATTATGAAACTTTTGAGCTGTGTGAATATCACATGTCAATTTCATTGCTGGAAGCCTGGAACCCAATAATGCTAAAAAGAAATTTGAGTCCCTTTATTCTTTTTGCACATAATTTGAGACATGCAAAAATTGCAATCACATGGCTTACAGTTCCATCCAATGATCTCAAAGCTTTTCCGCTTCTGATTATTTTTATTTTCCAACAGTGTTTTTGTAACTGCTGTTCACATTTAACCATTTATGAATACAAAGAAAAAACAGCGCAGACTTAGCTGTTGAAACTCTAGATGAAATTAACAGTCATGGCATAACAAGTTTATTATAAAGGTTTTGTACTTATTCAATATATGAATAGTTACTAAAAATGTCTTTATTATAGCATAGCATCGATCATCGGACAAAAACCTGATTATGTCCTTTCCCCATAATTTCCCATGGGAAGGGCATGATTTTTCTAAACGTAAAACAAAAATATTGTGAGTGATGAAAGTCAATATTGTACAAAAACGCGTTTGCATTTATTTTAATTTCATTTTCGTACTATTTTACACGTGCCATCTCATTATACCATTGAACTTCCTGTTTGAGAATTTGCAATTAAAAAAAGCTGACTGCACGAGTTATAAATCATTTACCAGGTTTTAAATCTCTCCACCATTTTTGTTAGTAACTGTAAGTTTACATTGTGGCTATATAAATTATAATTTGTCGTTTTATTTTATTTACAAAAAGCATGGAATTCAAAGTTAAAAAAAATAGCACAATAACATTTTGTTTGTATTTTTTTCATAAACAATTGAATTTGCACATGCAGCTCACAAAGACATGTGATAATAAAAAATGTCATGTTAGTTTTGACATTGGACGTTATTTTCCTTCTTTCAAATTACTCTCAAATTTGTCTTTTACTGTTTATTAGTAATCTAATTAAATGTAGCATAACTAGAATTTTTTTAATAGCCCAAAAGGTTGACTGAAGGAAGTTTAGTTATATAATGACACGATGAAAAAAAGCGAGAGACAGGTCACACTAAACAAAAAGGATTGATACTAATAATAAAGCGTCTATCGCCACATGAATAGTTCTTGTGAGCTAAAAACCCATCTAAAGGTAAGATGAAATAATTTTAATCGTTTTTTGTGAATAAATTATTTTGCAGGAGATGATTGAACGAATCATCGAAATGAATCTTATGATTATAAGTCTCTGACTTTACATCTTATGACTTTTTTTAGTGACAGAGAAGAAGCTTCCAAACAATCGACGTACGTAATAATTTTAATTGTTTATCCGTCTGTCTGAAAGGTTGCATGGGGTAAATAAATATCGGTAATTGACTTGTAAAAAATGTCAATTGAGCCTTTAAGCTAGTCTCACAATCAGGGACACTGCATGAGCAAAAGGAAAACAAGAATCAAGAATCATTATAAACGTGCAAAAGATCAGTAGTCGTTGAAGTCTCGCATATTCCGTTTAGGATCTTCAGGTATTTTCTCCGAAAATAAATTTCTCGTGGTGTTATTCCACTTTTCTTCAATATTGTCTAAATTTCTACTTTATGAATACCTAAGTACAAACAAGTTGTATTTAGCAGCAAGACAGTTTGAAGGAATTAAGAGGTTTGATAAACTGTCAAAATTAGGGAAACTTGTTAACAAATATGGATAATTTTCTGTAAATTTCCTGTAACTAAGATATAAGAGACCAAAATATAAGCTGAGAGTATAAGAAATTTCCTACTGCTTGTGCTCCTCCAACTAAATAGTTCTCATTCTTTGTTTGCATAAAGCAATGAAATGTATCAATTTCTATGCTGGTAATGAGGAGTAAAATTTGAGTCGCTTGATTGACTATGCAAAATTGCAGTCAAATGACCTAAAATTTTATGGAATAATATTAAAACTTTTTCGTTTTAATTAGTTGTATTTTTCTCTTAGTATTTTTCAACTACTGGGCACGTTGCTATTGTAGCCATTTATGAATATAAAGGCAAAAAAGCGCTAACTAAGCCATGAAAAATATGAACTTTTTACCATTTTTGTGAACTTTTGACGCAAGCGAGCATGAATATTTTGATATTTAATCTGGCAACACTGCACATATTCAACATTTGAATAGATACTAAATCAATGATAAACGACATTATGATGGCATCAATCATAGAAACCAAACTTTATCTTGCCTTAAATTTTCCTGAGAAGGAAATTCTTTGTCAACAATGCAATATTGTAGAAAAACGCGTTTGCATTTTATTTTACATTCATTTTCATACTATTTTACACGTGACATCACAATACCTCAAAAATTTCCTGTTGCTGCCTGCACAAGTTGTAAAATTTTTTGCAAAGTTTTGAATTTGTCAACCTCTATTGCTAGTGACTTTCTGTTTCATTACGGCTGTAAAATTCTAGTTAGTCATTGATTTCATCTCTGCAAAGTATAGAATATGAAGTGAAACAGAAAGATTACACAATCACGTTTTGCTTGTGATTTTTGCATAAACAAGAAAAATGTGAGTATAAATTGTCCAAAATATTCTCAAATTTTTTTTACTGTTAACTTGCTATCCAATTAACTATAGGGCGTAGTGTATCTAGAATTCTTTTTTATAATACAAAAGATGGACTGAAGGAAGCATAGTCATTGACAGTAATAAAGAAAAACGAAATACAAGTCACTCTCGAGAAAAAGGGCTGATATAATGATATGGAAATAAAGCAACGCATGTCGTCGCATTTTAATTAAGATATACTTGACAGACAAACATCCTTGTAAAGCTATAAAAGAAACAATTTTACTCATTTGTTTGTGAATAAATTTGTTTGAAGCTGATGATTGGATGAATCGTAGAAATGAATCATATGATTGGACAAACTGAAAACAAAAAGAAAAAAATCAATCACAAAGTATCACTTGCAACTGTATGCCTAAGCAGAGTTAGTAAATTTTCATTGTTTAAGAATACCCAAAATGATGAAAAATAAACTTGTTGTTCTAGTAACTTTTGTTCTGATTTCAATTACATTTGTCAACTGCACATTAAAAGATGACAAAAAACTTGATATGCCAAACTTTCAAAACCAAATTGAAGAAAGGTTAGTGAAACTTTGAATCTTGTTAATGTTGACTTAAGTTTTGATAACCTTAGTGGTAGTCGTTCGTTTGTTTAAGGTTAGGAATTAAGCACAATATGAGAATGTATGAACAGAGGTAGCGCCAGGAATTCCCCGATGGAGGGGCTAAGGTCCCGGACGGAGGGGTTAAGGTCTCCGACGGGTGGGGCTGACTTACTAGGCTGTTGTGATTATGCGCTTTCCATGCAAATGTATTTTTCGGACCAAATATTCAAAAATAAATATCAATCATCGCTTTGACTAAATCGTTGAAACATATAGTTTGTTTTGGAAATAATAATTTACATCTACATGACAAATTAACACTACATATTCAACAAGTTGTGAGAGCCGCAACTAGAACGCTAATTTGGGGAATGGGTTGTTTTTTTGAGTGGTTTTGTGATATATTTGGTTGTGCCTAATTGATTTTTTTGGAAAGAAATTTAATTTTTAAAGAAGTCAGTTTGACAAAACTGAATATATGAATACCTCCACCTATCATCGCTGTACTAACAGACCTGCTAGTCGTGCATGCAATCTGGGATAGGCATATGATAGGCTATAACAAAGCTATACAGTAAGTAGAAAGAATGACTTGGGTATATTCTAGTATTGTTGGATAGTAATAATCAAATAATAATTATCTCCGTCAAACATTTATAAATATATACTAAGCTTTTATCAAAGTAAGACGAGGATCCATTAGTTATTAGATATACTAATATTTATTTTTTTGTTTAAATTAAATATTAAGTTTGGGCACTTTATCTCAATGTTACCCTGCATGTTAAACTATTTTGCTGGTTGGCAGTTTTTTTTGACTGCATGTATATAATGAATCAGTGGTGTACAAGGAAATAATTTATAAGCATAAGAGGCAATATTGATAATGTACGAGTAAGATATAACTTACTATATCACTACGACCACAATGAATTACTATACCAAACGACCACAGTTTGCTTCCTCGACAACAAAGAATTCCTAATATCATAAGCTGTCCAGACGCTTGATGGTGATTTATCAATGACATTATCTGCAATACATGCAAAACTGTCAGAATCTGATGCTCATTGCTCGTTTGAAACTCAAACAGCAAAGTTTTTTCACAAAAAATTCGTTTCAAAATTCGAAAGTCGAGTTGCAAAAAACAACAGACAGACAACTAATAGCGGGTAAGCGTCGTGGCGATTGCATATGCAAATATTTCTCATGTCGCATTTTCATTTCTGTTCTCTAATGAACATTCAAAAATAAGTATTTCAGAGTAACTTTATTATTGCTTTAAATTTGATGTTGGATAGCTGGCGTGTATGAAAATTATTGCCGATTCTAAGTGCTTACATTTCTTTAAACGAACGGAAATAATCGACATTGGAAATTACATTTTTTCGTTATTCATTCCTCGACAAATCGTCAAATAGCTGTAGTCGCCCCTCTGGTGCCATCCCTGCGTATGAACAAGACAACTACCAACACGGCTAGCCTGACGTTTACTATTCACTTTTTCTCTGAAGACGACTACCATTGTAAATTGTCATGTCAAATTATGTAGAGTGAGATTGTGTCATATTATAGATTATAAGATTATAGCTGATATTATTAAGTTGATGGAAAATACATAGATAGTTAAAAACTGTGGTTTCAATGGAAATCCTGCACGTAAAACAAAATACAATAGTCATGTCAAGGGAACACTTTCTCTCCGCATGATGCGGTATGATGCAGATTAAAACAAAACTCTAGAAACGGAATGGCGAAGTTGCAAGTCATGTAAACGCCTAAAACCACTTCCTAATAATTATTTATAAATATAGCTTGCAAGCTTTGGTTCGGGGTTTCGGAAAAGTTGACTTTATTGGTGTATGAATTGGTCATAAAAAATTGATAAATTAGCAGTCGTATTGCAGAAGGCAATAGAGTTTGAAAACTCAGGTTTAGGATTGAAAGTTGTCCGTAATCTTAACGATATCATTTTAAATAATCCGTATCGCGAAGAACCAACGTAAAAAATGTGCAAAACCACTGTAAATATCCTATCAAAGTGTTAAATAGAATTGTCAAAATACAGTCCCGTCGTTCGAATGAAGTTTTGAGAACATTGAACCAGCACTTCGTAAAGATTGTGCGAAAACTACCGCTAAGGTTATCGAAACTTTAGTAAACATCAACACCAACAGTCCTACTCAGGACTTTATTATTATAGATGACCTTCATTTACAAACATTTAACGATACTCTGTGGTTCAAACTATTCATTATAATAAAAATACGCAAAGTCTTAATAAAGACAATAATAACAAGTTAAGTTTTAAGAAAGACCATTGAAGACATAATTTTTCTTACTGAAGATAGATCTTTTCATCTTGTGATGGAGATAAGCTTTATTTTCTTTTCTTGGCATTGTTCTTAGGAGAAGAATAATCCGTTATAAGTATGCACATTAAAATGAAGTCATCAATAGGCTTGCTGTCTGTTTCAGAGCCTTATTGCATCAATTTAAAAAATTTAGTTCTTCATTTTAGCACAAGTATTTCTAAGAGACAGAATCGCAAAGCAACAGCTTGTCAAGGACCTCCTGGACTTCCGGGCAGAGATGGTGAGTTATAATTTACTTAACTTTAACAAGTCGTGATCGAAACTGTTGAGTTTTTAAATATATAACTACCACTACGACGTAAACGAAGTAGCTTTATTAATGAGTAATTGACTATAATTTCTTGAAAACAAGTTAAATTGATATTTTTATTTAGGGCGTGATGGCCGCGATGCTACATTACGGGGTAAGTTATTTTATTAACTATTAGAAACTTTTCTCTTGACATATGGACTAAACCTAGTTACGTATATCTGCATGAGTTTCCTTTGATTCAGTTGTTTTTTACCAAGAACTTTACTGGTCGATGAAGTAACCGTACAGAACGTTCTGTAAATACAATACAAAAATATCAAAATTTGAGTCTAAGAAGGCATATTTAAAGGGCCATCAGGAGAACTGTGAGAGAGTGTTTAATCAGTTAAAGGACATGTGTAGAGGGCATTATCGTTGATCTAAATTGCATCTGATATTTGATATAGAATACATATGTGTTATGACTAAGAACAACAGACTGTAACTGTAATATAGAATACAACATGATATGACTTTAAACAATAGACAGTAACAAACTAACTTCAAAGCATCGCAAATCTATAGCTTGTTTGCAGATTTCAGCATTATACTAAAGGTCTGTCCTTTCAAATTTAACTTTGAGACTTAAAAGTGTATTTGCCTGGGCACTATACATAATCTTATTTACACAATTTTTCAACAGAGTAACAATAAAATTTTAATTTTTATTGAAAAGGACTGTAATGTTGTGATTAACATTGTTCTTTGCAAAATAAGTAGTACATTCAATTTATTGATGAGTTATGTTAAGAGGACAAGCAAATAATTTTTTGAATTTTGATGTAATTAACACTTTCTCATTCTGTAAAGGAATATTATGACAGTTTGTGCAGTTTATGATACAAGCTATTTATATGTCTTCATTCTGTATGCGCCCCTTATATTTGGGTCAAATATTTTAATGTGATATATGTATCAATAATTTTTACAAGATACCAATGTTATAGATGTATCAACAACTAATACGAGGTACCAATGTGTTAACAAATTCATCAATAATGAAACAGCTTCAAATTAAAGTTAATGAGCATACCAGCAGTTTTTACAAACTAAAATACTGCCTAATGGAGGCTGGAAATTTGTTGAAGAGCGAGTGCCTAACAACTGATGAATAGTTTCAGTTACAGATGAACGGAACAGCTAACAGTTATTGGCCAAAAAATGAGTCTGTTATTTTCTGGATCATTCATGCGATCACCATAAAGGAGAACATGTTAATTCAAGTGCATATAATGTCATTCACTTAAAAATTTTTTTTGGTAAATATTAGATAATCGTATCAATAGAAAACCAGAGCCAACTTTATTAATATGACCGATGATCCTTTATAATATAAAGGAAATCTCAGAATATCAGAATAAAGTTTACAACAGTAAAGTAAGCAATGTGTTTGAATTCTCTTAGATAAAGACAACATTTTTTGCCAATTTTATATACACTTTTGCCGATTTATAATGCTCAACAAGACAATTGTTTTTAATGTATTGCAAAGCAAAGTACAACAACAATCAACTGCGTTATGGTTACTGGCATATTAAAGAATGCTCCATTGATAGCTACGTGTATTATTTTATTAGTTTACCAATTTAGATAGAGTATTCACTAGCATATAAAAGATGCAAAAGCACTTTTAAAGCAAAAATGTGAATTAATACAAAAATTGTTGAGAAAGGAAGACAAAGTTTGTATATGAATGATGCTGGATGTGAGCAATTAAGAAATGCAATTGCTGCAAAAATTTGTTTTTAGACAGTTTGTACGTTTAAAAACAAGATAATGCATTTACCATTAACTTTAAATGTAGGTTGTTGATTATAAGTCACACATAGAGGCGTAACTAGAAAGGTTATTAGGGGGTGGTTGGGTGTATATTTATATATTCAGTTGTGCCCGTTCTTTAGAAGGCCAAATCACATTCTACGTTTTATAAAAAAGTTGCAGTTGGACGAAACTAGAAGTGTTTCATTAAGAATAATCGACATAAAAATCTTTCATGCCAAACTAAATAAATAAATTAGTTGTATG